ATATGAATCCTATTGAGAAGTGCTAGAGGAGAATAAAACAAGCTCTCCATAGGCGCCTAAGGCAGCCAACAACTGAGGTTCAAATGGTTATAGCAGTATTAGAAGAATGAGACAAAATTCCTCAGGAATGGATCAATGGGCTTATTGAGCAGCAGGACTTCTGGGTACACGACTTAATTAAGCGATGTGGCTGGTCTACAGCTAATTAATTAATAAAATTCATGATTCTGATGCCCTGAACGCACGGACTTTTGTCCCCATGTTCGTTACCTGCCCGAGCTCATACGGTTTCTTGCCGGCTTCCGGAACTTCAACTTTTATAAATTATTCAGATGTTGTGCTTCCTTTGATTTTCCAATTCGTCTTTTTGTTCTCTTGCCAGTACTGAGATCAATACGTATTCTATCCACTCTTGGGACAGATTGTGTGAAATATCAAGCCCTGCAGCCAAAACTGTGCGGCAGCCGCTTACTCTGTCCACCGGTTTGCATTTCCACATCCATCAATGTCAAGATCAAGTCGTATTTGATAGTTTGCAGTAAAGATCATCACCATTTGATATTTGACCCGAGTTTCTGGAACCTGTTATTGAAATCCCTCATATCATCATTTCTTGGCACCAACTTCGTCGCCGCCAGAAAATCCCGCAAAGCAGAGCGGGGTATGAGGCATTTCATCTATAGTCACACGAAACTCAAGATATCAAGTTGATATGTGTTTAGATGCGGCACCGGCGCGTATCCAAGATATCGTGACGCCGTGCCATAGCCACGATGATTGGAACTGATAAGAGGATGCATCGCGAAATCTGGTTTGAGGGAGACGTTGCATGCCTTATCTTGAGATATCCCACTTCGAAGGATATGCATTACATTTCCTGATATTCATACATGTCCTCACCATCCTCCTCGTCACATTATATATATACCTGTCCGGAAAGGCTCCAGGAAGGTCCGAGTCCCCAGCAAACGTCAACCGAGCCAGTTTCCAGAGTTCAAGGAATTGCCAGACCATATGGCTTCAGTGACGATGAGTACTTTCGTGGCGCTGCCAAAGGTCAAACTCAAACAGCTTGTTGGCACATTCGAACCCAGTATCGAGCTACTTAATAAACTTCGTGGTCTCTTGGTACCCTCGCCGACGACAAGCCAGAAAGTGACCTCTGCAAAGGTATTAAGCCATTTCGGCCAACATTATCTTTCACATATCTGACCATGTCCTACGCAATAGTATTCTGCTCACCTACCGTTACAGCCAAATCGACGACAATCACAGAGCGTGTGCTATGACGGCGGCACCGACCTTGTTTACCCCTCCAGTATCACACGAAGCGAACCAAGAGACATTCGAGCAGTGAAGGCTCATCGGTCACCCAGACACAGCCCAAAGAGAACTAGGACCACACGACAAGTCTCACACGTTTTGCCACGCCTCGTACACGACAATGTGCTAGACCCGTGGGACATTCTTCCAGGCGAACGTGAAGGCTATGCCATCACGTTTACATCTTCTGTTACTCTAGAGAGCTTGATACATAGTTCGTCTAGAATCCCATCGGAAGATGCAGATTCATACTTCAAGCAAGCAATCCTGGGACTGGAATACCTCCATCGTTCAAATGTTGCGCATCAAGATCTACGACCTGAGAACCTGATCATTACCGTTAACAATGTGTTGAAGATCTCAAATTTCGAAAAGGCACACTATTCCGGCCCGTCAAGTAAAAGCCAACAGGTGCCAAGGAGAAATAGTTGCTCTACTCCTGAGTATGTGGCACCAGAAGTCTTCGTGAATTCTTCGTATGATGCACAAGCCGTGGATATGTGGGCTATGGGTATCATATACATAGAGATGAGGAGAGGCAAATTGCTCTGGATCGTTGCCGCCGAGGGGGCAGATGAGTGTTATGACAGGTACTTGCAGGAAAGAGTTAGTCTTTGGGGATATCGGCCTATCGAGAACTTGAACAATGTGAGTTGGTCGTCAAGTGTGATGGCAAAAATTGCTGACCGGAAACAGGAACATTGCGGCAGAGTGATCACTTCTCTGCTCGACCCTGCACCAGCACAAAGATACACAGCGTCGAGGGTTTTAAAATCAACTTGGTGTAGCGCCATTAAGCCTCGTATTCCTAATATAAATGAAACGCCATAACCCTTAACTCCTTCCATCTAGTAAAAGAAATCCTCATGATACCCTACAATGTGAACTGTTTCTTGATACAGCTGCTTCCTCTTGTTATCCACATTCCAGGCACTGCTATCCAATCTTCACCTTTCCTCAAGATTGATGTAACTCTCTTCCTCGCTCTTCTGTGTCTGCCCTCTAGGGAACACATCTCCGGCATGGATGATATGAAATACAACTTGAACAACCAACATCGGCAGAGTATCACCAACATACATAGGCCACTCATGCGACATCAAGTAACCACCGTTGCCTGGCGCAAACTCAGCAACCCTATACAAGCATCTCACAATAATAAAGACCGCTGCCCCAAGCAACAAAAGCAACAAGCTCCTCCAGTTGTGTTTTCCATAAGTAGGAACCGTGTATCGTAGAGGACTCTTGCTCATCCTTCGATCGAAGATAATGGCAACAACGAGGAAGAACCCGAAGAAAATAAGCTGAGAGGCGAGACCGATAAGAACGATGTGTGAGCCGGTCTTGGCTTTGCTGGCCTGGGCTTCCATGCTTCCTCCGTATGCTTGGACGAGGAAAGAGAAGACGTCGCCGATCACGAAGATCTTGGTGACCCACGTAGGTCGGATGATGGAGGCGTCGGGAGCATTGACGAAGAGAACGGTGCGGCCGTAGATCATATAGATAGTCGCTGCGTACAAAGATGGAGGGAGGAGCAGTAATACGGCTTGAAGGATGTAGAGCAGTAGACTATGCGGAGAGTGGATAGATAGGACTCTGAAGACGTAGCCAGCAGTCATCACTAGATAGTAGTGTTAGTTATGGGCCGTGACTAGGTCCGTGAGAGAGAAGAGAAAGGGCGACGAACTGAACCCTCCGATTGTCATAGCGAGGTAGAACCATGTTCTTTTTTGTATCATCTGGAAAAGATGGAAACAGGAGCTTATTCCGAACAAAACCGCTGCTACGGCAGCAATGGCCGAGTTCGGATTATACTGGTACAAATTTCCTTCCGTCATCTTTGCGACTTCTGTACAAAAGTCCAAAAGTTGAAGTGAAAAGAAGTTGACGAAGTTGCTCGTGGAATGTTCGAAGGTTCGATAATGCAAAGCAGGGACTTGATAAACGAATGTCTGAATAGCAAGATAACGAGAAACGAGTGGATCAATAAGTGAAATAAGAACGAATCGAACAATAAGCAGTCGCGATGGAAGTCTAGATGCTATATAGAGAGGTACAACAAAGGAGAACGGCGTTCGTTCGGCGGAGCTATTTATGTAACGCCGTGTTGTGTATCCAAGCCACTCCCAGAGGCCGGATCAGACCAACCAATTGTTGGCCAGGAGTTTCGCAACCCGCGTATCTGTCGTATCTGACTGGCAACGAAGCGGTTACCAAAGAAGGGTCGTTTGCGCAGATGAGGCTCTCGTCGATATTAAACGGGTGCCTGGCTGCGCCTCCAGGAACACGTCAAATACGATGGGCGCGACCCCTCGAGTAGTGTGGTCTCCAGGAACCAGAGATCAGATAACGGGGTGGTATAAACTCCGGTTCCTATCTGCAAGAACTAAAAAGCTTCAGCTTTGCTCGTGTATCCAATCGTTTAGGTACGACCCGCGCTGGCCAATGGTCTGACTCTGGGTACGAGAGGTATACTGTTTTAGGATACGCATCAATAAACCGAATGGGATTTCATCTCATTTTAAAATTTCTGAAACGGGAACATTTCGAGATCCACTTTTTGTTGTGCGAGACTCCTTAACGAGTACGTTGTTTTACGAGAGCGAGCTCTAGTGAGGTTGTGTGATTTGTATATGTGCAGTGCTCTGCTTTCTCCTATTCTATTTGCGTCGATCCGATCCAACGTTTTTTCAACATATCAATTGCAGATGTTTTCATAATCATATCAAATTGTCTTTTGTGCAAACCCTCGGAACTTCCGGCCCAAACAAGTTAAGCGAACCCCTGAATGTCAGCAAGCCAACCTTAATATTACCACCTTGCCGTATTGCTGCATAACATTTGCGTATTCGGCAGAACTTTCCACCTTCCCTTGTATCCTCTTGTCAACCTCAGCGGACGAGTTTGTCCTTTTTCATTGGAAGACCGCAGCAGTGATCCCTCATCGCCTTGGACACAGCGCCCTTGCATGCGTTCCAGCTGGTCAGGGGATAGAACATGGTATTTCATACCCTGTCTGATCGGAGGTTTACCTGTGTGTCGGCAAATCCCCACATCGTGTGTTCAAGATGCTAAACGACTGCTAAGCTTTAATCTACTACCGAGGCCCCAGTCGGGCACTTCATAATGGCAAACTCTGCTCACGCCTTTGGCAACTACTGGATCTGCAGTTTCGATTTAAAGTATCTTGGGACAATATAGAAGCCTCACAGATGACGATAATCATTGCCCGATTCGAGCTCAATAGATCCACGAAGGTGTTCGTGAGGATGTCATGCCTTTTCTGGAATAGTCTGGCGCTTATATTAATGAATGTAGAAAAAGAGTTGTATCAAGAGAAATTCTTCATTGCACGGTCGAAGTGAAACTTTTCAGCAAGATAATCTGAAAGCAAGATGAGGGGATCATATCGTCACGTGAGAACCCCCACTTTCGACATTCTCAACTAAGGTCATCTGCAGCGTCACTTCTATGATCGACGATTCAGCGTCACCGCGTATAGACGGAGCTGTCTGAGGTACTAAATTTGCTCAGCTTACAAATAGCGATCGAGTGATTCACCCCATGAAAATAACTACAAATGACAAAAACTTTTCCTCTGTAAGACTTCAGCTTCCACCTCACTGTCCTACTATGAAAGCTTGATAACCAGTTCTTCACAATGTCTTCTGCAACGAGTTTGGCGATGTCCATTGACATTGAATCCAATGATTTTCCAGCAGCACTCCCAGCGAAGCCGAAAACCGTTCTTCAGCATGTCCAGCCGACAATGAGAATGGTGCCGATAGATGTAGAGATGCACGCCATACCCGTGTCTCAATCGCTACCTGAGACTTTGGATCCCAACATATTCTCAAGCCCCTCAAGTCCAAAGGTCGGAAGTGAACCTCAAGGTCACATCACAGAGCAGGTGCAAACAATTTGGAATCCTTATAAAAACAGATACCGAGTTCTAGCATCTTGCATTCTATCATTTGCCAACGGGATGAATGACTCAGCGCCTGGTGCTCTGATCGCGAGTCTCGAGAGGTAAGTGGATCTGCTTCAAGCTTCGGGTCTAAGAGGTATCATTAGGGATTACAACATCGCATACGGTACCGTCTCGATCATTTTCGTGTGCAATGCGCTTGGTTTTATAGCCGCTGCCTTCTTCATCAGCACTCTTTCAACTAGAATCGGACGAGCAAAATCTCTGATGATCTCCGAAGCCCTGTTGATGATTGGGTATACGGCAATTGTGACTACCCCGCCATTTGGAGTTGTCGCAGCGTCTTTCTTCGTGACAGGAGTGGGCATGGCCATGAATCTTGCGATATGTCAAGTATTTTGTGCGAACCTCGCAAATAATACGGCTTTGGTGGGTGCGTATCAAGGAGCTTACGGAATTGGTGGAATTTTTGGTCCCTTGATTGCCACGGCGCTCGTCTCCAGAGGTTCAAAGTGGTCTCGGTTTTATATTATTGAGTTGTGCCTTGCTGCGTTGAATTTCGGGATCGCTCCTCGGACATTCTGGAAGTACGAGCAAGAGTCGAAATCTCTTCTACCACAGCCTGCCAGCGAGCAGCAAGACCGGGAGAGAGGTACGGTCAAGCGTAATGATAGGACGAAAAGGCAGTGGCAATCATTCAAGACGTTGATGTCCAACAAACCAACAGTTCTTGGAGCCCTATTCATTTTTGCTTACCAGGGATCTGAGGTTGCGATTTCGGGGTGGATCATTTCTTTCTTGGTGCAATTTAGACATGGAGACCCGAGTAAAGTCGGCTTTGTGACTTCTGGGTTTTGGGCTGGGATCACTCTAGGTAATTGTTTGTTTTCTGAAATCGTATAAGCGCTCACATTTTCTCAGGACGATTTACGCTTTCCTTCCTGGCGCATCGAATAGGCGAGCGTACATTCGTATTCTTCGTTACTGTTGGCGTACGTACTTTCCATCGTCCGATAAACTCAGTCCTAACAATCACAGGCACTCATTCTCGAGCTCCTCATTTGGTTCGTGCCTTCGATTCCAGGTGACTCCGTCGCTGTTGCGTTCTCGGGTCTTCTCTTGGGACCGGTGTACCCATGCGCAGTCCACGTTTTCCAACGCCTCATTCCACGGAAGATGCAAATATCGTCTTTGTCTTTGATCGGCTCCGTTGGAAGTTCTGGAGGAGCTGTGGCACCATTTATGACGGGTATGTTGGCGCAGCATGTGGGGACCTTTGTGCTGCATCCTATATGTATTGGTCTTTTCGTTTGTATGGGGATTAGTTGGTTCTTGCTGCCGAAGGCAGAGAGGAGGGACGAGTAATTCAAACAAGGATTTGGCAGATGTTTGATAGAGATTGTTCGAGTAGTGTAGGAGGGCAGGGCACCCTAAGGATAAACAACCAAAACAACACACGTGATACCAGACAGTCCAGCTCTCCAGCAGCCACCAGAAACAACAACAAGAGCTGGTGTGACGTAATTATGGTCATATGAGCTCCAAAAGAATGAGAGAAGAGAAGTTATTGATTCATTCTAAGCTCTGAGTGCCAGATTATATGCTAGTTGTCACGTGTAGCTAAGGGTATTTGCGCTAATTTTGCCTAACCCTCGCTTAAGCAGCCAATCCATCGCCTCCATCAAAACCTTCGAAAAACCAGTGTAGCCTGTAGCCCCGCTACAGTAGCTTCGAACGATTTTGATATATTTCATTATTTATGATGGTGGAACAAATCGTAGGCGTCATCTTTCTAGTAATACAATTACCCCTCGATTCATATGCCAGTCTCCCATTCGTGTGACATTCAGATATATAAGACATTCCTTCACAAAAGACTTGATCGCCATTCAAATCTTGAGATGCTGAGAATGCGATTCGACGGACTAAAAACAGAAAAAGTGAGTTGTATATATGGTCTGCCGCCAACGAGTCTTCTTCCTGCGCGTATCACTTCAGCCTCGCTTGTTACTAATAAATCACATTCGTTCTTGGAATGTGATGCAGAATCAATATACAAATGGATTTGAAATCATGATGTCACGAGAGTTTTCATGCTCGCTAAAACTGATTGGTAAGTCGAATTTAGCCGAGAAGAAAAGGAGGGGTAGATATCCAACAAACGGAGAGCTTCATGCACATAAAAGGAAGAAGCTGAGTATTCACATCTAGACAAGTCTTTCAAGAACACGCACAAATTTCTCCCATCAAAATGCCCACCTGGATAGTCACCGGCTCAAACCGCGGCCTCGGCCTCGAATTCGTCACCCAGCTCGCCGCCGACCCCAAAAACACCATCATAGCCGCAACACGCTCCATATCACGCGACCTCGCTAGTTTAGATGCTCTCAAGTCTAAGACCAAGAATCTCCATGTCTTAGAATGCGACACCGGCTCTCAAGACTCCATCACCAAGTTTGCATCTATAATCTCTCAACTCCTCGGCAAAGACGCCAAAATCGACTTCCTGCTCAACAATGCTGGTATCAATGCGAATTCCAAGATGACTAGTCTGACCATGACTGCTGATGCGTTGACAAATCATATGAATGTCAATGTGATGGGACCAGCTAAACTCGTTCAAGTCCTAGAACCACATCTTCAGGATGGGAGTGTAGTCATGAATATGACGTCTGGGCTGGGATCTCTTGGGTATAATAGGACGAAGGAGAATCCGGAGTGTACAGTCTATGCAATGTCCAAGGCAGCGTTGAACATGTTGAGTGTGCATCAGGCGGCGCATTTGAAGAGGAAGGGGGTCAGGGTTGTGATGATTGATCCAGGATGGGTGAAGACCGATATGGGAGGCAGTGGAGCTCAACTAGAGAAAGAGGAGAGTATTGGGGAAATGTTGAGGATATTGAATGGTATCAAGGATGATGACTCGTATTCGGGGAGGTTCTTCCTGTATGATGGTAGTGAGAGGCCATGGTAGTACGCTAGACAAAGCAACGAGACGTTTCTGTGCTTGTATATGTTATACCATGAGCCTTCAGCCTCCCCATGCCATTTGTTCCCAACATGACTGCTAAGTTATCTTTGGTAGTCAAACTGTCTCAAGTTTGTTCTTACGACTCTCTGCCACTAGCAGCGCAAGGCGTCTCGGCCAAAAATTTAAGTTGGTGTCGCAAAAAGATGTGAATGTTATCAGAAAATGTTAGCAGTTCCTGAAGCTGGTCTTCTACTGGTGCTCTCGCCGGACGTTTTCATCAGCCACCACAGCTGGCAGCTACCCAATCAGATTGGGTGGTGGCTTTACAAAGCCATAGCCCCAAATACACGTGTAACAGCACAGCCTCCAACCTTCAGACCCTCAACTTCTCAGCTCAAAGAGTTGGCGGCACTTGAGAATTCTTCGTCGTCTAATCTTTCGCGCTCAGGTTATAATCTTGGCTCCGAATCTTTGTCATGTTCACTCCGTTCGGCAATCCAGCGCAGAGTGTGAATATTTCCGCCGCTTGGCATCCCGAGCCTCACTTCAGAGGCACGTATGGAATCTTGTCATCGTGTCTCATCACGCTAGGTCTCTGTATCTGGACAGCGGTTCATTTAAATATCTCCAAGCATTCAAAGCCTAAAGCCCAAGTCTGGCGAAAGCTAAAGTGACTAATCAATGCTGTTCTAGCGCCCGAGATTGTAATATTCTAGCGTTAAAGGGTGACAGATTTCCTGCTGACGTGCTTTAGATTGTCTGGACGGCTTTTGAACAACGGAGAGATGCTAGGATCCTGTACAATCGTGTTTGTAAGGCGCTGTGGCAGTCTCCGAAAAGAAGCAAATGGCAGAAGTTACGATCGACCTTTGGTCGTGTGTTTCGCGGAGGACAAAAGCCACGGAAGTCTGATCATGAGGTATGAAATCTTACAATTCACGCAATGCATGATGGTTGTTCTTGTCATTATATCATTTGTGATCATTTTCAAACATTTGACTAATTCTTGTAGGAGGGCGTTGGTGCAGACAATAGGCCTAGCCGAGTACATAAATGGACAATGGTGCACAGTCACCTCGCTGTTATGGGCGGCTTTTGTTTCGACACTTCCAATGCGGAAAGCAACTTCTTGACTGGAAACCGAACTCGGGTAACTCTCACCAAAATTGGTGTATGTACGCTTGCGGATCTAGCTCCAGAGCTTCTCCCCGACATCTCTGAAGAACAGATTCAAGACAAGAGCAAAGCAGATGGGCTCGGCAAGGCATTGGCGTGTTTTCAAGCATTTTGGTTTTGCACCGAGTGCATATCTCGTTTGGCTACAGGTCTGTCAATTACGCTGCTGGAACTTAACACTTTCGCTCACGCCCTTTGTGCGCTGCTTGCCTCCGGCTTCTGGTGGAGCAAACCGCATGATGTCAATGAGCCCGTACTGATCCAAGGGCCGGCAATGTACGCAGCATGTGCTGCGATGTGCATGCGAAGCCGTATGGGCGCCGAGCATCCGAGCGAGATTTCCTTTCCCGGCGATCGTCATGTTGGGCGCATATGGGAGAAAAGCCTGGGTACCATTGCTAGTCAAGATTCTGGGCTCCTAGAAGCTTTAGCCCTTCCCAGAGTTGCTAAGTACACGAAGGATCCCCCAATATACTCCGAAGTTTCTGTGGAGGGTTTGGGAGACACAACAATCTTCCAGGGGCATGGAAAAAGGTAAGACAAATATTCGCGCTGAGATGCTCGGAACTTATATGAGATAGGCTCGGTTCGAAACTAAACCCAAGCTTAAGACTACACATGGGGCAGAGCCTTTTCGGCTTCGGATTCCGACGCAGGATGCTCTACTCGGCACGGGACAAGAAACTTCAAGACATCGGCATCCTGCACATCAAACGACCTTTCATTGATCTAACCTCATCAGATATTCTGCTCTGGCGACTAGCATCACAAGGTCTAAGAGACTACCCTCTTTTCCATAATCTACCACAGGGACAGTATGTTGGCCATGAAAATACCCAAGTACACCGCAGTTTCCTGACCGAGTTCTGCATAGATAGGGCTTTGAACGTGCCTGGAGAGGAGAAAAACTTCTCTGGAGATAATTCCAGGTCCATCTTGTATACTTTCCTCGTTGCTGGTCTATGTTATGGCATGCTACATCTCTCGGCCTGGCACGCTCCTTTTCGATCCCATGCAGAAGCTGTCCTTTGGCGCATATCCGCCATCACGCTTGCCGTTTCTGGTTTTGTTCCCTTTCTTTTTCTGGGAGCTAATTATCTGCCTGATACTAAGACATGGGATGACCTCGCCAAATTCATCACACGGTTGGAAGAAAGCCACCTGGTAATTACTAATTTGATAATATTTCCTCTGGCTACGGTTCTCGGAATTGTAATCCCTAGTATTGCGATCGGTAGCGTACTATTATATCTTTTATCTAGGGTCTATCTACTAGTTGAATGCTTTCTCGCGCTGCAATATCTGTCACAAACGTCGCTGGATATACCACAGTGGTCCCAGTACTTCCTTCATGTAATTTAGATTAGAACTTAGTGAAGTAAAAACTTACAATGTAATCGCGGTCCACAAATTCTCACAATATAAACAATTATTTCGGTTTTATTCTCGTATATCATTCTAGCTGGTTAATCTGTTGCGATGATGCTTACAGCATCCGTGATGAGATCCAAGGAAGACGTTGGCTTGGTAACAGTGCTAACAGGTAAGCCAAAATGATGCCATGAAGCAGCAGCTGGATAAGAAATAGAGAACTTGGAGCGAGAAGCTCTGTTTTGGAAAGGGCATTGTGTGTAACCCTCATCTAACGATAAGGGAGTCTCGTCGATTATGATTTCCTCTTTCCAGCTCTTCACCAAGAAAATTCCAATGAGAGTACAACGCAAAGCTGGAAGCAAACAAGCGTCCAATTCTAGAACCGCAAACTTCTCTGAATTGCTGAATATGTCCATTCCCAGAATACATGAGGTTGCAATTAATGGTGAAAGCCCATCTTGTAGGGGCCGATTACGCTTCCTAGATCGATTGAATTTGAATGCATCATGGAAATAGCCATGGCTAATTTAAATCCCTCGGAGAGCTCAACTCGATAGCCCAGTCTACATACTCCTCTCTTAGAAACACCTTTTTGACGTTGTGAAGCCCCACGAAGAAGTGATGTATCGCTCCCGGAAAAAGTAAGAGACTTCTTAACAAGGTCTATTGGAAACTCGAGTCCACTCTGGGGTGGGAAAGAGAAAGACCGCTCTTCAAAGCTAGGTTGAAGAGTAACAGGAACTTTCCAGCCCCTCGATCAACATCTCCCTTGCTTTTGATTGCATCCGGAATCATTCACCACCTTGACTCTATCATCTTCAAACAAACAAGAGGGATAAAAAAATCTGCTTCCATTACCACAGAAGGCAAGAACACAATGAGTTGAATGCCCTTCTTCGAAGTGATCGCTATTACACGATACTGAGTGCCCGTGTTGCAAACAGCTAGGGAACATACATACTTTCGAACGCTCCCGATGAAAGAGAACTAATCTAAATCTGTGTACAAAAATAAGGAGACGGCGGGAGAAGTCGAGAAATGTAGATAGAAATGCGAGGAACAGTTTCTGTCAAATTTTGTGGATTCTTGGTTCTTGTAATGGTCGTTAGCTAATCTAGGGTGGAATAGGCCATGTACGCTTGTCCTCATCTCTCATGCAGAAGCCTGCGATTTATACGAGGATAATCACCAAACTCTTTTCTAAACGAATCATGATGCTTACTCGCAGCCAGTACAAACTTAAGAAAAATATATACAGAACAAGCTTCCAAGCTATTGGAACAAAGAATACTCCTGTTTTCTTCTTTCTTACACCAAAACAAACCCCTCCAACACAACACCAACGACTCCCTCAACCCACATCAATCTCACAGTACAATCCCCAGAAGATAGAGTAAGTAAATAAATTCATCACTACCCCCGATAAATGGTATAGCATATATACAAAACAATATATCTCGGCCGTGACATACACCAATTCTTCATTTTCCCAACGCCCCTTCCTAGCCACATGCTTTTCGATGCCCTACACAATAATAAATACCTCTTTCTTTTTGAGGGCTAGAACGCCATACTCCGCTATATAAGGATATATCAACTTTTGCAATACACTGCCAGAAAAAGGTACCTTCCTCCCATCCACTCACTCACTGACTCACTCATACATTGGTATAAATATTGCACCGAAAATCTTAGATGTGAAAAATTAATCACCCATTATTCCTCCCCATCCCTAAATCCACATTACTACTCATGCCCGCCTGCCCCACATTCCCGTTATTATCAAAGAAATTCAACACGTCATGCGGGAGGTATTCCAGCCAGGGCATCATATCGCCACCCAGGGTCGACATATCGATCTCCTGACTCTCCATCATCATATCGCCGACGCCGCCCATGCTTAGGTAACTCGTTGAGTTGGGATAGACGCCTGGTGTGTTGCCTTGGGGTTGGAAGTCGTAGGGATTGGTTGAGGAATCTTGTTGTCGGGTACTGGAGGGAGAAGTCATGCTTTGGCTAGCGGCGTGTTCGTAGGAGTGGTGTGAGCCGGGCGTTGCGTGGGAGTAAGCTGTGTTTTGGAGGCCGAGGAGCATTTCCGCGTCGGAGGTCGAGGCGGCGTCTGCGGCTATGGAGGAGAATTTGGGAGCGGGAGGTGGCATTGGTTGGGAGTGCTGGCGGCGGGGTTGGTAGCCGTAGCGAGAGTAATGAGATGTGGATGTGGAGGCCGCTGGTGCTTCGGGGAGACTTTGCCTTATGGGATCGTAGATCATGTTTCCGGGAGACGGGGCAGCAGGAGGTGGAGGTTGTGCCGCTTCAGTCATGTTTTGATACATGAACGTTAGATTTGAGCTTGGAGAATTCGTGGTGCCAGTCAATGACCATCCAATGGCTGTAGTGGGGTCGATAGCAGGAGAACCGGGCAGATTATCCATTCTTGGTGAGCGTAGATCTGCTAGACGTGGAGATGGCGCTGCCATCGACAATTTTCCTTGCCAACCAGGAATCATCTCGTGTCGGATCTTTGTGCTTTCGTATTCTTGCTCGGTATAGGTTTCTGGATCCCAGATGCCTTTCGCTTTCTGATCGAGAGCAACAAGTATATACCTCGTTCCAGCCCAGTATGTTTCCAGTTGTTGTAATGCCTTGTAACAACGCTGATAATTCTGATTTGCCGCTGAGGCAAGAAGAGTATGTTTCTGCTTCTGCTCATTCATTTTCTGGGTTGCTTTCGTATCTTTCACCGGAGTGCGACTGTTGCCCGATCGTGGAGGGCTGGCATCCCTTGAAGTTGGCTGCGACGACGTATGGGCGGCCGATTCCATCAAAAAGGCACATGCTGCTATATACATGGGCTGACTGGTAAATGGATTGCCGATGAAACTTCTGGGGTCAATCAATTCCGCAAAGGCTAGTATATCGGCAATAGTTTTGGCCGACGACATGCTCAGTTCGCGACTGTTGGGTAACAAGGACAGTATCTGGCCTTCGAAAGAGTGCATCAGGGTTGGTTGATGCAGAAGCATGATGAGTGTGTGGAACCAGAAATGAACCTTGAAACGTTAGCTTCTATTCGGACAGTAATAAAAGTATCTTACAAGAATAAAGTTTGTCCCTTCTCCGGACTTGACATAATGCTGAAAGTTGGCCGCATTGAACGTCAACCTGTGATCCAACTTCTGGTAAAGTTGTGTCAAGTCCTTTTCCATTCCCGACAACCCCTCAATTTTCTTCGGCGTGACATCTTGAACATCCCTGATATTGTTCAACAGATCAGATACTCGACCATAAAGGTGGATTATCTGGATCAGAGCTGGAAATGGGTTCGGCCAGCCGCTATCTGGGTTTGCAGTGATCTCTGGGAACGTCAACTCGAAGTCCTCATCTCTCAGCGTAACTGGCCGACCAGTGCCAGACGAGATGACTCTATCCAACATGAAGACTGCCCAAAGAGTGTCGATCCGCTCTTGCTCGATTTCCTTCTTCTCTTGAGCTGTGATTGTTGAGGGAGGATTCGACTGTATCATATCGTTGCTTGACCTCCGATAGCCTGGATCTTTCTGCCCTTGGTGCTTAACCCCATCAAGCTTTTGTAGACCTAGATCCACGGCCATACGGATGGCACATCCAAGATACATCCACAATGCGCTGTCTTGGTTCGCGCCGAAGCCTTCATAAGCAAGTAACAGACATGCCTGAACAGCTGCGACTGTTGGACATGGAAACGTATCAACAACTGCTGCTTTCGCTCTCTGAGCATAGATATGGCCGTATTCAGATTTTGGATATGGAGGGTCGTGAGACTGAGCGAGGAGTGAATGATCAGAGAATCGAGCAGCCAAGCCACAAACAGCATCCACGAGAATTGGTTCAGCCGACTTCTCCTCTACCCTCTGCATGAAGCTTTTGCGGCGCAAGAAAGGGTAATTGGAGCCCAAATGTGCAAAGAACGTCTCGATTAGGTGGATAATCAACTTGTTGACAGGCGATGGGTCCGTTGGATCATATATTGGCATATCGATTGAGGACCTTGGTTCTGTCCCAGCTTGTGATGGCGTGCCCCCATATACAGAACCAGATCGTCCAAGTCCATCCGACCCAGGAGAGAGAGCTACAGCAGAGCCAGCGCCAGTACTCCTCCGATGCTCTCTCACAGAAACGACCATCTGTTTGAACCCTGGCACAATCGCAGTTGGACCAAAGTATCTGAAGTACGGTACCCTATGACTTTCCGTATGCAATGGCGGCGTCCTTTCCAATGGACTTGGCCCATCATCAGAGAACACAGCACTCTCCCTGTACTTATCGAACGAAGCCGTCCTTCTTGCACTATCTGCGGTATTCCTCCTCGGTGTCGCATTCGCATCGAAATAACTCTGCCCATTACTCTCCACCCGCCTCAAATCCGGACTCCCATTAAGACTCGCCCGGTTCGGATGATGTCTCGACACAGTCCCAGGCTCAATCTTCGTCGTCCCCTCCGAGCTCTTATCGTCCTCATCATACCCATCATCATAATCCTCGATCCGCCTCGACGAAAGATCCTCAGACTTGCGCTCCTTCTTCAGCACTCCCTCCGGCGCATCAGCATAACCCAGACAGTCGTGCCCGTTTTCCGTGCAAGTCGAGCAGAGCGGTCTCTTGCCGTCACATCTCGTTTTCCGTTTGCGACACGTTCGGCATCTGCAATTTCTCTATCATTAGTCTGATCCAATTCCAACTTTCGTCCATCTCATCAAACGCGCCTCAGAAAGAACAATAGCAGGAAAGCAAACATACGCAGCATTTATCCTCCTCCGCTTGGCAGGCGGCTGGCCCTCATTGTTCACAAATCGGATCTGCTTCGGTGGTGGGAGTGGAATCTGCTGCTGTTGATGCTGCGCCGACGCGGTGGAGCTGGTACTCATTCTCGAGAGAGGGGCGTCCCCTTCTCTGCGGCCTTTATTGCGCTCTCACATTCGTTCGTTCGGACTCAGATAGGGAGCGGAGAGTTCATTGTCGCTGGCACATATCGTCGCTCGGTGTAGTTTTTCGGGGGTTGGAGTGGAGATGTCCCCACGGAGAGAAGTCGTAGATTGGAGGGGAATTTTTGAGGTTCGTGAGGGTTTTGTGGAGAGAGCGGAGAAGTGAGACACTTGGAATTGTTTTCCCCGTTCGTTTCGTGTCGTGCTTTGTTCGTGAGTTGGAGGTTGGAATCTGGGGGAGGGGCAGAGGTGAAGGTTGACAGGTGAGATTATGCAGTTGTCGGTGTTGTATGGAGTGGATTGTAAGGTTTAGTAGTAAGGTCCTTGAAGCAGTGCGCTCATTGATCAGAGAGTGTGGAGAAATCCAGAGACATCTGGACTGAGAAATGGAGCTAGTTTGTCATCTGCCGAAAACCGCATGGGATGAGTGATCGAGGAGAACTACCCCGGTTTCTAGCTCAGCTCATCTTGATATTAGATTTCCTTCCTGTACAGCTTGGATTTTCATCTGAGTAAGATAATGTTGTGGGAGGAGAAATAATTGTGTTTCACATTGCCAAGATCAATTTTTCATCACCCGTTTTCATCAACATCCGAATAGCCCTATCACTCAATCTCAATCTGCAGGCTATCACTGAACAGCGGAGAACGAATGCCGAACTTTCCTCGGCTCACACACAATGAACTTCACTCCACCATCTCTGACTGTGATAGCGCAATGCGACTTTAAGTCACAGATAAGAAGCATAGCTACGGCGTGTCGATCAAGCAGTCCAATTGTTCCACGTTGTCTGTGCCCCCCACGTGGCCTGGGCTCTGCGGCAATTCAGCCATGGGAGAAAGTAATAATGTAGACTTTATATATAGTCACATGTGAGGTACATGATATACTTGGAACTGACATATATATATGAAAGCTTGGTCGTTGGTCACTCTGATTGTTTGGTGGTGGGGGTTTTGTTGATCGTTGGTATTCTCTATATTGCTTCCTGGTTTTCGTATACTTTAGGTATTCTCGCTGGTCTGACAAAATTCTATCCTTCCATGGTATTCCCGAGATATCTCTCCATCCTCATCCGAGAAATCTCAGCTCTTGTAAATATCCGAGTCACTATCACACCATTAGCTTTGCACTCAACAACAGAAAGGCCTCAACTCACAATTTCCCAAACTGATCTCTACCCTCCGCATCCTTATTGACCCAAACGCTCAAACTAACACCAGGACAAGTGAACGCCCCAAATCCATCCTCCCCAATCTCAACCTCTCCCTGTTCCCACCCAAGAACGTCCGTCCATTTCTCTCCCGCATGCATCTCCCCAACATGCATCCTCTTCTCGCCGGGCCCAGCATTGCTCAGGACTACAGCACAACCGAATCTACGGTCCCAGGTACCTTTTCGCACCCAGCCGATGCAAGTTGCGAAGTCAAAGTAGTCGTCTTGCTCGCCGTATGCGTAGAGCTTGCGGGCTAGGGTAAGGGCTGGGAGAGCGCCGCCGCAGGCTGGTGGGAAGGGGTGTTCGCCTTTGATGCCGTAGAGATCGCCGTAGAAGACACATGGATAGCCTTGGTTTCTGAGAAGGATGAGGGCATACGCGAGAGGTTTGAAGAATGGTTCGATGGGAGCTTCAAGGGCTTGGTAGGGTTGGGTGTCGTGGTTCATGACCAGAGTCTAGTTCGTTAGTCAAAATAAAATAATGTGGTGTTGAGAGCAGCCTTACCACAGCGTTGACAGGCTCGATCTGGACCAGACTATCGTCGAAAACCTTTCGCAAGTCTGCTCCCTCAGTCTTACTCATCTGACTGAAGTTGTAGACCAACGGTGCATCAAAAAGACTGAACTTCTTGCCCATTCGTTCCAAGTACCGAGACATATCATCTAAGCTATCCTTCCAAAACTCGCCAACGAAGAACCATCCGGCACCATATTCCTCATCCATAGTAGTAATGAACTCCCTCAAGAAGTCCTCACTGAAGTGCTTAATAGCATCAAATCGGATACCCTTCAAAGTGACCTCCTTGCTCAACCATTTGCCCCACGCAATGACATCTGCCTTGACTTCTGGGTGCTCGTAATCCAAATCTGCGAACATCAAGTAATCGTAATTACCCTTCTCGCCATCGACATCTCCAGCCTTAGCCCAGCCTTTTGTCTTGTCGCCCAGGATCTTGTAGATAGCAGACTTGTTGTTTTCCGCATTGTAGTCGGTACCGGTGAAATGGTACCAATGGTACTTCTGCTCCGAGTATTTCTCTCCTCGTCCGGGGAAATCGAATCCGAGCCAAGCATCGATTTCGTAGGGGTCGGAAGTCGTCTTGTTGCGGTTGTCGGGGTCGACTTCTTGAGCTTCGCACTTTTCTTTGTGATCTGCTGCTGCCTTGTGGTTGAGGACTTTAATAATTAGTCAAAGTCAAAGCTGTACAGTAGGAAACATTACCAGCATCCCAGTAAATACCAACACCAACTTCATTAGCCTTCTTCACCAATGTGACCAGTTCTTCTCTGGTTCCCCATTTTGTACCCTTGCTTCCCTTTTGGTCGAATTCGCCCAAGTCGTAGAGATCGTAAATATCATAGCCGTTTCCTGAAGGAGACGAAGCTTTGCATCCGGGTGGGATCCACATATTGTCGATACCAATAGCCTTGAGCTGTGGGACATTGTCGTGCAGACGAGTCCAATGTTTGTGATCGTCTGGGACATACCATTCAAAGGCTTGCATCATTGTCATGTTCTCCGGCGTAGGTTTCTGCTCTGCGAAAGTTAGACAACATCTTGCTCTAATATTAGAAAAACCTACCCGATTCTGCCATCTTGTCTATTGTATCAACGAAAGTCGCTGAACTCCTGTTTATCAAAAGTCTGTCTACGAAGGAGAAGAGAACGTCGAGAAACGAAGATGTAAACAGGAAAACGAGAGATAAAGGAATCAATTCAAATTTGTACAGATAAGCCGAAATCGAGCCCCTCCATCAAAGAAGAAAATCCCCCACCAAGGAAGATAACTCCTTTCTGCACGTCTTCCAAGCTTCTGGACCCCTGAACCTTATCGCAAGGATGACGTAGAGGGCGGCCCTTGGCATCTTCACGGGCCAGGACAGCGGATGAAGTTTTAAGCTTTGAATGGAATCAAGGGAATTGTTGAGTTTGAGGAAGAAGCAAAATAGTAGACGCGAGTTCCATCGTGTTTCACGGCAGCGAGTAGCTGCAACAACGTCTCCATGCAGGTGGTGCTGATCACATGATGAGGCTCTGCAGGTGGCTTGAAGAGCACCTACCTAGGTACCTAGGTAGTGATGGTCCCTATCATTCCGATTGAGAACGCGTACCTATTGCTGCTCGATCAAATGTTGTGGAACATCATATCCGAGTCCATATTTACTCATTCAACAGTCCTCGGACGAGTCTATTATTGTTCTGGTTCCACGGAACGGGCTCTCGCATCGAGGATCTGATTCGTACAACAGTTGAAGTAACCCGAAAACAACGACACCAAGCGGTTGATCCTCGTATGAGCCGATGTATAGTCATATAAAAATGGTATGTACTCCCTTTCATCAAAATAGCGCTTGTCAGCAGCACCACGACGTTCCAGATGGATTCGTTTGGTTATGGCTTTCACTCGAAAACGCACGCAGCATGGTATAGTCGAAGGATCAAAACAACAACGGATCGTCTGGCAAACATCCGATGTAGAGTCCAGTGGCTGAATGGTAATCCCATTTCTTTTTGTTTTGTGGTAAGTGAATTGTGTGTTTCTCCTTTACGATGATTCGCGGAATTGCGGCCCATAAAGTGGTCGTCGCCATTGCCCGGTCAACTAGTAGCAACTTTCCTTCAGCGGGAAACAACAACAATCGGACTCCACCTCGAACCAACCTGAATTGAACACGAATCACGACTTCACGAATCTTGTACATCATAATAGCTTTACATATACCCAATCAACCAATTCCCTTGTCGGCTGTGCCTCGACATATCATATCCTCGGAAACTCAGTCGCACGGTTTCGGGTTGCTGCATGAACCGCGGCGCTATTTACTTTGACTTTTTGTACAAACAACGCTCGGCCCTTATTTCGAGATGCGGAAGACTCCTCCACCTCAGAATTTCGAGATTCATGTTGATGCTTCCTGCTTATCGGATAACGCAGAGAACGACCCAACAATGTCTGCAGAGCGCATTCCAAGCAACGAAAGTAGTCAGACTGTTGTTCATCACGATTCCTGGACTGGAGAAGACTTGAAGAGCGAAGCACCGGTTGCAAACGAGGAATCCGAAAAAGCCAATATTGAACACGAGACACAAATCGAAGAGAAGGAAAACAGCCCACCTTCTGCCGATATCAACGAGGAAGAGGACACGAAAGAACCAGAGCCAGAGAAAGATATCTTCGAGGAGAAGCAAGTAGATCAACCAACCGACGAGACTGTGGAGCCAGAGCCCACAGATGGAGAGGAAGACAAAGAACGAGAGGCACGAGAACGGCGTATGGAACGAATTGAAGCAGAAATTCAAGCTGCTGCACGAGCTGTAGTAGCCAACATCCAGAGCGAACATTATGACGGAAACGAAGATTCTGTTCTGAGTGCGCAAACGGACGAAAGCTACGATCAAGATGGAACAGAGCTCACATATGATGGGACGGAAGTGTCTGTTGAGAATGGAGGAGATGACTCTTTCGTCACTGATCATGATGCTACATCAGAACACCATTCTGATCATGAAGGAGGAGATTCTAGCTCCCATCATGATGGGGATGTGGATGATGATGTTTTCAGCAGTTCAGATCGAAGCAAACGAAGTAGCATGGATTCTCTACACAGTTCCAACGACAATCAAAAACTTCTGACATCTCCAGCGGTCGGAGAAGAAGCTGCATCTGCCAACGAAGGAGAACCTATTTCCAGGATACCCAGTGTAGCTTCGTACATACATACACCTCGGCCTCCCGGAGACCACACACCAAGCAAGGTCCTATCACGACCTCCCTTCCGTACACCTTCCTCCGTCCGAGCAATGCAGATGTCGTCTCCCACAGCATCTCTATTCTCCTCACCACGCTCAACCAAACGACATCTCCCTACAGTCTCTCGTATTGGCACACCTAATTCTCAATACTCCCCTTCGAAGCGAACACCCACAAGATTGAAGCCGAGGAAAGCAGCCCCTCTTGTGCTTCTACACGTCACAGTCCTGCCCCTACAGTGGCCATACTCGTATCTCATGTCGCTAAATGATATCCCTGAATCTTTGCAGAATGTGAAGGAGAGCTGGAAATTGTTGCAAGACAAGGTTGGCGACACGGTTCTTGAACGTGGGATTTTACTCTCGCATCCCCAAGAATCGTACGAGGTTCTTGAAGAACGTCTTTACGAAGCCTTAGAATTGCCTGTCCGTCCTCGAGCCAAAATTCTGAAGTGTGGACATTACATGGGACCACTGGATCCCGAAACTCCTTCATCGGATGAAGAAGGCGAGTACTTCGAAGGCGCGGATATTCGTGATGGGAGGAAGTGGTGCGATATTTGCGGAAGAGATGTTCGGGTCGAAGAGGTTGGAGATCTTCCAAAGGGAGAAAAACGCTTCACAGTCAAGATATATGCTTCGAATGGCTTGATGAGAGCCGGAGCGTGGGAAGCAGCTTGGAGAGAAATGGAGAGGGTTGATGTTGAGCTGGAACCATTTGTTGATGCAAATCTACGAGCCGAGCTAGAGCATCTTGCTGCCATTACACCGCAAGAAGTCCACGCTGAGCATGTGGAAGATCAAGACGATGGTTTCGAGGACGAGGAGATCATTGAGCCCGTGCATGATCACTCCAATGAAAAGGAGCGAAAGAACCAAGATGCCAGGGCACGTGAAAAAGAGGAAATGATTTCTCGAATGGCGAAGGAGGATGAGATGAAGCAAAGAATCCTCGAAGAAGATGACATAAGGAAGCGGATGGCCGAAGAGGAAGAGATGCGCAATCTCATGGCGGAAGAGCAAGAACTGAAGCAAAGAATAGCCGAGGAAGATGCTATGAGGCGACACATGGACGACCAGGAAGCCATGAGACAGAACGAAGAGAGGATGCGCGAGATCTATGGACAGGAAGCTGAACGACCACAATCTCTCAGACGAAACTCATCGAGATCAAGCGTCCATGATGATTCTTCGTTTGCTGAGCTTTTGCTGGCAGCATTCAAAGTCGTCCTTCGAGACTCGAGGAACCTCGCTATTGGTATTCTCAGCGTTCTCGTTCTGCTTCTTGCACTTTCCGCAAAGACGACTGTCACCGAACTTCCATTACCTAAGATTATGGACAATGCTTCAGTGCCTCAGATTACAACCACGGTCTTCAAGGAAGCCCCAACAACTTCCGCTCAAAGCGTTCAGCCATTTACAGAAGAAACTATTCAGCTCTCCGTGTCTATGAACCCCGAATCAGTATCTCAAGTAACCACAACTGTGATCCGAGAGTATACTGTGACCGAAAAAGCGCCAGTCTCAACATCAGCTGAGATCGTCGAAGTGTCGCCAAGCGTATCGGTGTCGCAAGTCACAACGACTGTTTTCCGAGAACAGACGATCACGGAACTAGCACCAGCTCCGACCTCTTCTGATGTTGCAGATCCCTGTGAATCTTTGGTCTCTGCTAAGAGCCAAGTTCCAGTTGCTGAGTCTGAGGCAACAATTCAAGAGGAGCTTGTTGAGAATGAGCTGGCATTGGAAGATCATACTGAAGCTCTCGAACCTGAGGAGGGGATCAAGGTGGATGATATCAACACACCAGATGATCCACTCTCCTCCAAAGAGCCGTCCATCCTCAACGAATACCTGACCCAAACCCCCCTCGGTCCAGAGCTCGAACCCTCCGTCGACCCAGTCGACACAGAGCACCCATCCGAAATCTAACCTTACCAAAAACACATAAAAACGTCGATAATAGTCCCCAGTGAAGAAGTATTTGAGCGAGCATTGATTGATGTCTTTATTTTGTCAGCAATCCTTTTGTCTATACTTAATGACATCACATTACCTTCTTGACGCGACATTGTCGGAAAGCGAGCGAGAGCGAATGTAGATAGCGAGTGTTGTGTGCGTATACCTTTGAGATTCAATTGTCATTGCGAGGGCGAAAATTTGAAGGGTTGTTTATTGAGTGTGTTATTTTATGATTGATGATTGTGTTGTCGAAACAGGAGAGAATTAAGGGAAGGGAGGAAGGGGATAAGAGTAGATAGTGGGAGGCAATGGAAATGAAATGCAGGGTTCTTTTCTGGATTCTATGTGTCTAGAGTGCAGGGTGATTGTGACTGCAGTGAGTGGATGGCAAGTGCCACAAAGTCGTGACTATTGAGTACATGCCCTGTCTTTACACATCATCAATTCACTAAACAATAGTACACCATGAACCAAGATAGAACTTTGTTTCTTACAACTATCAGCTCGTGCATTTTCCTTCCTCGTTCCGTGTCATGTGTTTGAATCAGGTGGGTCCGAGATCAAGATGTTTAATTGGTCAACTGCATAGACAGAATTAGTCAGTCAGTTGCTTGTGATTAGGGCTAGCCTAATTTGGAACGCTTGCGCCACCTTATTTAAGTTTCGCACATTTGACGCATGTCGGTGCGGACAGCCAGGCCCTCGCAAGTGGTGTCTGCAGATCCGAGACCGATAAACTTCAAAGTCTCAACTTACCTTCGATCCCTTTCACAGCACAACACATTCTGCACAACGACGTCAATTCCCATAATCCTATAATAACACAAAACAATTAGCATTGTCCCTCGCATTATTCTTTTCTTTTCGCAGTAATTAACTGCGCGCATCAAGTGGTGCAACTCACAGTATCGATCGGGTGAGGTTGTGGTTGTGGTTGGGATGAACCGTCTCCTCCTTCATCCGAGGCGAAGTTGGACATCAAGTGGTGGTGCAACATCGTGAGAACTTCAGATTGCGACCGATCGGGTGATTCGATTAAGCGAGAGGAGTTTCTGTGTGAAAATTGTTATTTTTTTGCTTTTAGTGCCTACGATGGCACTGGATTGCAGCTACTCAGACCAAATTGCCGTCTCGGGGTCGAACGCTTCACTGAGTTCACATACCTGATTTCTTTGATTTTGTTGGATGAAACGAGTATCGCGAATTGGTATGTTGCCTAGAGAGAATGGAGAAGAGAAAGAAAGAAGGAGGAAGGTGCAACATGGGAGATGGCAGCATTCATATACCTTTCCTGCTCCTCGCTGCTTCAAGGAAGAATCACTGTGTGAAACACGCTGCCAGCTATTTGAATACCTTCACCGGTGCTCAGTTAGGCCAGTGCCAATAGTATACTCTGAATACCATCGCTGTTTTATCCTCAGGGCATAGGCCAGTCACCCGCCTCGAGACTTTCAAGAATCGCCGAGTACTATACACATAAGGCTGTTGCTATATCAAAACGTCAACATGAAGATCTCGCATTTCAGACAGAGAGACATAGTCGTTTGCCATGTTCCATATGTAGCGAGGAGATTTGACTGAACATTGGATGGATTGCAGACGAGACGAGCGTTTTCTGCGCAACTTGCTTCGAATCACTTCCTCGGAAGGTAGTCACGTGATATGAGACTGGTCAAATAAGAAGTTATGTGGAACTTAATTGAGATAAGTCAAAGAAAGTCAAGATGCCTTTCCTTCTCGGACATTCCACTCACATGAAGAGACGATACCTCAGGCGTACAAAATGCAAGTAGAAACTCTTACCCAAGGCCAAAGTTCACTTTCACCTCCTTCTCTTGTTCTGGTGGCCCACGACCTCGGTTTTAAAGCAAATTTTCTTTCGGCTTTTACCAAAATGAAAATATCATAAGAGCGCATTAATCTAGCTCTCTCTAGAAAGTTAGGATCCTCTGTTCAGGTACTAGTTGAACTTTTGATCGCTCGTTTTATTATCTGTGGCACAAGTTAGAATCTCCAACATGAGAAGGCGATTTTTAAGACTCACGCGTAGCATCAACTGGCGCCGTTGCGACATGCAACAAAACTCTTCAAATTATTCACATGGACTAGCAGTTTGACTTTTGGAAACTCCTGGGTGGCGTAGGATTCACTTTGTGTATGTCAGCCTTGTGCAGATAAAGCATCTCTGTATGAAATACTTCAAAGCTAGTCACATCGTTACCAGTGGTTGTGTAATGTCAGCCTGTACGGCTCAAGAGCTACTTCATGAAGAACAGTCTCGATATGCAAACTAGATCCATACATACTCTAACCATCGACCACTAATATTGGGCACAATAGGGACGACTACAAGCACACCGCGTAAGGTATGTAGTAATACCGTTCCTTCCCCAATATTCTCCTCCCATTACGAACATATGCCTAACCCTTAACTCGAACCCATGATATTCTCCTGGGCCTCGCTTCTCGGACTTTTCAAAGTTTCCATACTCCTCACCCTGCTTCTCACACCACTCCTTCACAAACTTCAGGAAGTCTCCTACAACAACATTAGCTCCGCTATATCAATCAATATCTGAGCATACCACCGGAATGCAGCGCATTCAAAATCTCACACTGTCTCTGGCTCGCAAACCTAAAATCCTCATTCCAACCAGTGAACAACAGGACCATCAGATAGATGTACTCCTGCGCCACCAACGTCTTGATCGGGAACGGTTCGTCCTTCATAAAGCGACACTGGAACTTGTAGACACTGATCCAATCCTTCCGGACCCAAATCTTCCACTGATCCCAGTCCGAGCCAGGGTGGTTGCCGGCTTGGATGTTGGAAGCGGGCTTAAACCATTCGAGGCTGTCGCGGAACCACTTCCAGTTGACTTCTTCGCAGAGCCGCTTCAGACATAGCCATGCTTGCTTTTTGGTGAGGTTTCTGAAGGCGTCCTTGTCGAGGGGAACTGCTGGTTTGGAGGATGTTGACTTTTGCGGTTTATCTTTTCCCATGGTAGGTGTTCGTGCTGTGCTTGAAATTTGGGTTTGGAAGAGATATTCGTCATTTGGGAAGATGTGGGAGATTCGGATTTCTTTTATAATCAAAGAATATTTTACTTGAATCATTTCGGCTTCACTAGATTCATGAGCATATTTTAAGTCATTTGACTCAACCTGAGATGGCTCACGTATCAAATATTTCGGGAAAACTCCGCCTGCAACACCAAATATCTTTAATTTATCTTTGTTAATAATCATTTAGAGACGATGTATTGCTTCCGAGTGTAAATCTGACACTAGAGCGTATGTCGTGTAACTCCCGAAAAAGGAATAAATTCTGGGTGCATTTCGAGAACACCTTTTGAGCTTTCGCGATGATGTTCGTAAGACTACCCCAAGGTGCTTTGCTTGATAGCACAATCCAACCTGTTGACTTGTTTGTTTTACTCGTGTCATCCAGTTGAAGTGTTTACAGAATGCGTGGGCGCTCCTCACCACCCCAAACCTCCACGTCATCAGTTACTCGAACCATTAAGTCATACTCTCTTCCTCGATTTGATTATATAATGGTCCTGATCAGTTATTTTTATAGTTAATTCTTTTACTAGGAAATCTTCAACATAACCCGACGCGCCATGTGAGAGCTTCCAACATGGTAAAGCGCAATCTTGGCATGATACTTTCTGCCTTCAACTGCCGTCACATTATCCTCACACCTTTACACTTCGATATGAATTTTCAACGGGAACTGATGGTCTAGTCTAAAACATCGATCAGCCCTTCTTGGGGATCACTTGCTACAGTTATTATGTCCATGTTCTATCAACTTTCCTCATACCTCTTCTCCACAATTTCTTTCAGCTTTCCAGAAGACTCTACCTGGACTAGATCCTTGAATGCAACCCATTCCAGCTTAAGCGGCGCGATGCGCCCTTCATCCCGTCTCTCCCTCCAAGCTGGAGTTATCTCCATAATCCCTCCCTCAATCCTGGTCCGTATCTCCTCCGACATCTCCGGCTTTTCCGCTACTATCCGGATCGTCACTACAGTTTTTTTATCCGACCGACTTACCACCACCTGATACGCCACCATCTTACCACCAAGGACAGCGGCCACGATCTTTCGGATGGACTGGCAGGTCACATGAGCATTGTCGATCTTCAAACCCACCGATTCGCGTCCGCAAAAGCGAAACAGTCCAGCATCATAATCAACCCACTCAGCTGAGTCGCCCACAGGATATCTAATCTTTGGCTGGAGCCTCATGATTAGGTTGGTTCCAACAACCAGGCCGCGTCTGCCATTCTCTCTAATGACTGATCCATTGCCATCAATAATCTCCATGATTGCCGAGGATGTGTTGACCCTGTAGATCGGATCGACATCTGCGTCTTTTTCATTTCCAGGGCGGTTGATAGGAAAACCCAAGATCTTCAACTCAACGCTACCGTATTCCAAGGGCCTTATTTCAGCGTTTGGAAACACAGCGCGGTGTAGGTCTCGCAGATCCTTATAGAATGCTTCACCCGCGAATAGAATCCGGCGCACATTTGGGAGGACTACCTGCTGGCTTTGCAAGTGCTCCGCCAATCGAGTTGATCTATACACGCTGCAAATGATGACCGTTGCTTTGAACTCGATAATGGACTTGGTTATTGACTCCAGAGGTTCGTTTCCGCTGATGGGAAGATTGACGATCGGGACGGGGCAGTTCATAATGGCGTAACCATAAGTCATGAATCCAGAGTACAAGCCGCCTTGGACTGCGAGATTGGCTACTCGGTCACCTGGAATGAGCTCGCTTGCTTCAGCCATCATCACGCTGTTTATCTGCGCTGTGAGATGCCATTCGGCGCGAGTCATGAGGAGTGTTTTGGGAATGCTACTAGAGCCACCACTGCGCAATACAACCCCGTCAATGAACGGAGTAGTGATTACTTCATTCGTTTCTCCATTGGATGCCTCCCAGTATTCGTCGTTATTTGTCAAGGGCAGATCTTCCAAGTTTGCAATGTGCGACGGCAGATCTCGATAAAGAGAGCGGTAGTAGGGTGAATGTGTCCGGACGAATCGCACAAGTTCACTAACAGCTGTCCTAGCAGGCTGAGAAGGGAGTTTTTCGATTTCGTAACGCATGGTGGGGATGAAAATGTGTATCTTGACACAATTGTAATGGAGAATTTTCTGAACTCGTCAAGTGAGTTTCGTATGATCCTGCCCAAGAAAAGCAAGGAGTGATAGAAACATATAGGCATCACAATAAACCAATACCACCCTACTCGAAAGAACCCCTCTTGTTAATTAGATGTACACTGAGCGGAGACTCCCGAAAACAGTCTCACAACGCTTGAGTTCGTCTCGGAAGGTTCCAGAGGTCAAGGAAGTATATCGGGTAACACAAACCAGTTCATACAACCCATGCGCCCCCTCCTCGGAGTTTCCACCCGACGTCAACGAAAATAATCACACGGAAGCCTCCGGGTGTGAGCCAAAGCACGTACCAAATTTTGAAACAACTAGTTGCAGATTCCACTTCACGACCCAGCATCATCGTTTACGTATACACGACGAAATTACTGGCAGCATAAGACGACGTATGGCTACAGTTGCAGATATATCAGCTTCGAACGTAACTCTCGAATTTTTACAGGCTGCTAAAAGCAAACCTCTGTGAACGTAGGCTGTTCTAATTCTTACTTCTTAATTATGGATCTCACTACTGCCACCGAGCCAGAAACACGCGCAAAAGCTCACTTGGCTTCGAATCCGACGAACAAGACAAATGGCTTTGAGCCTTCGAGCAGACCCAATGCCTGGATGGAGGTAGGTCAAGCAGCCTATGACTTTCGGTCGGACTACGTGACTTCGCCTACTCCTGCCATGCTCGAAAGCATTATCAAAACAACCTTGCTCGACGACGTGATGATGGAAGATCCGACAACGAACTCTTTCCAAGATTTCATGGCAGACTTGACAGGAAAAGAAGCCGCACTATTGGTCTCCTCGGGAACCATGGGAAATCAGATCGCTCTGCGATCAGCCCTGACCTCTCCTCCATACTCCATTCTATGCGATTCTCGAGGACACATCTTACACATGGAGGCAGGAGGTGCAGCTACGCTATGGGGAGCATTAGTGGAAGGCATTCAGCCATCCAACGGCCATCATCTCACCGTGGCTGATATTCAGAAGTCGGCGGTACTTAGGGAAACGGTGTACGATTGCCCGACTCGAGTCATCAGTTTGGAGAATACCCTATCTGGTACCATCATGCCTCTCAGTGAAGTACGAGCTATCTCAGCTTGGGCGCGCTCACAAAACCCCGCAATTCATATGCATCTGGACGGGGCTCGTCTTTGGGAAGCTGTTGCGGCTGGTGCTGGCGAGCTCAAGGAGTTCACTGAATGCTTCGATAGCGTGTCCCTGTGTTTTACGAAAGGGTTGGGAGCCCCAATTGGGTCTATAATTGTTGGTCCATCCTCTTTCATCAAGAGAGCCAGAATCACAAGGAAAGTGATGGGCGGTGGGATGCGGCAGACTGGTATCATCGCAGCGCCGGCGCGTGTCGCCGTGGAACAGGTCTTTTTAGGAAAGCAGTTGAAGAAAGCACAAGACACAGCAAAGTTCATCGCAGATGCGTGGATTTCCATGGGAGGTAAGTTACTGAAGCCCACTGAAACCAATATGATCTGGTTGGACTTGGATGCCGCCGGTATAGACAAGCTATACTTCGCAAAAGTAGCTAGAGAGATTGGCGTGAGGACAATGGAGGGTCACTTGGAGGATAGACTGGTTGTGCATTATCAGATCTGCCAGGATGCTGTCGATATCATCATCAACGTCTTTCGTGTAGTGCTGCAAAATAGCCATTGTATTTGATCAAGTTTTTTTTATCCTATCTATTGATAGCTACCAAGGGAAGAGAATTACATTTCCGATTCTGCATCTCATCACCGAAAGACTTTCGCGGGCGCTCCTCAATAGCACTGGAATAGGATTTCAGGTTAAAAAAAAAAGAATGGTTTGTCAATGATGATGATCGGGGCCCAAGATTTGCAACGACTTGATACCACAGTGCTCACGCAGAACTAAATGAGTACATCTTGTTATCCCGTATCCTGTCATACCTGTTTAATTCATACTTTAATTTGAATACCATGACTATCAGGTATCAGCTGCAAAGGTACCACTGATCCTACAAGCCTTTGTTCTCGTCAGTGTGAAGAATAATCATCTTTTGGGTGGTAATATATATTGCCATTTTTGTCTTTTAATGGTAACACAAGAAGTTACCGCTTACTCAATATCCGACGGATCAACTTCCGCGCCCATAATTTCTTCTTGCAGTGAAAATATGACAACGAAAAGTAGAGATCACATCAAGTATACTGTTTTCGACTGAACTAACTGTACTGGCTGCACTGAGTGGGGAGGGTGCTCCCGTGGACTGGCTCTAAGTGCTTTGTATGTGTGTTCGAGCTGACAGGCGGTGAGAGTGGGGGATGCTGAAGGCGGAAAACTCAACCATGCCTTGCATCAAGCCAATGAAGCAACTAGGCTCGGGTCGCTTTGGAAACGGTTGTGGCCTCACGCCACCTGCAATGGTGGTTGCAGACGAGCTGCTTAGTTGAATACGAGAAGCAAGAAGGAACTGGAGGAAGATGACACGGGGAAGCTGGGCCGGTAGACTAACGAAGGCCTGTGCACTTCCTTTTTCATATTTTGGCGATCACTTCTCTTTTCTGTTGATGGGGATATGATGAATTTGTTTGATGCTCTGGCCTCCCTGCCAAACCAACGTCGGACGACTTCCTGTTCTGTATCAATTGGTCCCCACTTCTTACGAACTCCAACAAAGCCGAATGACAGCACAGCACTTACTCCGTAATTTACGGAGTTCGGCCTGGAGGCCTCCGTGAATGTATTGTTCGCCAGCCTGCAATTTGAACGTGGATAGAGATCATAGACATCGTGTAGACTTTCTTCCACCTGCTGCATCATTGCACCTATTCTCCAATCTTATAATCTTGGTCTCTCATGATGGACGTAAGCCCTGGGGCTGAAGTACCCGAAGTCAAATCGCCCGAACTCCATGAGATTAACGATGAACCCAAGAGCGAACCCGTTGAGCAGATGTGCGCCACCGGTGAGAAAGACGCCACAGCCTCTGGCAACCATGTTGTGGAGACGGAAGGTGGAATTGAGTTTCTAGTAGGTCAGACGTTTATTTTGACCTACGTTCACTGATTCAAGTAGGTGACATGGCAAGACGAAGAGTCAGATCTAGGAAACCCTAAGAATTGGGCTATGAGGAGAAAAGCGAGAGCCCTAGTTGGCATGTCAATGTTCGTCTTCATCAGTGTCTTCGCAGTCAGTCTAATTGCACCGGGGCTACCTGCCGTTTCTTCGGACTTGCATATTGAGCAGCCGGCGGTACAAGAGATGGTGCTCTCCATCTTCCTCCTAGGCTATACTTTCGGACCTCTGGTTGCAAGCCCACTCTCCGAGACGTTCGGTCGCATGAGAGTAATACAGTTCTGGAATCTCTTGTATACTATCTTCAATGCCCTATGTGGTGCCTCACAATCCAAAGAAGCGCTTATCGTTTTGCGATTCATCTCTGGAGTGTTCGCTAGTGCTACGTTAGGAGTGAGTCCAGTCATCATCCCTGGGGCGACACATGCTAATAGTTTTTAGATTGGTGGCGGTACAATCAGCGATCTATTTCGATCTAAGGATCGTGGTAAGGGTGTTGCTATATACAGCTGGTGTGCAGTGGCTGGTCCGCTCTTTGGTGTCATCCTTGGTGGTTTCATCGCCAAGTACACAACCTGGCGTTGGGCCTTCTTTTCCACTTCCATACTCAGTGCATGCATCCAATTGATCGGCCTCTACATGCTAGAGGAGACATATCCTCCACTGTTGCTCCGCAGAAGAAAGTGGTCCATTATCAAGGAGACGGGCGATACCAGGTACTATACGCTTCATGACCATCTCGACCATGTCACGGCTCGAGTACTTTCTCAAAACCTAATTCGACCTTTCAAACTATTAGCGACACAGCCTATTATTCAAGTCATGGCCTTATACAATGGATTTCTGTACGGAAATACTTACATCTTCTTCGCGGACTTCGTCAACCTCTTTACAAATCGTTATCATGAAAGTGTACAAATTGCTGGGCTCAACTATGTCTCCATTGCCACCAGCTCTGGCCTAGCCACCGTGATATACAGCATGACAATTGATCGCATATATCGAATCTTGTCAAGCCGGAATGGTGGGCAAGGGAAGCCTGAATTTCGAATTCCCGTCATGGTCCCAGGCACGCTTCTCCTTGGAATCGGCTTGTTTTGGTATGGCTGGTCGGCAGATGCTGTCCTTCATTGGATCATGCCGAATATCGGCTGTGGCCTCTTCATAGCAGGGGCAACAATATGTACCAGCTCGGTGAACGCGTACATAGTCGACACGTATGGGCAGTACTCTGCGAGTGCTATAGCAGCGATCTCGATTCTGAGATGTCTAGCTGGATTTACCTTCCCGCTTTTTGCCCCTTATATGTTCGTCTCACTGCACTGAAAATTTGACGGCAACTAATAATTTCAACAGGTACGACAAACTTGGTTACGGTTGGGCCGCTACTGTACTCGGGTTTATCGCGCTGGGTATCGGGTTCCCGGTCCTTGGGCTGCTGTGGAAGTTTGGCTTGTACTTGAGACACAAGAGCCCGTACTCGAGTGCTGAGAAAGTCCCTGAGACTAGAGTGAACTTAGTCTCAAACAGCACATGCTAAGAGCAAGAAATGCGGTCGGGGTTTGATTCCTGAAATGGCTATTTCGAGCCGGTGATGCCAAAATTCGAGGGACTCAGTAAATTACCTAGATGAATAAACTTTAAGAGGAATCGTGGTGCCTGCCTTTCAAAGATCAGACCCCGTCAAAATCTTGATTGCTTTTAAATGTTCCAATTCATCTGTTAATACTTTTCAATCATGAATCTATCTGGTATATTCACAACTGAACTAGTTTATCAATAATCTCGTTGACTAATAAATACATTGGCATAAGCTGTGTGAACGAGTGTATTCATGAGAGCCGTAGGGTGCACGTGAAGCCACCTCATATCTTGGCATCTGGACGCCGAGTGGACGTGGACTTTCTCGGTCACCTGGGCTGACTACCTGATAGAGTAGGCGAGAGCGAAAGCGAGAGAGAAAAAATACGAGCTATCAAAAAACTTGAAAAACAATGACTTGGCGAACGTCATTCAAAAATTGGTCTCCATAATTCCGGTCGGTATGTACTGTATCAATTGTGAAATTGTTTTGAGGTTAACAAAGCAAGAGGACGAAAACAGGGGGCTGGGTGGTACCACTGAAGTTCTAGAAGGTTGAATTGATAAAGTTGTGAAATTATAACTTGCTAGATGAGCAAGTGATAGTGCAATCAAATTTAGACTTTTCATGTAACGCAAAGTTACAACACTCTGCTCTCAGTACTTCTATAAATAGTTTTAGACCTTGTGGCTCTTACTACAGCAACAATTCGCTCCCGAGGGTCCCCCAGCTGATGAAAAGGTTGAAGTGTCCGGTCCAATCAACTCTCCCGGGACGGACAGATCGAATTCGCTGAACAACGCGGAAGAATTTGGACCTGAGATTTCTGCAGAGTCAACAATCCTCCTGCTCCAATCAGCCAAGCTTACACCCGCAATGTGACCGGAAGTAGAACCACTCGATCCGACTGGCTCATGTTGATAGGGGCCTATTCGCTTGCTCGCAAAGTCGTGTCCCAAATCTGGCGGAATCATCGTCCATTGGCTGTCGTTGCACACCAAGGATGTCTCATAAGGAAACATTTGACCAACGCCGGTACCGTATACAGGAGGATTAGTATTGGTAGACATTGTCGGCGACGAATAGTTGCTGGTCGCAGTGGACGTTTCCCCTCCAGTCGTCAAGATGCCATTTAGAAGCCGGTTCTCTAATTGCAGCATGCGCAAGTAGGTTCGGTTCTCGGACTCTTTGATTGTTCGGACAACCTCGACAAGGTGATCCTCTACGGATCCAAGACGGCGTTCTATATCCTCCTGTGCTACCGTGCTAGGGAAAGTTTTCTGATCAGCCCATTATCTCTTCATGTCCTACCACATGGTAAGTACTCACCTGGCTTGTATAGATTTTGGTTCTTTATTTGAGAATTTGCATTGCGTTTCGTCTCGTTTGCACGTTTTACACTTTGGACGTACTCGATCACAGCGGATCTTTTTGGCACGGCACCTATCACATGCGGGATCGTGGGTCGTGAATGCGATCTCCTGACTCTAAATTACAGTCAGATTCTTGGCTTAATGTCAAAATAATGAGAGTGCTACTAATACCATCTTTGAAAGTATAAGGCCTTAATTAGAGCGCCGCACGCATGTTGTGTTTAAGAGACTGGCTAAAACAATCGCTTTCAGCGGCTAAAATTGAGTGATATAATGCTAGGACAGAAAGTATATCAACAGTTGAGAATTCAAAAAATTCTCGAGTCGAGTAATGGCATCTTCTGTTGTGATTATAACCTCTACCTTTATTAATGCCGCCAAAATCTCCCCAAGATATCCAAACCAGCTCGTGATCATATCACAATACTTGGACCCGTATATTATTGTCCTCAAGTCCGGGGTTATTCCCGTCTGCAGCTGCCTCTTCCAGCTCAGAGTTGCAGCATTGCACGTTCGGTGACGAATTGGGAGATGTGTGCAAGCGGCGTGAATCGTGGATTCTGCATTGAAATTTGAGTGGGGTTCATATTTTAAATCATATTCAATCATGGAACCAATCATTACCCTTGCAATTAGGGTGCAAGTCTGCCTTGAATGATGGCATAGGCCAGCAGGTAGACGGCCCAATGAGTTCTCATTCTCCGCTGATTCTGTTACACGACATTAACTCATATGGGATTTACAGAACCAAGTTCATGCAAAATACAGTTAGCCCGGTCATTATCTGCTGCCTTGCCCACTGTGATTATTCTGTCTCATTTTTGAATCGTAACTAATTACGCACGCCTCAGCTAATACGGTGTTCCCCATCTCGCCAGGGTGATCGGCGGAGTGACGGCAGTAATAGTTGCAGGATATTATGACATGAGAAGTGTCCATATTCGTATCTTGGAGCGGTAATAATATGCGAACAAGGGTCACCGAGGCTACTATGTCTGGATGTCACCCTGGAAGTACACTATTGCAGGCAATATTTGTCGTGTGCAAGTGCCGCTGGCTTCTCTGGTGTGAGTGGATGCGCAACGCTTCCCTTCGTCCCTCGGTATGACTTTTACTGCGAAGTACAGTACAATCACCCACTAGCCTGCTTAACTTTGTCTTATCCAAAAAAAGACTTTAAAGGATTGACAAACTCAAGTCACTCAACGTAGCAAGAAGATCAAATTATCCAACTATCCTTCCAGGCATGCTATCAAACATTTTACGATGGCCACCCTTTGCTCTGGTGGGCCAGGCCCAGAGTGCTCGCTCTTGGTGGTATGTGACGGCTTGGAATCATCGACAGCCCTACCTTAAATTTTCTAAACATGTTCTTCATCCGAGATTTGCTTCCCATAGCATAATCTGCAACCGATTTTCAACCCACAGCAAGCCAGAGAAAGACAAAGCCAGCGTTTCAGGCATATATCTAGAGGACACGGCTGCTAAAAAGATTAAGTAAATGAAATGATTCAAGACACAGTTAGCAACACGGCTGATCATTGAGTACAGACGTGCCATTTTCTTTACAGATTCCAATGGCAAAAGACACGCATGCAAGGCAATAGATGGTGAAAGTGTTCTCGATGTTGCTAAATCATACAATCTGGAAGTTGAAGGTATGTCAAGGTCACATTGATGAAGTTGACCTACCTACCTCCCTAACTACAAGAACATATTGATTAACATCATACTTGCTATCAGGTGCTTGCCAAGGAGATTGTGCATGTTCGACCTGCCATGTAATAGTGACTTCTAAGCTCCATTATGACGCTTTGGACTCGCCAACTGAGCGTGAGGAAGATATGCTGGATCTTGCTTTTGGTCTTACAGTTACAAGTCGCTTGGGGTGTCAGATTCATATGGCACCGGCTCTTGATGGCATTGAGCTAAAACTGCCTGGCATTATACAGGAAAAGTCGGTTTCTTTGTAGGAAATTAGCAGTCAACAGAAAATATAAATTTTGGTGGGGCTGATTCTGGCTGCTCAACGATTGATCCAGTGCATGTCAAGACTAAATCCCGTATAAGTGCTTCGCTCACATCACTCGGCTATATGCGTGCCGCTAACTAGGTACTTTTGAGGCTCTTACATAACCTCATCCCAACTACTTCCATAGTAGGACTAGCTTACTAGGGGCAACTTACTTATATCGTGCTGCTTCCCAGCTCCCCACAGCTTGAAATTTGACAGATTGTTCTCCCATCTTCTCGTTTCTTACGATAATATTTACATTGCAGGACGCAAACAAAGTTGAAACCAACAACACCACGACTATTAACCAGTAAGCCTTTCGCCCGTCACAGCTCTCAAACCAGCTTTCAGCTACCATGGCATCAATATCCAAGCGGCCCTATGACATGTTCACCAAGAGCGCAATCCCGCTGCTCTTCAATCGGCACGCACCCCACTTGGACCCTAATTCATATATTGCAGCGGCTCAAGTATTCCCAATGCGCCTCAACAGCCATGTTGCAGAGGACCTCATTGATTGGCAAGTCCATGATATTCTACACCTACGACTTACAAATTCTAATACGTACTTACTAGGAGCAACACCCCACAAGATCCCATGTTCCAGCTGGCGATTCCACAGCCAGCAATGCTCGGTCCAACAGACCTGCAAAAAATGATGGCGGCACTTCAGAAAGAGTTGCCAAAGACAGACTTGCAACAGATTGCGGAGGAAATCCGCAAGAAATTAAATCCCCACCCAGCCAACCAAAAAACTGAGAATGTACCTCGATTAAGAGGTGAAGAGATGCCTGGAATGCAGCATAAATATCGAGAGACAGTCTTGTTCTTTCCCTCAGAGGTGAGTGATATTGAAAGAACTTTAGCTTAGGTCTGAGGAAACTAATGGCCAGCCTTCAATAGGGACAATTTTGCCATGCTTTCTGTACCTACTGCTTCCGCTGGGCTCAATTCACTTCGGTTGGCTCTTCCCAGACATTTAAATCGAACAATGGTGAGCAGCTACGAGATTACATATCAAGCATGCCCCAAGTCAGAGATGTTTTGTTCACTGGTGGAGATCCGATGGTCATGCCAGCTCGTATTCTGGCATCATACATCGACCCACTCATCTCCAATGGGGCACCATCGCATCTTGAAACTATCCGCATTGGTTCTAAGTCGCTAGCTTGGTGGCCATACAAGTACACGACCGATGCGGATGCCAAAGAGATACTAGGTATATTCGAGCGAGTTGTCAAGTCCGGACGTCAACTCGCCTTTCAAGCGCACTTCAGCCATCCACGAGAACTTGAACATCCAGCAGCCCAGGAAGCTATCCGACAAATACGCATGACGGGAGCCCAGATTCGAGGCCAAGCACCCTTGATTAGACACGTTAATGACTCTTCTCAAGTGTGGAGAAATATGTGGAATCTCCAAGCCAAATTGGGCATTGTTCCATACTATATGTAAGTACAACCTTAAAGCAAGGCTTTAGTCACATACCTGCTAACCAAACTCCATCACAGGTTTGTCGAGAGGGATACGGGAGCTTCACATTATTGGAACGTCCCACTGGATCGTGCACATCGCATCTTCAGCGAGGCCTACTCCGGTCTGGCAGGAACTGCACGAACAGTTCGAGGGCCTTCTATGTCTGCGTCACCGGGGAAAGTCGGTATTCTAGGTGTGGAAAATGTGAGGGGAGAGACAGTCTTTGTCCTGAAATTTTGGCAAGCACGAGATCCTTCCTGGGTTGGGCGAGTGTTTTTTGCCAAATATGATGCCAAAGCCACATGGCTAAGTGATCTCGAACCTGCTTTTGGAGAAGCAGAGTTCTTCTACGAACCTCGTTATAAAGAGCTGACAACATTGATGAAAGATGGTTCCTCTGGGCAATTATTAAACTCGATAAGCCCATAGTCTTGAATTTAGCCGGCAATTTAAGGTTTCAAGCGATATCTGTGGCTGCATTGCTTTGATCTACAAAATTCTTAGAGTTGGTATGGTAGTAGCTGCAGGGGTATAGCAGAGGAAAGAATGATCATACTTTAAATCGAGAGTTAACAGCTTGTGTCTGAAAGTTTCCATTTAATATCGGACTGATCCCCAATTTACTGTACCAGAAGGATCTTGGAACTTACAGTGAGGCTTTCGATGTCTGAATCGAGAACCTGACTTCCAGAATGGGAATATCCAATCTACTCGCATTTAATATAGCAGCATTTTACTCCTTTATTTCTGCTTCTGTCTAGTTCAATTCATGCTTCACCCAAAGGGTTCAAGGCTTGCATTTCATTTGATCTCATGTCTCTAACTTATCTCCCACCTTCCCGTACTTAATGGTCAACCTGGAAGTGTGCAAGGTAGTCCTTTTGGCTTTTTGTCAACTCCCTCCCCTTCTTCAATGTCACATTGCACCAACTATCAAAATACTTCATCGCCAACCAAGCCTCAAAGTTAGGATGAGCGAACGAAACATTAAGCTTCCCATAGGCAATATCAATCCCTTCGTACTGCGGATACCTCGGATTATCAGAAAACACGATTGGCGCTTCACAACAAGACCAAAAATACACATCATACGGCCCACACAGCAAACAGTGAGTTCCTCTAGCCGCAACGTATAAAGCTTAGGACCCTCGGCTATTCATGTCGGTCAAAAACCCGATCACCTATCCGCCGCCGCTGCTGTCGTCTTTCGGTGCATGATGAAGCATGTCTCATCTCCCAGAACGTATGTGATTGACTCCTCTGTAGACATGGTTCCATGCAGTTCTCACCGTCAATGTCTAGCAATCGCAATCAAAATCTCCAAGGAGGAATTAGACCGGCTTGGCGATGACGCCATCAAACTTGCTGACGGCTCTAGCTACCTTGCAGAACTTTAAGTATATCACGAGCTTCACTGCATTGTGAGTTTTCAAGTCTGCTAGAGAGGAGTGACTCGTCATCTGCTAACAAGTTTTGGATTCAAAAAAGGGTTCGACACCCGACCTTCCAATCAAAATCGGCCGTTCGTCTTCCATTTTACCCGCTTTGAACCGACATTTTCCCTTCTCACCAGGAATACCCCGTATCTTCCCACGTAGCGTAGTCCTTGTGTTGTACATCGTCATGCATTATTGAAGCGGGATAGAAGCCGGTTGGCACTCCCCGTAGTCAACGAGAAAGTCCCTCTGATCACATTTCGTACGGCGTGGCACCTGTCAAGGATGTATGTACAAGCTTAAGCTTGTCAGCTTATTTATGAGCTGCATCCTTTCCAATTGGAACAGAAGCTGCATTCCGGGAACATTGACATGGGCGATACTTTAAGCGAGACTAGCGTGATATGCCGAAAAGGGGCGCCGAGTAGGGCTCAGCGAAACACAATCCGCGAATGAAAAACTCGGTGTCGGTTACAATTGACTCGAGTATTACATGTCTCTTGAGGTGAGAGATATATGGTTGTAGATCTTGTCGATACAGTAGTGCACAAAAAAAGGTTGTTACCACGATTGGTCTGAATTGATTCCGGACCCGAACTCCCCGCTGATTGTTCCACATGCCACTTTCATGACCGAGCGTGAAACTGTGAGTGGTGGATTGCCCACAGCACTTCGAGTAAGCCGTGAGATAAACCAACACTCGTACCTGCAAAGTAATGTTGGTATTGTCAGCCTTCTGCGTGTGCAAATCAATGAAAGCACAACAAACCTGAAATTGCGAAGTGAAATTCAACAATCAGGCTCCTAATCTTGAACCTGAGCTTCATTTACGAAGTTAGCGCATATTTCTCTTCGGATTCTATCACGCACTGTAAGCTCCTGAATATTGGCAGAGTATTGGCAATGGAGTCTTGCGGTGGAAGCGAGGGAAGTTTCTTGTCTATCTAGTGCATGTTTTTTCTCCACCACAAGACATTCGATCACAGGTCGCTAAATTTTTAGCGAGGTAAAAGGGGGCTGGTGGGGGACACTCGGAGACTCGCTGAGTATATCTTCGAACCATGATGTGTCTTAATGATCTTTTCTACAAGTGGTATTGTGAAGGTCCCGAGACCTCCTGCTGATATTCCAATTTCACGAAGTCACCCCATAATTCGCTGGCGTAAAGGTATACTGGAGACAACCAACCACAATCGAGCCTCCAACGCCCGTATTATCGCAGTTCTTGTAGTCATTCTCAAACAAAGAGCCGCACGTCACGTCCGTGTTTCCAGGAATTGGTTCATAGGGATGTTGCGAGCTCACTGTATTTGTACATCCTTCCACCCAAGTAATAGCCAGGTAATAATACACGCCATTGACCTCGACGTTGATAGGCGTAGTTGGGTTAGAAGTACTGCTGATGGTGTCGGAAGTTAACGCCGACCCAGCGCATGCAAACCCTATATAGTAGTTTAGAGTATCAGGCTCGATATCTTTGTGGCCTGGAAAGTCGGCTGCGCTATTGCATTGTTGGGGCCCGAGCGTGAGCGGAGCCACTGTAGGCTTAGAGGAAGCAATCGCTGAAGTCGTAGTCGTGGTCGGCTGGATCATAGTTGATGTACACGAAGCTGAAGCGCAGTTTATGCACGTTGGAACTGTGGTATAATCACAACCAGAACTTACGGATCCAGACATACTGGTGGTCAGAAGAGGCCCGAAGTTGCCTCCGCAGTAACAATAATCGGTGGTGCACAGCGCATTTTGCACTTCGGTGGCAATGACATAGACGCATCCTTCATTGCCACACTGCCCTGGAACTGGAGTTGCTGAGTTGCACATCACGGTGCTGAAGGTCGATGAGTGGATGGAAGAGGCAATAGAGGTTGATGAATTGGTGATATTTGATGGTTGACTCAAAGATGGTACTGTTACCGATGTACTGGTAGTAATTCCAGAGCCTGTAATCGTACTACTCACAATCCCTGACAAAGCAATACTCTCGGTGGCAAGATAAGAACTCAATGCCGCCGGTACACCACAGGTCGCCGTTACAGGAATGGAAACAGGGGCATCGGAACCTGTGGCCTGGCGGTCCCACAAGCCAAAGCCTAGTGAGTCCCTTTTGGCTGCTGTCCCAGGGGGCACCCACGCGCAAGTCTCCTGGTCTAAGGCAGGTTTGGCACCATTCCAGATGGTGGAGGCTCCGGGTCCAGCGTCCCTTGCCCAACTGGACGCACTCGAGGTAATGTACGCTTTCAACCCCGCTGGACTCATGTCGGCCAGTTTTAGCGAGCCACTATTCGCCAGGACCAAGTAGTAAGCTGCAAGACCAGCCGTCAGGGCTGCGGCGTCAGACGTACCAGAACTGTCTGTGTTGTACTCTGTTCCGTCCAGAAAGTTCCCGTCGGCAGTCGTAACGAAGAGACCCGGGGCATAAATGTGTGGCAAGTTCTGCGCTGCATCTCTGGAGCAGGAGGGGGATATTTGGCCGTTGCTGGCTTCATTCTCCGTGACCGCTACAGAGCCCACAACCAGCAGTTGTGGTATTACTGCTTGTCCGTTTGCAGTACCGCCAAAATTGGCTGGCCACCCGTCGATGGTCGTTGCTCCCCCGTTGCCCGACCCTGTGATGGGAAACACACCCTGGGAGACTGCTTTCGCGAGGAGTGCTTGCATGCGGCCTGAGAATCCAGCCGACTTGTCGATGCCATCACGCACGAATATAGTTCGGGGGAAGAGCAGTGCCAGGAGCAGGACGCTGGTTGTTGTACTACTTTGAGTGATGCCCTGAGCAGCCAAGTCATCGCACACTCTACTGAGTCCTTCGATATAATCTTCGTTCGTACTGCCGCACGCTACGACATCTGCCGTGGGGAGCCTCCTTCGAGGCACACGGATCAGAATGGGCTTGACGAGTTTTGACACGCCCACGGTCTTTCCCGAGACGAGGCTTAGCATGGACGTGCCATGTGCCTTCGAATAAAAAAAATTCTGAGTTCGGGTCCGTCTGTGAGTCGTCCTCGGCGGGCGCAATCATCTGGCCGTTACCATTCGGGTTGACATCTTCGCCGACGGTGATCCAGCGGGTATTTGCTCGTATCAAGTCAAATTCCTTGTGACCGAGCGATGCGCCGCTATCGAGGATATACACAGAGATATCTTGGCCCGGTGGGATGGAGCCGTCGAAGAAGTAGAAACCCCCTAAAGTAGCCATGGGGACAGGACTCTGTTGTGATACAAACACAAGATGCTTATATACGTTGGGAAGCCAGCTTATTGTCGGATCAGGAGTATTTTTTGCATTTTGCATGTAGAACGAAGCGATCTGTAAAACGATATATATTAGAATATATAATTATCTTAGAAAAAGAGAATAATAGGAAAGGTTGGAAGGAACGCGTCAGAGCTTGGGTTCAACTACCAAATATCGATAGAAGACTCAGAAACAAAGTCTACGTAAATCAACTTTGATGCAATTTCAATGCAAATATTGTGTTTGTATAGGTGAAAGAAATGATAGAATAGAAAGTCCATTTCTTACATAAGGAGCCAAACTTGCCGCTATCGGCGGGATCTGCATATCAGACAAAGGCACGAGCCAATAATTGATGCCCATGGTGACGGTATTAGAGGTGTAAATCGTAGTCTGGTCGATGCCGAAAGTTTGATCGGCGAGCACAGCAATAATGGCTTGGGTCGCTACCGTGTTTGTTCCGTCTTTGGGATAGATTACATACTTCTGAGTGTCTGGACCAAAGTCGCAGGCAGGTAGTGAAAGGCCGGCCCGACGTACATTGACGTTGTCACCAATGGCGGAAGATGCCGGACCGCTGGTACAAGAGACCGTCGTGGGTGTCACACCACATCCTGAAACGAGAGAGCTGCTGGCGGTTTGGCAGACTCCAGAGGTTGTAGCTGTGCCTGGGAACGAACATGACATCCATATGTCTGTCACCACTTCTGGCGTAGTACAAGCTTCCGTTGTTGTAGTGGCTGAATTTTGCACATTGCAGCCCGAGATGGTGGAGCACGTACTCGTCGATGCCGTTGTCGTGAGTGTGACGCCCGCAGATACAGTCACTCCGATTGAGCTTGTCGTCGGGCAGAGGGATGCAGTAGTCTCGCGTTCACACGAGCTTGGCTCGGATGAATAAGTTGGGATGTTGTCATTTCCAATACTATGGGTGAATGGAAGTTTTAGCAACTTTTACCTCGTTTCCAACCCCTCTAGAAACAAGGCACTGCAATGAAAACTTACGTGATAGGAGGCCATGGTGGTAGAGTACCCGATATGGAAATACCTGGAGGGAACTCAATTCCAGGAGGTGGACCAGCTGGGTAAATTCCAGGTGGCAGGTCAAGCTCCCAGCCGCCAATATTGATGTCCCATGATATACAAATCTATGAGCTCCTGCATTAGATTCTGGCAAACTCGTAAACTCGAGTTTCAACTTACAGAGAAGAACCAAGCAGAACTCGGAATGACGCCACCTTTATCGGTTGACTTGGGCTGAGAGACTGTAGTTGAAACGGGAAAAAGGGTGAAGTTAGGCGGCCATATTGAAAAGGTTTTAAGAGGGAGAACTGTGCTTGTGCTGGTTGTTTCAGTGAGAGAAGCACTTTGTGGTGATGACGACGATGATGATGTTATTGTCCCACTCGTCGCTGTTGGTTGGAACGTAAATGTTTCGCCATCTGTAGTCAACGTCTCAGCACTCGTCAGATCGGTAGGAACAGGCAGAGTATTAGTCCCCCAAAACAAGAAACCGGAATTAGAGGTAACCGTTTGACCATCCGGTAAGGTCAGAGTCCTTTCTGGTGGTGAGTTCGACGATGATGGCAGGAACGTGAAAGTCTCGCCATCAGTGGTGAGTGTAAGCGCCACCGTCAGGCTAGTTGGAAGGGGGAATGTATGAGTGCCCCAAAACAAGAAATCAGAACTAGAGGTGACCGTTTGGCCGTCTGGCAAGGTTGTTATTGTGACTAATGGTAGTGGAGATGCCGAAGAGCTACTTGACGAGGATGATGATGTAGCTAATATTGATGAGGATGTCGAAGAGCCATTTGGCAAATATGTCGAAGTGGTGGATAGTGGTGAGGCTGTTGATGAAACACCTGGCAGAGACGTTAGTATGGTCGATGGCAGTAAAGATGCCGAAGAGTCATTTGGCAAAGTTGTAGTGTTTGGTGATGCTGAGGATGTCGAAGTGTCGCCCTGTAAACTTGTTCCATTCGGTCGAAGTAAAGACGCTGAAGAACTATTGGGTAGAGCTGTGATGGTTGATGATACTGCGGATATCGACGAGCCATTTGGTAAAGTTGATGTGTTCGATGACAACAAGGATGCTGAAGAGCTACTTGCTGGTGTAGGTGAGAATGTGAAAGTCTCGCCACTAGTAATCAGTGTGACCGTTGTCGTTAGACTGGTAGGAATAGTTACTGTGTTCGTTCCCCAAACTAGTAAGCTGGAGTCGGTGGTAATGGTCTGCCCGCTTGAGGACGTCGAAGTGGGAACCAAGGTCAAAGTAGTCCCGTCCGTGTTTAGCGTGGTGGTGCTCAAAAGAATTGGCAAAGTCACTGTGTCTGTCCCAATCACAATGATATTCGAGCTGGCCACAGCTTGGCTAGTGAGAGGGGTAGCGGTACTCTCACTAGCTGAAGGGGAACAGCCAGACGCTGAAATGACAGTTGGTGAAGGTGTAGACGACCCGCTGATAACTGTCGTCTGGGCTGGGATAGTTGTGGAAGTTGACGTGGTGCTCTAGCCTTGGGAGTTAGTTGTCGTGATCATTTCCACGCACGCGCCATCAGAGTTGCAAATCGCGTCAGAAGGGCAGCAGCCGTATAGACAACAGGTAGTGCCTATATAAGTAAAAAAATCAGCACATGTCTGTCTAAGCAATGCATACTTGAAGGTTGACGACCAGGACGTACCTGTTCCACACAGATTGTGTTGGCCATCGGGCGTTGGGCAGCAAGTGTCTCCAAACAACGCCGAGCCGCAACGATCCTGGCACCAGTACTCGTCAGGGCCACAGTCTGGGGTTTGACGATAGAAGATGGCTTCTATACATTACGAGAGATACAGGGTGCCTAGGAGGAGCGCTGTATATAATTGGAGCCACATGATAGAGGCGTGATCTGAGAATCTAGTTGATGAAAGGTGAGGGCGGTGGGATTTAAATGTGTCGATGGTCGGACCCGTGGACTATGACAATAAAGATATTCACGAGTAGAAACAACCCCCAGAAACTGCATTGTTCTTATAGATGCTTTGCGCAGTACATATATAGAGTCTTAAGAGTCTTGGTGTAAACCTGCATTTAGTCACTTGACAACCGAGGAGGGCGAAGGAATGGAATGCTACATCCATCGAGACTGAAAACTCTAGACTTAGCATGTTGGCAGTGAAGTGACTGTGCCAGTTGGAAACTACCGAGTTGGTGTTTCAGAGCATATTACCAACTACTCTAGTACGTACTACATACTTGTGAGATAGTGGTTATTCATATAGAAAAAGCTAACATGTATTTATATCTCATCACTTGAGAGGTGGGGAGTTTAAAATAAGGTGAAGCCGCCTCTATCGAGCCTGCGGTCGAGGATTGAGCATGTTGGTATGGCGGAGTATGTTGTAGAGTACCAAAAAGAAGGAGCCCTGCTACAGGTGCGATCATAGCCAACCTCGAGCATCGATGACCCGCAATGACCCGCAATGAGCGTTAATGGGCCAAGCGATGGAAAATTCTCTATAAATAGGTACTTAAACAGTTGTATAGGACTCGACTTTCCACAGGCTCGGCTAAAATACGCGATATCGTGTATTGATACGGTATCGCTCCAGAATCGATATCGTATCGTATCATTGATACTAGTATTGATATAGCCTAGCTCACAGGGGCCCCCTGTACCAAAAATCACCCTACCAAGAAATCAAACTAGCTATCCTCAAAGAACTTATCTAGAATACCGCTTCTTTTCTAGTGCTTAAGGCACTCCCTTAGCTCAATAGTCTCTGCCTCTATTTGCCCCCTATCCCACGTTACCGTACGACGAGCCCCTGAAAAGACTCGCTCCGGTTCATCGCTCATTGGTGGAATTGAGAGAATATCAATAGCCATAAGTGTAAGCCTAGGCCAGCGTTGCCTTTGAGCGTCTTGCAACCACCACACAAGAGCTCCTTTCTTTCCAGGGAGGTGTGAGTCTTGAGAGTTATAGTCTTCATACTCGTCTTCACTTGTCGGCCGCGCAACTAATCGTAAAGATAAGGCGATCTGATCAAAAGTATCAAGTTCCTTTGGCTCTAATAGGTTATCGTATGAGAAGGCAGGGTAGGCTTGTAGAGGTATTACCTCTTCCCAGTACCTCTCCCAGAGCTTCTTTACTGCTGCTATAGCTAGCTTAGACCACTTCCTTGGCCAGTAGGTCTCAAGATACCTCGTACAATAAGAGGGATTAAAGATCAAAGAAGCAGCGTAAAATGGAGACATATCTGTAGTCAAGTAGTACTTGTCTAAGACTGCGTGGGCTGCAATAAGACGAACAAGAAAGTCCTTGCTCTCTTAGTCCTTCTTTGGTTTATATATAGCCTATAGTACGATAGTTAGCCTTAGTTTTAAAAGGAATAAGAAAAAGGGATTACTTACAACTTAAGTTTAAAGGTGCTTAATTAAGACGTCTATTGTAAAGAGGGTAGAATTAATAGAAGTAGAGTCTCCCTTAGCAGCAAGAGTAGCTCGTGTAAAGGGAGCAAGAAAGTCCTTGATCGTACGTGTAAGGGGCTACGCCAAGAGGGAACACTTAAGACGTAGGCAGTGGGTAAAACTGTCGTTGAATTCGATGAAGAACTGAAAGGTAGCTAACTAAGGCTTTATATACATAGGATCAGAGGCTTCGTAGAAGCCTCGGCATAAGCTAATTACCATAAGATTAAAGTCTTAGATCGGAGATTGCAACTCGTAAAGAAAATAAGGAGGCTGGTGCTTAAGCGAGGCATAGCCGAAGCATTATGGGGTTCAACCCCTGACAGTACGAAGCTTTTTCCAGTCTGCAAAGCTTAAAAGATCCTCCTCAAGCTCTTCCTTATAGTCCGCGCAATACTTCTCAACTACAGGCCTCAAATTGAGAAGAATAAGAAGCATCTCGTACCAGCTATTCCACCTTATACGATTATCCATAGGAATCATTCTTCCCGCAAGCTTTTTAAACTTTGCTGTTCGTGTAGGCGATCCACAGATATAAACTACGATATTATGCCCTTAGCTAAGTGGTCCTAAAAGCCGAAATTGCTTCTTTATATGATGATGATGATGATATTTATTTACGTCCTTTGTGGACCTCCCGAAGGGTATGAGGACGTGCTAAGCTAGTGACTTATATACAGAGAAAGCGCTAGAGAGCAACTCAGAGGATAGACTCAAAGCCTGGCAGCAAATTGTAAGGAGCCCCTTCCCTGCAGGGTCTTACACGTAGGCTTGAAAAGGGGTACTGGACCCACTCTTGTAAGGAGGAAGATAAGTCCCTTATATTGTGATTCACCAGAAGTGAAGTTAAGGCTCTCGCCAATAATAGCCAAGCATATAAAAATAAAGAGATTTGTTCTCAAATAGGTAGAATATAAAACAAATTCGCTATTTTCGCAGAAATTATAATAAAGAAACATCCCAGACTCCCCTAGATAACTCTTCTTATAAAGAGCTAAAACTATGCCTTAGGCACATAAATCAGAGTAAAAGCCTGTTATCTTTAGAAATAGGGCAAAGTTGCTTGGCTTGGCAGTTAGAGTCTGCATATAGCTGAAGCCTTGTGCATGGTTCTCTGGCAAAGAATCAGGCTTATCTGGCCAGTCCTTAAAGGTGTGTCTGATCCACCTGCAGTGTACTAGATGCTCTGGCGTTTTGGGGCAGCCACAGTTGCAGGTAAGTCTAGCGTCTGGATGATTGAACTTCTTGTGATACCACTCAAAGTCCCCATGCCCTGTACGTAATGCTAGCAGCCTGTGGAGCGTGGCACGGGGAAGTTCTAGTTCCCTTGGAGGCCTAGTGCTATACGTGAAGGACCATCTTGTGTACCTCTTAGAAAGCTTGTGCTGGTGGGCATCCCGCTATGTCATTGCAGCTAAATACTTGAGTTTCCTTGCTTTACTCCTAAGACCACAGACGGTGGGTTGCTGGGAGAGCAAGTTGCCAGAGACTCTGGGCTCCCCAGGAGTTGCAGCATAGTTTGCTAATGCATCTGCTTCTTCATTCCCCTCAATACCCATATGGCCTGGAGACCATTTGACCCTGATATCCCTGGCCTGCATCGCGTCCTGGCATTTGTGAAAGGCCCATTGTGAGGAGGTAGAAGCGTTGCCTCTAAGGCACCAGATTACTGATGTGCTGTCTATGCACATCCAGATGCGGTTATTAGAGAGGCTATGCGTACGCAAAGTCTTATGCAGACCTTCCCAAGCACCAATGGCTTCTGTATCAAAGACATGTGACATCTCATGGATAGAGCCGTATCCATCACATAGTTTCTTAGTGTTTTGGTATACAGCAAAGCCATACCCCACACCCCTAACTCCAAATTTGTACTGCTCAGATCCATCTGAGAATATAGTGATATCTGATGGAGGTAGGTCCTTCCACCATTGCTTGAAAGCTTGCGCAGCTTGCTCCTTAGAGAGACCATTGGTTGGGTCTGTCCTGCAGCCTGGCGAGAAGTGTGGGGGTCTGAGAGTAGGCCTTGGAACTTGTGGAAAGAGACACCTAGCCACCTGAAGTTTAGTCAGAGGCCTGGGCTTCTCACAAACCCCTGCAATCCTCCTAACTAGTGGGTTGCCGCTGTCAGTTGTCTGCAGGCGTAGAGCTAGCCTTGCAAGAGCTTCCTCTAATGCAACCTGTGGTGAGGGGAGTCCAGAGTCCCGGAATAGTGTCGCAAGTGGGGTAGTCCTCCAGACTGGGAGCACTCCTCTAATAGCCATGACTAGCGTGCTTTCCATGAGTCTAAGATGTCCTCCAAGTCTAGTGCTGACTACTTTCGGGGAGTTATCCCTCCTAAAACCCGCTACTCTAGTGCGTCCAGCATACCAGACCTCCATTCCATAAAGAAGAGAGGAAATAACACAGGTAATGACTGCTTTCCGGAGTGAGAGAGCTGGCGGACCATCTTTCATCCTTGCTAGACTGCGAATATGCCTAGCAACATGCAAAGCCTTCTCATTTCTTTCTTGTACATGCCTCTTGTAACGCAATTTCTTGTCAAAGTAGACCCCTAGCCAGCACAGGGCTAGATGACAACCTTTCTTCTCTGATGTAGCAATAGGGAAGACTGTGTAATGCCCAGGGATAACCAAATCAGGGCTAGTTGTGGTCCTAGCTCTTGCAAAATGAATCATCTCACATTTCTTTTTATCAAAGAAAAGCTTATTATTACATCCATAATCAAGGACTTCTTTAGCATCCACAGCTAGTAACTCAACATTGCGCTCTAAAGAGTAAGAGGCTCTAAAGAGACAGAAGTCATCTGCGTAGCCAAATCGAAGCGTTTTATCCTTGTTAAGAAGCTCTGTAAGATAGAGTATATAAAGGATTGGTAAGAGAGGAGAGCCTTGTAGAGTGCTACAAGCAACTTTATAAACTCTTGTAATTAAGTCCTTAAGTCGGACCCTAACTCTGCGGTCTGTAAGGAAGCTCCTTACTAATTGTAATAAGGACTTAGGCTAGCCCTACTCTATCATTCTCTTAAGCAATCTCTTAACTAGCAGAGTATCAAAAGCCCCTTGAACATCCATTGTTAGCATTGTGACCTTTAGGCCTCTTACTAGTACTAGCTCTACTTTATGTACAAAAGAAGCGACTAAATCCATTGCAGACCGCTTAGGAAGTGCCCCTCCATGTTGTAGGCTAAGCACCCCACTTGTTAAAGCGGTCTATGCAATCCTTTTAGTAATAAGCCTCTTAAAGCCTTTTGCTATACAAGAAAGAAAAGCAATTGGGCGCCAAGATCTAACTTTTGTTTTGACCCTCTTCCCTGCTTTAGGAATCATTACCACCTCTGCGAGCTTCCAAGCATCCGGAAAATGGCTAATAGCCAAACATTTGTTGAAGAGGATAAGCAGATGATTTTTAACCGAGTTCCAACATGCTTTCAAAAGCCGGACTGTAACTTTGTCTGTTCCTGGTAACGTGCTAGAGATACCTATAGTGTATCTCTCAACCTCTTCTAAAGAGACTAACTGATTCCATTCAAGGTATGTAACCCTATGCTAATTATCTATTGTCTCTAAAGGGTCTTGGTCTAGGTCATCTGCAGCACTAAAACGGTCTAGTACTTCTTTCCTTAGGACTTCTGCTTTCTCCAAATTATTATAATAATACTCGCCATCTACAATAAGAGGAGGGGATCGGTGACTTGGAGTAAGTTTATGCCAGCTAATAACCTTGTAGAGCTCTGAGTCTGATTTAACATTATTAATCCTGTGCCTCCAGTATTCTCGCTTTGCCTTCCTAACAAGGGTAAGGAAATACTGCTTCTGAGAGAAAGAATCTTTTCCAGAATGTAAGGCAGTTAAGTAAGCCTTGTAAGCTTCTTTGCACTCTAAAGTCCACCAAGGAGCAGGGCGACCCCCACCCCTGTCTGGCTTCCTAGCACCCTCAATAGCTGCCTTAAAGACTCCCTCTATAGCAGTAGTAAAGCCGTCTGCATCCTTAGCCGTCTGAATAGCCTCAGGATCAGGGAGGGCCTGGCATCCAGCCTCCACTATACCAGCAAACTTAGGGAGGTCAGATTCTCTGACCCTAGGATGGGACTGTGCCAGAGGCTCCTGCCCTCTTAATGGAAGGACTGTGACAAGGACTTTGTGATCTGATCCTATAGAAAGATCAGGGCGTACTATAGTTTCCGCAAAAGGGATATTAGCAAAAGAGAGGTCGAGCACATGCCCTAAGACATGAGTAGCAATCCCTGGCTCCCCAATATAATCCATGCCTTGGTTAACTGACTAATAAGCAAGCTTAGCTCCTCTGCCAAAAGTAGTAACTCTAGGCTTAAAGTACTTGTGCCAAACATTAAAGTCCCCGCCTACTAAACACCTCGCAGGTGGAACTAGGTTAATGATATAGTCAAAAGCTTCATCTGTACCAGGTCCTCTATAGACATTAAGAATAGCCAGGCCGTTTGTGGTAATCTAGAGTAAGTCCCTAGAGAAAAGGTCTTGATGTTGCTGTGTTATAAGATAAGGGCTTTTAAGCACATAAGTTATAACTCTAGGCCTGACCTCATTGTACTCCTCTAAGGTATCCCAATCCCAATTATCTAGGGGCGCAATAGTATGGTATCCTGGATGTGTTTTGGTAGTTGTTCTGTAGCCCACCCAAGGCTCTTGAACACAGATAATATCTATGCCTTCCTCAAAAGCAAGACTAAGAAGTGCATCATGCTCCGAGTTGCCTTTCCTTACATTAGCCCAGCAGACTTGTAAGTCCCTGGCTTTATAAGAGCTTCCTTGTCTATTTGGAGAGAAAGAGGTGCCCCTCATTAATCTTCCATAGTAATTGTAGCGTTCACCTCATCCCCACTAAGGCTAGGTTGAGAAGTGGTAGTAACCTCCATATCTAAGTCTTTTAGTCCTAACCTAGGGTCAAGGCTAGTATAGCGGTTGGAGGACTGTTTATCGGGGCTTTTAGTAGCAGAGGTTTTAGTAGAGTTAGCTGACAAAACTTTTAGATTGTAAGAGCCAGGTGTAGCTCTTTTGCGTTTTGGGAGCTTAAGAGGATTGGCTGCAGTTTCGTAATCTGAAACTCTAGTGCCTTTAGGGGCTTGGGGTTGGCTACCTGAAGCCTGAATAGTGTTTGGTGATCCATGGCGTTCTGGAGAAGGGGTTCCTTCTGGAGAATAGCTCCCTCTTATAGAAGCTGCTGCTGCTGCTGCAATAGTAGCCTGAGTTTGGTGCCTCACTTTCTTAAGTGTCTTAACAGGCAAAGGAACGTATTTGCCATTCTTAAGAACTGGAGCAGCTAGACAGTTGGTATGTCCTGCAGGCTAATTAGAGTGACAGTTGGCACACTTAGCCTAGTTAAGGCAGTTATCACCAACTACCCCTTGGTGTAGCTTCACTTCCACGCCACATTTTAAGCAGCGCTTCTCCCTAGTGCACTTAAGCGGATTGCACCAACCAAGGCACCCATCCAAGTGTTGAGTAAGGCGGTAGGGTTTCTGAATAAGGCGGGCTTTACTAGAGGTGCTAAAGATACTGAATGGTACCATAGGTTTTGTGAAAGAGGCAATCCAGGTAGTCTTGCCAGATTTTATGTCCGTCCCATGCCTAGAAGGCTCAACCCTTACAGGGACTGTCCTAGTTTGTGTGATAATCTCCTGTTCCACTAGCTTAGGATGCACTGGTACAAAGCCTAGAGGGCCATAGAAACCAGAAGGAAGTCCTGGGATTGCATAAGTGAACCATTTTTGAGGTTTCACAATGTCCTGGCCACTAAAAACCTTAAGAATTGCCTCCCTATTGCTACTAGAGAGAAGCAGGTCTTAGGTTGCAAGATCTAAGGGTGTAATAGCCCATCTAGTTTGTGTAGGTGAGACATTCAGGACCTTTGTGGCTTCCAGATCCTAAATAGCATCAACCAGACATTTGCGTAGTGCAAAGGAGTGTGGTCTTGGGTCTGTGGAGGCGTCCTGTGCAGCCAGAACAAGGACTCTAAGGTTACGTGAGTTCTTTGTCTGCTGGTTGGGTGCAGCAGAGGGTGAAGCTTTGTGGGTCCTAGCTTTGTGCTGAGTGGGAGGTCCGGCTGTTGCTGTACTGGCGTATGTCTTGTTCTGTGTAGCTAAGGATTGAGGAGATGATGTGTTGTGGTTATAGAACTTAGTTAAAGCACGTGCTACTACAGCACAAACCTCTTCTGCAATAGCCTGCTCCTCTAGAATCTTGTATCCAGAAGCAAAGTTGTCTGTTTTAGAGGCAAAAGACCTCAAGATTGAAGCAGTCAGAGCTGCTGAGCGGTTGGCAGCGTCGATTCCCTTAGACAGCGCGTCTAAGGTCATGTGAGGGGAACGCGCCCTATCACCAGGTACAAGAAGGGGAGGGACAGAGGTCTTCTGTCCGGTAAAAGCCTTCTTGCTAGGGCGCAAGATGCCATTTGGCGTATAGAATTCTTGGTGCTAAGTGAAATCAGCGTGTTGGGAGGCCAGGGGCCTTGAGGGGGTACAGAGAGGGGACTCCATCCCTTGAAAAAGACGCGTCAACGTCCGAATCAAGGGAAAAGAAGTCGATAAATGTTGAAAATGGGCTAATATGAGCCTGAAAAGACGCGTAAGTCAGCGTATTGGAACAAAAAGTGGAATCACTAAAAATGTTGAAGGTGTTGCTTCTTTATATCCTCATCCTTAAGCTCTCCACTTTGGTCCTACTCATCGTACGACTCAAGCTCATCGAGCTTTATTACATTTGCAAATAAGAAAGCTTGTACGACAAGGTTGATAATATGGCTAATACAACGGATCCGCCACTTAGTTGCCTTCCATACTAGGCCTAGCTCTATCCTCCAGTGATTTTCTATAAGCCAACAAAGAACGTTGTTTGCAGAAGCATTATTAGCAATAATAGCCCCAAGCTTTCGTACGATGCTGTAATCCTTAAGAACTAGAAAAAGGATTGAGAACTAATCGTTACTACTATGGCCAGGCACTTGTTTTAAAGCAAGTAAGGCCTTTTACTTCTTTTGAGTATGCGTAGTAAAGTGTACAACAATCGCTAAAAGAAGGAATCGATTTGGAGAGGTCTAAATATCAAGGGAGATATAAATTCGTGAGATTACTGACTAAAGTTCTCACCGTACAATGTTTTTATGCTTGATCCAGGCTTCACTAACTTTTTCTTTGATTTGGGAGTGAGTTGTAGTAATCATACCCTTACACTCTTTATTTAGTGCTTAGCATAAAGTATAGAACTCGGCCCACTCAACAATACAAAAAGACAGGTTTTGTACGACGATAAGAGTAACTAGGGCCTCTGTAATTACTACTTAGAAGAGGTGCTTCTTGAGAATCTCGATATCAAGCTCTATAGTATTACCAGAGACTTCTGCCTTGTAGTAATACTACTTAAGTTGTTGGTTTACAAGCTCTTGATTCTTACTCAAAGCCTTCTTAATTATAACATCGTGGTTCCTCTCCAAATGCTTAGCCATATTTGCAGATGACTTTGTATTATACAGCCCCTTGTAGTTAATAGGGGGTGGATTAGGAGGATAGTAAGGATAATAAAGGTGCTCTTGATTCTCGTCGGGTGTCGGACGACGGCAATACTTCCAGACTAGTGCTCTCCACTTCCTCTTATTATTGCTGTGAGACTCAGTAGATTCTACGGTAATAGACTGTGTAAAAGAAGACTCTGCTTCAAGGAAAGAAGACATTTTGAGGATAAGTTTCAATAAAATCGTCGTACGAGAAGGTTAAGAAAGAAGATTTTAGTGAGGTGAGGGGTAAAGGCGGTGAAGTATTAATACAGTATCGATACGGTATCAATCCTTGCAATACTGACTAATACGATACGATATCGCTACCGTATTGATACCTCAGGTATCAAAGCCGAGCCTGACTTTCCATAACGACCTTATCACATTGATTCAATATTGCTTGTAACGACACTAGTTTGTCATGTCAAACTTCTCGTACTCTTCGTCAACTTGACGATGATATGCCGATCGGCAGCCATGGTGAGTTTAGAGATGCAAATGATCTCTGCAGCAGACTTGCCCAGAGACGTTGGTACACGTGCTACAATATCTTTCACCACTGCTGGCACGACCGATAGCAAGGCCTTTGAGTAACAATGGCATCACACTACCTAGCGGTCACGCGGCAACGACTGTCTACCTCAAACCTCGGCGTGCTCACATCGCTCTGAATTTGAGTTTTTGGGACATCCATTTGGACAGCTAGTATCTCCTTCCCCGCGATCGCAAACCGCGATCGCGGTCCCCAACGCGCACTTTCATCTAATTGATTTTGACTTCAACCAGTCAATTAGCAACGTTGTGTTGAGTCAGGGGATGCATGCTGCCAACTCAAAGTTATGACGTTACATTAGGGTCGCACCAATCCTTTAGGACCGCTTTCTTCATCTCGTGGCACATGGGACCAGGGATTTGAAATTTCGTCGCCGGCCAGTTCTTGCGACTTCACATACTGAAACTTCAAAGAACGAGTCTTATTCGTTGTAGTACAAGGAGTCTCTCAGTTGAAGCACGAAGAAAGAAGAGATGGCAGATTTTGCGGGAGGTTGGTGTAAAACGAAAGGGCACCAGTGACTAATTACATGATCCTTGGTCACGAGTTTCAAAGCTATTTCCGTGTTCCTTTCCATCACACCACCCTCTGGCAAGTACCAATGGAAATACATTGAATATTCCCTTTTCCCTCTTGCCACCCAACCCAACAATTCTCTCTATATCCTCTTCTCCAACCTGTTTCAGCGTACCCAACCAACCAACCAACCAAAATCAACCAACTTCAATAGCCTCGCCTGTTGGTGGTGCCCGCAGCTGTGCCGTCAGGCGAGGCCGCTGGGTAAATTCTGCTCCCTCGGAATCAATCACCCTCCTATCCTGACCCGACCTGATTGCTTCAACTCTCTCAGTCATCAATTTCCCATACACTCGCAAACACGGTTATTTGAGTACCTCCTGTCAGCTATCCCCGTATTTGGGACGATCTGCCACCATGCCACTTATGCCGCTCACGCTAGAGCAGAAAGATGCTATTCGCGAGTATCTTCATGCCGACCCCCGAGGAAAACCACGTGGTGGGATGCCCTTGTTGGTTTATTTTGTGATTACCGCCAAGAGTCCAGTTCGTAGGCTCTTGAATATAGTAAGCGCGTCCGATCGAGTCTGTACCTACATGAAGCTTTGACTGACTTGACAGTCTAGCTTGTCCATCCGAGCGATTTCTACGACCCAACAGGCCCTCAAGTCCCACTCCGAAGACAGTTAGCTCTTTATGATCGAGCAGTAATGCTTGAGATGCACGAATTCTGTTTCCAGGAACAGAGTACAGATTTATTTGTCCGAGACCTGTAGAATTGTTGGCATTCCCGAGGCGCTGATCCTCATGTACGATGTCGCCGACCGGGAAAGTTTCGTCGAATTGGAAAAGAGTTATGATAAGATATGCGACGTTCTTGAATTGGAAAAGAACTATGATAAGGTATACAAGGTCTGGGCCCCTAAGCTATGACGCTGAGTTATGAAACAGACAGACAAACCACCGGCTAGGGGACTGTTCAAGAGGGTTACAGACAGACTCTTTAAGAGGCCTCAGTGGGAAGCGCCGGTCCCGTATCCCATCTTCGTTTTTGCTGTGATCCTTAATCGGTCGGCCTCGCGGCAGGTCACTTACGACGAAGGGTTGGAACTGAGCGATCGTCTCAGTGCAATCTTTCTTGAGACTTCTCGTACTGGGTTGAATAACAATTGCTTTGACGATTTGGCGAGTCGGAGTATCTTAGCGAGGACTAAAAAAGAACCGAATCGAGTGGATAGTTGAACAATAGTCTTGTTACTAAGTATCGGTTCTGACCCGTGAATTCTTTTACTGGAAATTGGAGGACCAGTGTACGAAGGAGGTTGAGAGTATTCCCCGATCAGAAACGATGAAGTCCCTGATTATATGGATCGATTGCAACAAAATGTGTGTCTCAAAGGTCCAGAAAGTCTTCTCCTATGTCAAAGAACAAAAGTATCGAAGCAGTTGACAAACACACACCTCAAAGATCAGCTTACTCGAGAAAGTGAGAGAACACCATGAATTGCAGGTCAAACAATTTTGCGTTGGACTTGACTCACAACCTCCCTCGTAAGGGAGTCAATAAGCATCATACTGCTCGGCCAAATTGAGATGCCGCTTTATTGATTTGAGATAGAGAAATGAGGGGAAATTGAGGAGGGGTAAGCTCGCTTGAGGTTTTGTCAGATTCTGCGCCTGATTGACTGGTCTTTGCGTACGAAGTATTTCGTTATTTTGTTGAAGACCTAGACTCTTATTCTTTTGAATTCCGGTGCCTGTTGTTGCGACACCAAATGAGCACGTTCGAAGGAGAGTTGATTTCAGGAGAGGCAATGAGATATACAAATGATCGAGTTGTGTCGAAGTATTAAGTGTAACGCAGAAATAAAATGTCAGGAAAATCTTTCGCAAGGCAGCCGTTATATGTCAGACTGTGCCACGCACTTGAAAATTCACAGCACCGAGCACTTTGTACCCTGCCTGCCTCCATACAGGTTCGAGAAAGCCCCTTTTTGATCTAGCCAATAGAATATCGGCTTTTCGGCGCAACTCATCCCATGTTGAGAACGAGAGTTAATGCCTGCTCAAACATCAGATGACTCCTGTCAAACGATTGGCGATTATGAACGACCTCCGCAAAAGAACGAATAATGGACTTCAATATCATACACGTGATATCGATACTCTTCGGAAGTGATCCCAGAACCCGGAATAAGCTGAGCGCCGCGCCGCGCAGCTCTCCTCTCATTTCTTGGCTTGACCAACGACGATCGTATAAGGGATCAGCAACTCTTGGCAAAGCCTTATTCTCACCCTTCGGATACAGCGGACGACCGTCCCTGCACTGCCCCAAAACAAAATATACGAATTCTCAGCTGGGAAAACGCCCATCAGCAAATTTGCGATGCGTAAATCCAGCCCTCTGAGACATACCCACCATTGCGGATGCTCATAGGATGTTATTTCCAGATCAGTGGAGAAATGTGGCACGGTTCCTCCCTCGTGGCTGCATCGCGCTGCCATTTGCTGCTGATCTGTCGCCTCTTCTTCCACAAGTGCAGACTCCGTCGTATGCTGACCTGAGCCTAGCAGCCTTGTCGATAGTGTGTCATGCAGGAACAAGGCATAATTCGAAGCTACCCTGTGAATATCCTTTCCAGAATGTCCGTTTGCATATTGAGTTTAGATTTTGCTTTTGTTCTCCACGTCATAAGAAAGCCGGCCCGCTCCCTCCTTTGTCTGTTTGAAAGCCATCTCTTCTACTCCGCAATTTAAGTTGGGGGCTATTCATTCGTTCCTTGAAAAGTACATTTTTATTTGAATATGTCGATTCTAGTATCTAAATTTTGCTTCGGCATTCTGTTCGCTGCGGCTTATGCCCAAGCTACTTCTGTTCTCGATTGTCTCGATGCGAACAAAGTTCCATATGTTACCTCGAGCTCGACAGATTGGACTGCCTACCAAATACCCTTTAACCTTCGTCTTCCATTTGAGCCTGCTGTGATTACTGTTCCCGAGAATGAAGCTCAAGTTTCCGCTTCAATTACTTGTGCAGCTGCTGCAAGCTTGAAGGTTCAGGCAAAGGGGGGTGGACATTCTTATGCATCGTTCTCTAGCGGTGGCCAAAATGGCTCTTTGATTATTGAAATGGAGAACTTTGCTGAGATTACCGTTGACCCGAGTAAGTCCTTTCAACTATTTTCAGTTCTTTCTAGACGAAATTCCATGCACTAACACTTTTCAGCCACATTTATTGTGAAAATCGGTGCTGGACAAAGACTCGGCAATATTGCCACTGAAATTTATGCTCAGGGAAAGAGAGCCATGCCTCATGGGACCTGCGCCGGTGTTGGAATTGCTGGACACGCATTGCATGGCGGATATGGATACGATTCCAGGAAGTGGGGTCTTGCTCTAGACCACGTCGTTGGTCTGGACGTTGTACTTGCCGATGGTACAAGCGTTTACACCAATGCAACCACCAACCCAGATCTCTTCTGGGCAATGCGAGGCGCCGGCGATTCATTCGGCATCGCGACAAATTTCTACATGCAGACCGAAGCTGCGCCCGAATCAGTGCTTTACTTCGTAGCTGATCTTTCTGCTTCTTTGTCGAGCGCAGAAAATGCTGCAACTGGATTCGAAGTCCTCCAAAACTGGTCTTTTACTTCACCAGATCTTACTCCTAACATCACATTCGGCACCTATGCTGATTTCACCAAATCATTCATCATCCGTGGTTGGTGCATGGACTGCGACGAGGCTGTCTTCACAAAAAGCGTATTCCCTGGCATGCTTGCTGGTTTTCCAGGCTATGTGCCCACTGTGCAAAATCTCGACTGGATCACCGCATTGGTCGATCTTGCTGGGGAGAATCTGACACAGCCTTTGGGACACCTATACACTGAGCACGATACTTTCTACGCAAAGTCTGTCGTCAGCAAGGAAGCTGAACCATTGAGTCACGCGTCACTCGTGAGCTACTGGAACTACTTGATCGCCAATCTGGGAAACAAACAATGGTTCAGTATTATTAACCTCTACGGCGCTCCTGGATCCCTCATCAATGCCGTCTCTCCCGATGAATCAGCTTATTCTGACCGCGACTCCTTATGGGTGTTCCAAAACTACGGTTACACTGGTACAGAGCCCTGGGACCCAACTATCACACCCTTGATAGACGGGATGAATAACGCTACAATTGTTCCACAACCGGACGGAGACTTTGGGGCATACCTGAATTATGTAGACCCAGATCTATCGCCCGCCGAGGCTCACTTGGAGTACTATGGAGCTAGCACTTATGATAAGTTGTTGGGCTTGAAGGCTAAGTTTGACCCTGGGTTCGTGTTTTGGAATCCTCAGGCCATTGGAACTTCGATGGCTCTGTAAGATGGCTTGGTAGATTGGTACGATAGAAAGTCGTGACTATCTTTGAATATTTAAACATTAATGGAACTTAACATAACAAAAAGACCAAAACCAGTTGACGCTGTTACCGAACCCACCCTTCTCTTCTCATGACTTCCCCAGTCCACTCCTCCAATCTCTCCGCAAGCTTCTCATCCTTCGCCTCCCCACTCAACCATCTTGGCTCCATACACCGCTTGAAAATCTCGAGATACGCCCCGCTCTGCTCTGCCTTCATATCCCGACTCGCTACACAGAACAAACTAGTGTATGCACCTTTCTCTGCAGGGTACATCAATCCCAACATACGCAAACCTGAGAGAACACTCATAATTCCTGACTGCGACTCCCCCATCGACGAAGCGAGGTTCGTCTCCACCAGCCCGGGATGCACAGACGAAACCCAGATCTCGCCCTCCCCTTTCGAGCCGGGGCCGTACTCCTTGTGCAAAGTCTTCGTGTGTAGAATATTGGCGAGCTTGCTCTGTCCATACCTTGCCCACGTACCGCTCTCCTTGAGCGAGAGGTCCTCGAAATTGATGCCGCTTTTCGGTGCGCTCAGGTGGCCCGATGAAGAGATGTTCACGATGCGCACGCTGCCGGGAGGAAGCGCCTTGGCGGTATGTAGCATTAAAGGGAGCAAATGCTCGGTCAAAACCCAGTGCGCGAGGTAATTTGTCTGCCATTGGGCTTCATGGCCATCTTTGGTAATTTCGAAGGGGGTCGCCATAATGCCTGCGTTGTTGACTAGGCCGTGCAGGGCTGTTTCGTGAGTGAGGAAGTGTTTGGCTGCTGCAACGATGCTGGCGAGGTCCATGAGATCCATTTGCAGGAGGTCTATATTGGCTGAGGGGTGCACTTTCTTGATATTTGCAATAGCTGTTGTGCCTTTCTCTAGGGATCGGACACCCATGTAAACGTGGGCTCCGTGTTCTGCGAGGTGTGATACGGTGTAGTAGCCTCTGTGGTTTGGTCAGATCAGGGATCCGGGCTTCGTGGTAAGAGAGGATACTTACATGCCGGAATTTCCACCTGTTATTATGAACACTTTGCCTTTGAGATCGGGCAGAGTGTCGGGAGAGAAAGTCATGTTCGAAACGAGTCCTTCAGTCAGGGTGTGGAAGTGCAGAGTTCACTAAGAAACAGATAGCTGAAGTTTTTGGAATAAGTTCGATGCTTTTGGTGGTATGAGAAGATGCGTCAAAAATTGAGGATTTACTATCATCTTTATAGTAGTCTTATCGAACAATCTTCCATATTGAAAGTTGTTCCAAGCATCAGATATTGTGAGCAGGTTGCATGATATTGACAAGATGGACCAATAGGAGAATTCAGTCGGCCAGCTGCATGAATGGTGTGGCTGTACAGGGCTCACTACCGAGTCTCCATAATGTGAGCAGGTTGCATGACATTAGACCATTTCAAGTTAGACATTCATTACCCCTGTCATCTGTGGCTCAGCTGCGGAATTTCAAGCATATTCATTCCTCCGTTCCCGAGTATTAGACTCGTCATTGTGAGCAGGTTGCATAGAACGTGGCCAGCACAAACAAACTTACCTCAATCATCACTAACTTATCCCATTATCACCGCAGGTCCCATATCCGCTGATATCATGATTCGTACGTATCAACTGCCGCCTGCAAATTCGACAGTGTCACACATTCAACTTACGCCGTTACCACAATTGGCCGAGGTACGTATCAGGACGCCTTCAATCACCAAGACGACATGATCTCTTACCGCGCATAGGCAAGAAGCCAAGAGGATGATTGGACTGGCACCAAGGATGCTGCAGCACGCAGACGGGCACAGACTAGACTCAACACAAGGGCATACCGTACGGCCTTGTCATCTCTTTTGTCCAAATCAGCAGTCAGGACCAGTCCGAAGAAAGGGTACCCAATTATCGAAAACTAACACTCCATTAGGAAAGCGCAAAGCCCAAGCAAGGAAAGTCGAAGAGTCCACTGCTACGACTGGGACACTGGCAAAATCAGAAGCCCTAGTGGAATGCTGGGATAATGAACAGCAATCCGTATCCATCGTCCCAGCATCCCGAATCAAGCTATTTTACAGTATGAGATATCCATTGTTGCCATCAGATAAATCTAGAAAAGAACACTTCAATATTATCTTCCCTCTCTGTCCAGACCACCTCATCACACTCCTCCAATTCAACGCCCTCCGCTCCATGGCCGTCAACCGCACTCTAATCTCAGGTATCCTCACCTCGCCGCTCGACTGTGACGAGGAAGTGATCCACGTTATCCCTTACCCTGCGAAACCCGACCTCATTCCACCAGCACTCCTGCCCACCACCCTGCAACAAACAGTGCCACACCCCGATTGGATCGATCTCTTCCCGTGTGCCGAAGGACGAGATCGTCTGATCCGAGCCGTCGGCACCTTCGATGAGGATGACCTTTGGGCCGACTGCATCGGTGGGCTGTACGAGGGTTTCCCTGACGACGAGATCAAGCAACGCGGCATCATTGCATGGTCGCCGCCATGGGACATCACGGGATGGGAGATGTCGGAGGGCTTTCTGAGGAAATGGGGGTGGTTGGTTGAAGGGTTTCCTGGGATGTTGGAGGCAACGAATCGGTGGCGGATGGAGAGAGGTGAGGAACCATTGGCTGATGACTGCACGTCACAAAATGTAATTTTGTGACCTTCATCTTGCCCCAATACTTTGTCATAAGCCATCCTAATTCATGTCTCTCGAAAATAGAGAGTGAAGTTTGATTTCATAAGATTAAAATCTGAGTGTCGAATTGCACGTGAGGAAATGTCATTATCGGCAATTTGGTAGTGGATGCAACTTGAAAGTATTTCCTAGGTCTGAGTCTCGTTCTCATTCTCGTTCTCCTACATTATCCCTTCTTGACAGAACTAGCCACCTCATTAATCATAAGTCGTCGCCAACCATCGTCTTGCCCGGCAATCCCAGAATCGCCACACAGCATACCAACACCCCTGCTCCCGCCAAATATAATGGCCCATTCAAGCTTTTTTCCAGCAAATGAGCAGCAATTAAGGGACTAAAAATCGAGAATAACCGACCCCAGAATGAAGCTACGCCAGATGCAGTGCCGCGAACAGAGGCAGGGAACGCTTCTGGTGTCCAACCGTACAGGATGGCGTTGAACATGCTTTGGAAGAAATACTCCATGGTGTTTAAGCCCACGTTGCTAGCTTGCGTGTTGACTGCTGCAAATAAGAAAAGGGATACAGCCATGAGAAGAGAGGAGGTAAACATGGCGTATTTGCGTCCGACGTGGGGAACTTGAATAAGTAAAGCACCGAGAGCGACGCCAACGAGTCCGGGTGTGTAGATTATTATGTAGTCTCGGTAGGTTTCAGAGATGGAAACATTGATGCTAGAGTTCTTCCTTGCTAGGATGGTGGGGAGGAATGATCCTGAGTTTGTCAGTGTTCTGAGAGAACATGAAGTATAGGGGCTCGCTTACCAGCAACCGAAAATCCCCAATAATCGAAAGCATAGATGATCCATACCAGGATCGTCAATCTGGCCAGAGTAGCCGTAGAAAACAGAATGCTGACGCGCTTGAGCTCTGTTTTGATGCTTTCCATTGGTGCATCCACGAATCGTTTTGACCCAACCAGGTTTCCTTCTCGAATCATGGCTGTACCTGAAGAGTCGGAGCTCGATCGTTGTCCTTCGCTCTCCCGGAGATTCTCAAAAGTCGCCATTGTGATTCGAGATTGAGTCCCGTTCGTTTTCGCAACATTGTCTAGTACTCTCAGAGCCTGTTCATCTTTACCCTTGCTCAACAGATATTTAGGGCTCTCTTGGAATGTGAAGACGACGAATCGCATAATGAAGACGAATAGAGATATGCCACCAAGAGTGAACATCAGGTATCTCCATCCGTAGTTTGACGATTTGGTACAGCATGGTGCGCCAGGAGCGAGCGACGATGAATGGCATGATAGTAGTTCCGAGTCGCACGAGTATTTGGGTATGAAGCCGTATGCGATACCTGAACAGACAATGACCCCAAGAGGTTGAAAGATCGAGAGGAGTGCGAGGAGAAATCGTCGATTCTGATATGGTGGTGCACGCGTCAGATATAGAGCTGTACGATAGAGAAGTGAGAAATGATACCTTCGGCAAGAACTCGAGACAAATCGTGGTGTCAATTGGGATGTTTCCTCCAATTCCAAACCCATTGAACGCAGTGAGGACGAGAACTGCATTATAGGTATTTGGTGCTCCGAGAGAGAGGCCGAAGATGCAAGTTATTAGAACAGTGCCATTGAAAGCCCAGCGACGACCTGTACTTTGTGTAAGTCATTGCAGGGTTCAACATGGAGGGGTCGCGTACCGATGATGTCCACCAATACACCCCAGACGAACGCACCAGCTGTCAGACCTGAGCTGAATGCTGTGAAAATGTCTCCCAATTGTCCGTCTATACCTTGTCAGTCAATTTATTGCTTGAAATCCATACTCGGAGACTGCGCGCACCACTAAAACCAAGCTCTTTCTGCAACGGGGTAGCAATAAGTCCGAATGCTTGTGCCCATAGTAGATCCAAGAAGTATCCAAGACCACAAAGACTCCATATGTACCACTGATATTTTCCCATGCCCATAGCATCCAGTTCCCTTTGTATCAAGAGTGACTTCTGCTCGTATAACGACAAGCCATCCATCTCGAGTTCGTTGCTTGCCTCGTTTGAATCGCCAATAATTGGAACTTCTCGAAATGTCCTGTCTAGTTTCCTTGGTCAGCTTTATGAGATGCAAGAACAGATCAGTCTGACTTACTACCAAGTCCAGAAGCCCCGACATCTGGGCGCTTGCCCTCTGCGTCAAGCGCATCCATCGCAATCGGAGACGAGAACACGCGACAGGGAAAATAAAAATAAAAAGGAGAAAGGAGGTCGCAAGCAAGAAAATAACATAGGCAAGATGCGGGGTGATAAGAAAGTCGTACAAGGTACAAGCAGGAAGCAAAATCCTTGGCTCCCGCATAGTAACAAACCGTCACCTCTCAACCTGGTAGTGCATTTTCTGGTTAGAGCAATTATATTAGCTCCTCGAAAAATCTGCGTTTTAGATATGCAAAGCGCAAGTCAGCTCCAACAAGTAATGCAAAGACGATATGTATCATTCAAGTACAGGACCATTGTGAACATCACCGCAAGAAGGTACCTTCTGGCCCTTGACGATAACATGAGAGATATCCCATCTTTCGATGTCATCGAATTTAAAGAAATGCAGGTTGAACCATGGCGAAGTTCGCTAGAGTGTCCAATCACAGCACAGTATCTCGGGATGCTAAAGACGACGGATTCATGCACTTCTTTAGTGCATTTCCAATTCTTGGAGCTAAGAAACTCTATTAGTGATGGATATAGATGCCATGCTCTTGGAGCAGAATCAGGTAGAGGTGAAAGTTCTATCCATATAATATGAGATTTGCGCTGCTGTGGCTGTATAATAATGCTTAAGCGATTATGATGTTTTCAGCTCGCTTCTTCACATCCAATGTTTATTTTTGTTTTTGAATTTTATGTTTTCCTTTTCCATGTTTTGTTCTAAAATTCGGATTTAGCGAGTACTCCAGTACAGATAGAATGTCTCGTGGTAGAAAAAAAGCCTGCACTAGAAGAACAAAAGTGATTCTATTGGACCTGAGAACATTTTGGTGGTAGCTGGGGCCAGTGTGTGGAGATGGAGATCATTTAGCCTCATCTAAATTTAGCAATGCTACCTCATGTAAACTTCACTAGGGAGTGAGACAATATTCATCGAATGGTGTGAATGCACAGTTTTTGTTCCGTAAGGCTGCTGGAAGGTACGACGATGTTAATTTAAGAACAAAAGTGAAGAGCGAGGCTAGAAAAATAGTCTGGTAGTCCTGGGCACGTTCAGACAGCCCCGCTGCAGGTGACGCCCCACATAATGCACTTCTGTCCTAATAGTTTTCGGAACTAAACCACGACTATGGAGCTCGGTTCCTAAGACTGAAGATTATGGGCTCTAGTATTCTCTAGAGAGCTCGCTTATGACGTTTGGTATCAGGCTTTCCTTCACTTATATTGGTCTGCACATTCAAAGTGCCACGCTGCAGAAGACACTTTAAGCGTGCCATACTGAAACAGATTGCTGGATACCCGCCTGAGCAGCAACTAGCAGCTTTTCGGAAGTTGTGTGACTCGAATCCTGTTGCATAGCACAGATGCAGGCGAGGCATCACAGTGGAAAGTGCATATACATAGATAGAGCTTTTCAATCCCTTACAGACTTCTTCGACAAATTATTGATACAAATAGTGTTTTTATCCCCTAAACTCTATCCCATCTGCAAGCAACGTCCCCTGCAGATCGCCAGTCCCTCTGATGACCGCATCCACTTTGAAAGACCATGAGATCATGCAAGCCCATCCTCCAGCTTCTCAAAATCAGCCCGAGTCAGCAACGTTCCATTCAACATCTTCCCCATATGAGTCTTCTCGATGCTTTCGCAGTGGTTGCGAACCTTTGTCATGAGGACTTGCAAGAACATGGTAGGGCTCTGCTTGAACGTCGACTGTCTACTGCTATTGCCACTCTTCAAGATAAATCCATCGGGCGCAACGCTGCTGCCATTCTCAGATTTTTCCCACGCAAGGCCAAGCAGGTCACAGACCTCGGTATATTCCTCGAATGAGCTGAAATATAGCTGCCCTGCAAACAAATTGAGTAGAACAACGAACTTACGAGGTACTATTAAGGACGGCGACCGAGATGGACATGTTGAAGAATCCAATCTGTCCATCGGAAGGAATCCAAGAGTCAATCTTGGGGCGTACGGGTGCAGAGTGATCATTTTCGATCCACTGATCTGTGGCTCGATCAAGTTTGCCTCGAAAGGGCTGATGATCAGCATGTGCTTGATCGTAGTTCCACCAAGTGGTCCCGTGCTCGTGAGAACCCAACGTACAGGTCGTTGAAAGCTATCCGAGATGTACGTGCTGTAACTAGATACTTGAATCGTCTTTGAAAAGTCCTCTGTGACCAGGAGATCGTTCGGGAATTGGGAGACATCGAAACCTTTTGCTGCGCTGGTAGTGCGCAATGATGAAAAAGCCGGTATGTAAGCTTTTGAGTTTGGGACCGGGACCCCAGCAGACACGAATTTCATCAGGTCAGCATGCAATTTGTGGTCTGCTGGTTCTGCCGGAGCCGCTTTCTGAGTCTGACGCTCTTGCTCAATCTCGGGCGCAAGCTCGCGCTCTTGTTCTTCTTGGAGCGTGGCAGAGACAAAGTTGAGATTGTTCAATTCTTTGCAGCGCTCTGCGATCTTATTCAGATTTTGGTTGCTGCTTGGCTGCATGAGCGATACTGAATTGGCCCTGACACGCGGTCGATACCTATGGTCCAGGCTCTGCATCTCATCTTCGAGAAAACTCTCAGCTTGAGACTGCGACATGACGAAGCCATCCTGGGTACAAGTCGCAGCCCATAGCTCGCTCTGCTGCTCAAATCGTTGACCTTGGGCTGCCCAAAGTGGAATGCTTTTGCGTGTGTCGACGAAAGTTTCAGAGATTGCCCAACTAAGAACGTCAGATACATCAATGCTCGCGTCGCTCAATTTTGATGCTCGGGCCAGTATTCTGGCCTTGATCTCTTCCGGAACACAGAAGACTACTGACTGGCCTTTCCCTAGCTTTCGCATTCTCATGCATGCTGTATATCATTAGTAATAGACAGTACATCTGTGGGATGGGTGACTGACCTTGAACTAGACGATCCTTCGTCAAATTAGGACCCATAGTAACAGCGGCTCGATATGTTGTTGGCAATCGGAGATCAGTGCCACGTGTATGGGACTCGTCTAAGTAAACGAGACAAACATCCATCTGCGTTGCAAATGAAGATGTTTGCAAGGCTTCGATATTGTTGTGTCGATCAAGAACACAAAGCTCGTCATTGTCATCGCAGAAAATAACGGCTTGCGCATCTTCGTCATTGGACATCATTTTCAGCCATTCCTTTGCAACCTCCAGGTTGTCGAGTTCGAGAATTTGCGCACCAACATCAAGAATCACCTGAACTTTCTCGGGCATTGCGATCACCATGGCCAACAAAGCTCGGGCGTCTGAGATTGAAGCATCGAACCGTGGCTTCATCAGAGCGACAGAGTTTTCGTCCTGTAGGAGGTACTTTAGTACAAGAGCATTGGTGTGTTCTTGCTCGGGAAGATCTAAATGTCCAACGGTAAGTGGAAGAACCATCTGTGAGTCGTTTGTACCGCTAAAACCTGTCAATGGAAGTCCAGGTGGTCTAGTTTTTCCAATGTCCCATCCAGATGCGGACAATTTGTGGGGAAATTCTTTCATCTCCTTTGGGAAGACGATACGAGCCAGAAAGTAGTCGATTGCTCCTTTCGAGTATCGGAGACTAGGATAAACTTGCTCTTCGCACTGGATGCGGTCTTTTAGGTTGATGCCTGACAGAGTTTTAAAGGAATGTGGTAGACTTGGGGCATCTCTAACCCAGACCCCATATTCGATATCTGCCTGATCCGATCGTAGCAGGTGGGCGAAAGCCATAGACAGGTCGTCATCCTGCAAGCCTCCATAGTAATGAGTCAAAGACGTCAGGACAATGACAACGTCAGGATGGCTGAATTCAGAGCGAGCAGTAGGGTTGTCTTTGGCTCTATATGGTACCGCCAACTTTGTCCCAGGCTTACGAGTGACGTCAAGCCCATAATTGACTCTCCAACGCTTCTGACCGAATGCAAACGATAAAATTCCACAAGCAAACAGACCTCTCAAAAGAAGAAGAGCATTGCATGTTGATGATGTCCAGAAACCACCAGGACCTTCAACCAAGGCGATTTCCTCTGGGCTAAGGTTTGCTTCGGTCAAATATCTGTACACAGCTTGTCTGTCAGGTTTCGACCGTCTAACAATTGGAAGTCCATTCATGCCAGTAGCTTCACAGATGTGTTGGGCGATTCGACCGATAATTTCTCGCTCGGCATCAGGTCGGAGAAATCGAATGCGAGGGAAACTTCCTGGCTGTCGTTGATCGACATCGAGTGACTGAGGGAACTCATTCTTGACCTCAAATGCAAACTGTCTGACCATATCCAGGACGGTGAAAATGCACAACCAACGTTCGGGGCTGAACTCGATCGGACGTTGGGAGCCCATGGTATAGACCAGCTCAAATTTGACACTGAAATTCTCATCGCTCTCGTCGACAAGGTCGCGCGACGACCTATCAAAAAATTCTTGCATTCTCAGAAGAGATCTGCCAATCAGGGCTTTGTCCGCGATGAAGCACTCGAGGACCATAAGTTTGAATGACAACAGGTGCTCCGGTTGTACTAGGAGAATACCACCATTCTGCGTGCAATCTCGGTAAATCTTGCCCATAGCTTCTGCTTTCCCATCTTCGGGATGAAGTTTCAATGCACGAGAAAATGGCATATGATACACCTGTCGATCCAGCAATCCGCCCAGTTTCGATACTAGCATTTGCAACATCTGCTTTGACTGGGGCTTAGCAACGATGACTCGGACCAGACAGGAGCCATCTGCAAGAGCGGCAGCTACGATTGGAACGATGACCGAGGACTTTCCCTCTCCCATGTTCAATTGCATGACAGAATTTGCACCAGATGCTGGTTTCCTCATGTGTCCAGCGATCTGCTCTTGTACTTCTCGGATCATAATGCCGCTCTCAACCTCAAGGAGTAGGGACTCGGGATACTCGAAAGGGCTCCAATTCGTATGGCCGGCGTTTTGAAGCTCTCGAATGAGCTCCATTTCGTTATCGGCGTAGCTTAGAAGTCTTTCAGCTCTATGTAATTCGGTGAAAGCAAGTCCATACTGAATGATACATTCTTGCCAGCGGCTTGGAATTCCACTCCAACGCTTGCGATTGAGCTGCCTAAGCAGGAATATCGGAGAAAGTCTTGGCCATTGATTAACCTCAATAGCCAGAGACATCGATATAGAGTTGTTGGAGGATGCTAGACAACAAATGATAGCATCAAAGACCTGTTGAACATGTACTCTGCAACTAATAAGGTAATCGGAAAGACGAGCCTTACGGACGCCACGATCCAACTGCAAGTGAAGTCGATTTTCAAATCCCTGCAACGAACCAAGACTACCACGAAGCGCTTTAGCGTAATTCTCCTCGTAGTTCGAAGTAGTTGATTGCTCGAGACTCTCTAACAAGATATTGAGAAGAGGCACTTCTAATTTGGCTTCGGGGTAATGAGCGACGAGGCCTGTAATAGAGGTCTTATTCAATTGTGGAAGCTGGGGAGCTGAACAACTGAATATGGTGTCGGTACTGACAAATCTCTGGTATTGTTCGCTCTGGAGAGACGGCGTAGGGACTTTCTTTACGTATGATGGTCTCGGCACAGGCTTGACAGATTGTACGGAAAGGACTGTCGAAATATCTTCTAAGTACTTGAGATACCGACGATTTTCGAACCAGACTTTGAAACGTGGCTTTGCAAGCTGGACTGCCTGCTCAACGTTCATATAAGCGTCTATGGTCTTACGTTGCTCCTGGCCAGGCATTGTCGGGACCTCACATGGCCATTGTTCCTTCAACGCTGTAGCTAACGCGTTCAGAGCTTTGTCCTGGTTTCTTTGAAATTCAGATTGGCGTCTGTTTACGAACTGATTGTTTTTCTCGTATGGCTTCTTTTTTAAAGTCCCCTCCGGGCAGCGAGTGAGTACGAAGAGGGCTGGTCGGAAAATCTTTAGCAATTCGTCAGGTTTGACATCAGTTCCTGCGTCAAGCTGAAATGAGATGATCGGCGGAGCAGATATCAGACCTACTTCTGGTGTCGTATAGAAGGAAGCCACGGCCTGGAGAGCCTCCATGTCGGCGTTGGTTGAATACCCTAAGGTGGAGAGCCAAATCATGAGGCGAAATTCATCAATAGAAGATCTTGCTCCTCGAAGCGCATGGTGAAGAGGCATCCAATGTTGTGCCAGAAAGACCATATGATTCTGAAGAAGGAGACCATCGTAGCGTATATCTGACAATGGCAACGGCCGGCTCGGGCCATAAACAGTTCGGGCCTCCGAGAGTATGGCCAGCAGGTGGTCTGCCAGGCGTTGTCGAACTGGTTTGTGCAAATACCTACGTCTGTGGGCTATGATGTATGCCATTGCGAACGCCTTGTGCTCTTGTTCAGAATCCTGGTTCTGGTCTCTGGATGTGTAAATTTGGTCGTGTTTGACAGTATGTTCTTCTGCACCGGAGCCCGAAACACGAAAGGTTGACGATCGAATACAATCTCGTTCAAGTAAATGTAGGTCAACAGTTCTCTGGTGTCGTCGCTCAATGCAAGATTCTGGTTGAAATATGCTGTATGTCTCCGCTTGGTCATATATCGATTGAACAGATTTATGAAAGCTGCCATGCCGCGCCATGAAACCAACTTGCAGACCTAGGACTCGTCGTTAGCACATGAGCTTCGTCTACGTCGTTCAGGAGCTAGACTAAACTTCTAAGAAGAGTGGAATATCAGAAAAGATCAACTTACCGTGCATAGACCAATCAATACTCTGCATGACACGCTCATTCGTTGGGTAATAGCTTCTGCCAGGAGTCAAATATCCCAGCAGACCTAAAAGCTCAATGTTGCTTGGGGCTAGTTGAACAATTGACTTGATCGCGGCAGAATCTAAAATCGACAAAGCCTGCTCTGTCCCAGTACTTCGAGTAAGGGGATCGGCCAAACAGAAGGATGTGAGGCTATGTAAATAACATAGATATAATTTGCTTTGCAGGCTTCCGTTATCTGATAGCTTGCCGGTCATTCTGTCCACATTGTATGCATGGACTCTGGTAGACAGGGGTTTTTCCACTTCGACATTGACGTGACTGACTGACCCGTATGCCTTCGACTGGCACGAAACGGGCCCCTCAGGGACGAGAACAAGGCGTCGGTCGCGCTTTCTTTGCGTCAGTACGAGTTTGTTTGAAAGTCCAACAAGAGTTCCCAGAGACTGGTCTGTATCGATGATCATCCCTCGAAATTGTTTTGACTGTATGTCGGACGTTTGAGACTGTAGCCGAAATCCTAGCTGAAACCTGGGAAGCTCAATGTTGATCATCAATGGCGAGAGACCAAGATTTAAGACGATGTGGATTTGTGTTGGGTCCTCGAGGGGTGCGAGTATCTTAGACAGAGTTCTAGCTGTAGCACTCTTGATGCTGAGCAAAGTATCTTGAGATTCTTTCACCAAGCGCCATCGACTTGAAAACCCGGCTTTCGACTTGGTTAATACCCAACATGTGTCAAGACATCGAGTCCAGGGATCTCCAATCGGTCGAAATTCCACAGAATTATCCGTGACATTGTACCAATGAGCAAAGTTCGTGACCAAGTCTGACGGAAACTCCCCCTCGAGGAGTCTTGATGGAATGAGCTCGAAACTTTGCCCCTGTCTAGAAGCCCGGACTAAGAAGTCTTTTACAGTCTTGCCAGCCGAATCTTGGGAAGGCACCATATTAAAATGAACGGTATGTCCTGAGAACTCTTCCTTGCCAGAAAATTGCATACCTGGAGCAGACGTTGGCATGATATCAAGGGTCGAATTGCCGAAGAGAGAGCGGTATGTTGAGTGCTGTTCGTATTTCGATGGTAGACGAGCTAGTGGCAAGCCGTCCACAAGAAGCTTGCCTGTTAGCAAGTTGAAATGAACTGTAAGTGATCCAGAAGCGCTGTTGGATGCAGTATGGCTGACGAGCCAGTAATCAAGATCTCTTGACACTTTTTGCCAGTGATCTCCTGCTTCGAACGCAGACCAAGTCTTTTTCACGGCGTCATTCAAAGCTGCGTCGTCTCCCTGGGTGATAGATTCACTCAGTATATGATAGCTGCGGAAAGATATCATCTTCCAGCGATGGTACAGTAAAGTAACCATGCAGTCGGAAGAGCTCGAGATGCTGTAGTCCTCTTCTTGGATGAGGAAGCAGCATTGGAAGAATAGTGAAGCGTCCTCTTGTACAGAAAGAGTTCTGTCTAAGTACTCGCCTTCAAGATTGAAAGACGTGAGACAGATCAACGCAATCTCGACGGCTTTCAGTCGAAATTCCGCTCTCTGTTTATCGTCGGTAGCAGTGGAAGCTTTTTTCTTGAGATACATGGCCCATTTGAAAGCGACACATCGAATACTTGAAATATAAAGTAAATATTTATCTGCAAGGTTTTTTGAGGCAGTCAAGGACAGTACTCGAGTTGCGAGTGAGATGAAAGTACAGAGAGCTTGTGAGGACTCCCAATTCTCTTTAATTCGCTGCAGAGCCTGCTCAAGGGCAACCAAGAGAGTAGTGGCGAATTGCGTGTCGCCAACAATCGCATGACTCTCTCGGAGGACACCATTGCCTTCAAGACGGCCAGCTTGGTAGATAACTTGCAAAATGACCAGAGTTGTCTCGACTTTCTTGAAGTCTACAGTAGGCATGTACAATTCAACCTCTATGTTGCGCCATTGAATTCTACAGCCTAGGGGAAGGGTACTCAAAGCTGTATATTCGGCAGGTGACATAGAGACTGGGCATTCTGATTGGCTAGCGGGGACCGCATTTGGTTTGGGGCCATCTGGCAACAACTCAGGACGGAAGATGAAACGTTGCAGCGAAGCCACCCGAGTGGGCAGTGTGAATGTACAGCGTTTTGAGATTTCATCAGAAACGCAAAAGCTATCAACAAAGCATCCAAGGGTACTGTCGTGATACTTAAACTTGGGTCCATGATTCACACAAACGGCGTTCTCATTGCTCGTGGAGACAAGAACTTCTCGTCGGTGTGTATTTCCAGAGGGTTTATCCTCCGAGAGCATGCCGATTCGTTGCATCCCGCTGAATTGCTTGAAGAAAGAGGAGAGTCCGCTATAAGTATGTAGGGGGTAACGTGATCGAGGTGACTGCGACACGCTATATTCGCTCTGGAGAATATCGATCAAGAAGAACACAGTTGCATCGCGCCAATATCCGAACCAAGATGGAACATTGAGTTCGAAAACCACAGATTGTGCATTCATATTATTCTCAGGAAGTGGCCATTCATGAGTCTCGATTCTTAATCGATCGGCTTGAGTCTTGTAGGCACACTTCTGGCAAGTACTTGGATGTGTTGGCATTTTAATTTCGTGACGTTCTCCGTTGATATCAGTGTACGAATCAACGAGAACTTCACGAGATTCGTGATCCACGATCAGATCGCACTTTTTGATTAGATCATTGTACAGCTTCTTCTTTTGGGCAAGCTCTGCGCATTTTGCTTGTCGTTGTTCTGTGGCGTGACGTACAATCTTTTCAAACAGCTCTCGATGCTCAGAAGATTGTTGGAAATATCGAACCGAGAAGGAGTCTACACTTCCAAAATGTTTGAAGATGTCTGGGACCTTCTCATCGGCAATACGTCGGCGATCATTCAGATACTTTTCTGCGTTGAGTAGCCTCAGCATTTGAGACTTCAATGGTAGCAGCAACGATGTGAAAAGTTCTCGTGGGATGCCCGGATCGTAGTGTTGCAAGATATTGCAGACGTGGCAGGCAACTTTGTCACAAGCGATCCAAATCTCCAGAATAGTGAGGAGCATTATGGAGGTAGTTTCGGGGTTGCCTTGACACAAACGAGAAGCAGCAGCAAAATAACTCTGAATCAAGCCAGCGAGTCTTTGGCACGTGGTGTTGTGATCGAGTTCTCGCGCTACCCAGGCGTCCAAATGGGATTCCACCCAGGATTCGACATTCTTTACATTGTACGGCAAAATATCCGGATTCGAAGATTGTACGTCCGGTGGTAGGTCTTTGGCTGAACACTTGATCAATTTGGATCCGGATTGGAATGCCACAGAATTGCTTTGATGCTTTCGCTTATGTCTCATTTGGAGATATTGATCTAGCCCCGGAAGGGACATGATCGTGTCGGTAATAAAGTCCAATTGCGGAAGTTCTGATAAATTGCAAGTCGGGTCTGCTTGCTTCTGAATGATTGTCCATCTGTTTCGAAGGACATTGGAAGTGCGTTGTAGAACTACTTGCACGAATTCAAGTCCAGGACAATCGGAGGTGGGATTGAGCTTGAGCAAACGTCGGATAATCTTGGCATGCATGATATGTATGAGATCGCTGTCAATGTCCGGGCGTTGATGGGACATCTCAAGAACATAGGCCATGAAAAACATCATGAATTCCTTGTACACGGCTTCTGCTGTATGCTGCATAGCAACACGCATAAGCAACCATTGGGGCGATCTTCTCCAAGGTCGGTGACTGTCGAGCCACAACACTTCTTCTCGAGTGTTCTTCCATAGAGGGTGTCCATCCACAGGCTCAGCAACAGCGCCTAAGAAACCGAAGAAAAGCTCCGTGACCATCTTCGGGTGAGCAGTATCCCGATCCTCGTCCAGCATCTGCCCTGCCTTCTTCGCTTGAGGTTGTGTACCGATCACGGCTTGGTGACCCATCTTCGAAAGAGTGTGGGCTACCGTAGCTTGGAAGTCGGGTTGTTCAAAGACTTCGGGTTTGACAAGTAACACGCGGCCTGGAAACATTCGCCGAAGCCTGCCTTTAGTCTTTATCACCTGTTCATTGAGAGGTGATAACTCAAATGCTTCAAAATGGTAATTCTTGTCGATTTTTCTGATTAGGAGACCAGCATTTTGAGCGCGGACATACAATGGGATTGTGCCCCCTATGAGACAATTAACTTGAGTAGAGTTTATAGACGACAGGTACTCACCTTTGATTGGGAGGTCTCCGAGAGCCTGCAGAAACTCTGCTTCGTAGATGTTGCTATGAGGAGGGTGAATGTTCTTCAAGACGATCATCATTTGCAGAACAGAAGTGATGTTATCACTCTGATCATTGTTGACATGAACCTTGAACTTCGAAAGAGCGTCAATGGTGATGTTTATCAGTAATGATTCGTGCTGAGCTTTGGAGTCATCTTCCTGGGGTAATCTTGGAGGAAGAAAGACGTGATTTATCAAGTACTGGATAGCCGCAATCGACGGGCTATTGCTGGAAGGTGTTGCCATCGCTGCCAATTGCGAGGTTTAATGCGATCTCAAGTGCAAGTGAAGCTGACAAGAAGTCTTCGACCGTTTGTTACTCGATCTCGAAAAGGCGTGAGTTTTTTGTGTCGCTACGCGCGACAACTCCAGAATTGTAATACAGCAATTGGTGAGATGTGAAAAAGAGGGTTGAGGGGTGGTCGTTGTTGTGGTGGTGTGGTGTGGAGGTTTGGGGGAGTAGAGAAAATCTTCGTCAGTTCAGTCTCGACTAGCGTGGGCAGGGCAAGGCTGGTAGCCTTACGAGTATCGATTCAAAAAAGATTTGACAGTGAAGGGCGTTGGATGTCCTAGGGCATGTCGGACATTCCGACTTGAGCTCCGAAATCCGCAAAGTCAAGCATTGAAAGGTCTTGCCTTTAGCACAATCTTCATGTAAGTACCCGCTGGAGCTTCTGGAATCATCTGAAACTTGTTGGAGATTGTTATTTCGGTGTCGAGAGGTTGACGGAAGGGAGGCTTGATAGATCCAGCCGTGTTGCCGTGTTAAGGGTCGCTAGAAGTCATCAATGCCAGTACATCTTATCCAACTAGCCCCTTTTCTCCAATCTGCACCGAACATCCAAGTATGAAATGTGGAGTTTCGGTCATTGCTGTACTATCTCTTAATCTACATTTCGGCCGGGTTTAATAACCGACGATGATGCTCTCCCGCTCGGTGCTCTTGAGGACGTGTTATCGGCTCAGTGCAGAAACTCGAATGGCATATCTTTTGATGAAACGCTCTTCCTCCTTTCGTCCAAATACATATTGTTCTTTGCCTCTAGTTCAGCAAGTTGCCGAACTGGCCTATGGGCTATGGGGGATGACACCGCCACTCGCCCAGGGATCCTGTTCTCATAATTTTCTCGCGTAGATGCATGAAATATATGGGACGTCGGAAAATATGAATCTGACACGTACAAAGGCGGGTAGTGGAGCTTGTAGACGGGGCGGAAACTGTTCTGATGTTCTGATGTTGAAGTCAGTTTTGGAGTAAAGCTAAGTGCACGCTAGCTTCATTCGGAGTAGTGCGGGGTAAAGGAGGAATTCAGCTTCTCGTGAAGTCCTTCAGCAATTCGTTCGAACACAAATCTTTGCTTGTATGAGAACAAGTGTGCTAGTATCTGTTCAAATCTCATTTCTTTGGATGAATGCATCGAGTGCTGCAGATGCGCCCCCACGCATGCATGGAACCGAGACACAATAGATTCCGCGTGCAAATATCTTCACGGAGCACGATTTCTGAGTCACACCAAGTCTACTGTGTTGTGTGAGAGTGACTGGCATATTTATCACATATCTAAAAGTCATTGTTTTATTCTCCACTAGTTGGCTTAAAGTTCGGTTGGAACGTACCGCATCTCTCGTGTTCGCTTCGATTACCCAAATATTCGGGGCGGATGCTTTCTCTACCTAAGAAGATGGACTCGTGGGAAAGCTGCATATTACTCGCATCCCTGCTCCACGCTCCGTAGTGCTGCAGCTGCCGATGAACCCGATCGAGTCTGATGCATCTTTCATCTTACTGACAGGTCATTTCACTCAAAAAATGTAACCTGGAAGTGAGACGACCATTTCAAGAATAAGATCCACAAATTCTATGAAATTCTCCATTTCATGCCCCCACATCGTCAATTTGAAACAAACAGAACGCAACTTTCATTGTCCACACATCCCCTGTTCATCAAAATCGATACTGCTATCTTTTGGATGATCAATGTCATGACACTGAGATAGTGCCTTTATCGTGCCCTGTTTCCTAGACAGTGATTTTTGGCCATAGCTCTGCTGCCCCACATGCGTCAATTCACAAGATTTGGGTTTAGGTTTAGACAGTGACAGATCATCGCAGTATGAACATGAGTTATGGATGAGACATTACTTTGCTCGCCAAAAAGAACCATCCTGCCACTCATCACCATCTCCAATCCCAAATCATGAAAGAAGAAAAACCATCAAAAATCAATAGCAGTAAGGATCAACCAGCTATAGAAAAATGAGATGGTGAAGAGGAAAGTTCGATGCTTGGGCAAATGGAAAGACACTCTCCATCACTCATTCCATTCAGCAAGTTTACCACAGGCCCAAAACAGTTGTTCATAATGTATCCCCTTACCAAGCCTCAGAGTGTTCCATGAAAGAATCGAGAGGCAGATAAATACTCGTACCCGGGACCTGTACTGGCATTGAGGAACCTGGCCTCGGTGCGTACGTTTTCTGTCTCCATTCTAATTCTCTTTCCGATGGAATATATTTACCAGTTCCCACTCTCAAGTATGCCGGACTAGTTCTCCCATCCATCCGTTTCCCCATTGTCCGCGGAAGGAAGTGTTTGGGATCTATGGAAAGTCCCAAGGATGACGGTAATGTCAAATCCAGATAGACGTGAGGAATGGGGGAGCCGTGGGCGAAATCGAGGATCTGGAGAACATCGCTCTCAAGTTGTGGATTGGTGTATCTTTGTGTGATCTTCAAACTTCGAAGTGATTGAGAATGCGCGAGCAAAGCCTCCATCATTAATTTGGTAAGCGGGACCACATGCCACCGGGATGTGTGGATAGTATCTGTGTCGGAAGTGATTATGACATCTCTCAGAGGATTCAGTTGAGCAATGATCTCAGGTGTCATAACCAGGTGCTGGGAATGAAGAGGCATCAAATTAGGTGCGGACCAAAGTGATTGAGGAGGCTCTTCTGTGAATTGGTAGATAGTGATGCTGTCAAGATGTTTCAGCGACTGCAGGATTGATAGGGCGTCTTCCGGAGAAGTCTTAGAGTACCCTGAGAAGTGCAAATGTCGGAGTTCAGGAAATCTTTTGAGCTGAGACAAGGGTAATAGATCAACGTGGGCCTCATAACTCAGGACATGGGGAAACGCAAATGATATGATCTCCATGATCAGGTTTGCTTGATTCTCGTATCGTAAAGTTGGTGGATTGGACGAATAGTCATCGAGGTCGCTGGCATGAACCCAAATCTTCTGAACATTTGGAAAGAGGTGAAGAGCTTCCCAGAATGAAGCGATCTCTTCCAAAGCAAGTTGAGATTCTGAATCGTTGTGAAGTAGTAGCATAGTACTTTGCACGTGTCTTCTTTCCAAGATGACTTTGAGCTGGGGATGTAAATCGCAAGAGCCTGCTAGATGTCTAGGCAATTTGTCCGCGATTTTGTAGAAGGCACGAGAGAATGTGAACCCCAAACTTTGAACGATTTTTTGCATAGCTAATGGGCTGCTTCTAGCCCAGTCTGAGAACATCTCGACATTCTTGTGATACATTCTGTTCCCGACTATCAAGGAAAGGAATTCGTAACGAACTTGAGAACAGGTAGATGTCAAATTATAGCACCATCCGCAGTAGATCATCAAGCGAGGCTTATGGATCCTGCTTGCGTCTAAAACGTCCTGATATACATGCAGTCGGATCTCAAAGGGCAGGTCCATGAGATATAGCCTGTACTTGGAGAGAGTTGTCATGTTTTTGAACAAAGGATCAGCGTCCTCGAGAGTGCGTAGATAGGATCGGGTATTGAACCTTCTTCAAAGAGTTCTCCGACGGAACTTGAAGGGAGGGACACGCCGTTCCGAAAAAGGCCACATATTGAGGAAATTTGTGTTGGCCGTCAAATATTGGAATCTCACCATTCTCGCGAAGAAAATCAGAGCACGTGTTATTCTGAGTCAGCGCATCAACATTGGATTGGTGGGAGAAAGTTCCTCTCCAGATTCCTCCTATTCTCCCAGAAAGCTCTCTTGCAGTGATATGTCCTGTCGCGATTCGCCCTGCTGCCACCATCAAAGTTGGTGGGAGCAGATCAGACCCAATGTGCTCTCATTCCTATCTCTGTAGCTCTCTTGCCTTCCCCGCAGATGAAGTCCGGGGTCCATTCCTTCAAGAACTCTTGTTCTTGCCAGCGGATAATCGTTGGAGAAGAAGGTTTTGTACTTGGAATTGCAGGTTTCAGCCTTGTCCTGCCTATCACTTATGTCTATTCACTACTCAGAATCTACTCAAAATCACAGAACTTAATCGCAATCTTTCAGAACAAATTAGAAAATTCACTTACCCCACCTTCCCAAAACACCTGAAAGATAACTATATAAAAGATTTCTTTGTCGCCAATAAACAAACAACTTGACCAACCAATAATACCTCCGTCTTACGCCACGGTTGCTAGGGCCAGGATTCTACGTCTCCAGTCATCCACCTTTAGCGGTTGAATTTTATCCGCACACACCGACGACAAACAATGTTATTGTGTTAGGAACTTACTTTACAGCTTCAGGCGGCCAGTTTACAACAATATGGTGATACTTGACAAGAAAGGGAAAGTTAGCAACAAAACCACACTTCATTGCCTTCCAAGTGGAATTGTCAACTCAGACTATCTCAAACCGAAACAGAACTCAAAATAACACTTCACCAAGCCTCCTACTACATACTTCCAACTACCTTTCCACTCTTGATTGCTCACTCAGGTTCTTGGTTGTTCTCATTGAACCAAATTTTCTTCTGGAAGTGGAGACGTTTATACCTGAACCCCGCGTTCTCTGAGCAAAAGAACTGAAACTTTACTCTTTTCACACTCCGATCCTGTACACCCAATCTCTTGTACTTCACCAATTCACTTTCTCTCTACCTCCTGACCTCTTCAACCATTCACTCTCTCTTAGCCTATGTGCCCGGGGAACGATATATAAACCTCCCCATCCGCCCATCATTCAGAACACAACACTTGAAAACGACAAGTACATCAGCCCAAATTTGGAGCTTCTGTGAAACCCCAGCTTAGATCCTCGGGCGCTCTTCATCTCTTTTTCACCATCCCCTCCAAATTCTTTCCAGTATCACTACTTTCCCCGATAATAGAAGCGGAGTTGGAAGATTGACAATACAACATCATGTGACAGCAATAACAGCGATCTCACAATCAACCACTTCAATACATCTCAACAAAGCAACGAGCTCGCAAGCGAAACCCGAATATCACCAAACAAAAGACTACGCGTGCGCACCGAACACATCTTCCAGCGTCTGGAGTACCGCAAATTCCTGCAACTCAATAACAATATGAAATTACTTGCTCGCAAGACGCTGTTTTATGTTCACTAGCGTCAGACTAGCGCGTGACTCGCAGGATTCAGAACTGATTCAAATGATGTCATTCTTCCTCAGGTGAATTATCTGTAGAGAATCTTTGCTTTAGCGCATGATTCATATTTGTGAGTATAGAATCCTATATAAACACCCTTCGAGCCCCTTCGAGCCCAAGAAAACAGTCTGGGAAATCAACCTGCGGCGAAGGCTCTTCCACAAGAAGAAACAAACCATACTTTCCACAAGCAAAAGTCCTTTGGGAGCTCAGTACATCCGACAACTCCCCATCATCTGATAAAAGCGACTAGAAAACAGGATCATTTCTTCATTTTCTCCAAATTTCTACACTGCCGCAATCTTACTTCTTATCCACTTATGATCGACAAGTTAGCAACAAAAAATCTCATGACAACAACAACCCTCCATCTGCTCCCAATGCAGCAACCTCAGTACCGGGACCTCGCCCGAAAGGTCATACGTGAGCCGGGCTTATCTTCGGTCCCCGGCCACATTCATGGCCTTATAGCGTCGTTTTTCCTTTTCATGAACAGAAAATATTTGCGTGCAGAATGCGTTGTTTTATGTTCACTAGCGCCAAATAAGCGAGCATTAGAAAGGGGACTGCTTGTTGTGATCTCCTTAGTGAGTGAATCGTGGGGAAAAAACCATTAAGAAATAAATCACTTCACTTCTGTTGATACTTAGCTTGGGGAAAAGCATCATCATCGTAAGCTCAAAGCCGTTCTTTATTAAAAACATGTACTCTCTCGTTACATTTTCTTTCCCTTTGAATTAAGTGATAGCAAAACCCTCTCTAACAACAATAAACCCGCTCAATCAACGACTCTCAACAACCACCAACCACACACTCGAACCCACCTCAACTAAAAAAACGACAAAACCGACACACAAAATCCTAACACACCCGGCCCCAGCCAGCCCCAACCACCCCGGCTCCCTGAAGTTCTCATCAATCCAAGACCCTTGTCAAAAAAATATCTCCCCACAATACAGCGTTATATGCACACTAGCGCCTTTTCACCATCTTAACCCCGTACCCCAAACTTCTTCTTCCCCAAAACCATTCACCCAAACTAACCCATTCACCAAATCTACAAACTCCCCTTCTCCACCCCCCAAATCCAAGCTAGTGCACATAAAACGACCCCTTCATCCCCTCTTCCTACCTCTTCACCCAACCCATTCACCCATTAACCTTTTTGGAAGAAAAACCCCCAAAAAAAGAAAACCCTTCCCAAGCTCGATTTGTACGCTAGTGTACATAAAACGGCCCCTTCATCCCTTCATCCCTCGTTTCTAAAAACTGAACAAAGAGAAGTGCAAGTGCGATGCATGACTCCGCCGGGCTCCGGCCCCGGCTCCGGATCTGGTTACCTAACAGGTCTCAGTTGTTGTTTTTGTTGTCGTGGGATTGTTTGTTGCTAGTGGCAGATGTAGATATATGTGTCGGTGTAGTGAAAAGTTGGGTTGAAAAAGTAAAAGTAAAAGCAAGATCGAATATTTGTCTTTCTTTATTTACTTTGAGGGAGCGAAACTACTATAAGAAGGAAGGACATTCAGAGATGGAAGAACAAGCGGCAGAGGGAAAACAATAAGAAAAAGAAGTATAATAAGAAAAAGAGGGACAATTAGAGAAAGAAGGACATTTAGAGAAGGAAAGGCAGTCAGAGAAGGAAGGGTAACTGAAGAAGGAAGGGCAACTAGAGAAGGAAGGGTAACCAGATGAAGAAGGACAATTAGAGACCGAAGGACAATAAGAGACCGAAGGACAATAAGAGTAGGAAGGACAATTGAATTAGGAAGGACAATTAGAGAACGAAATACATTGAGAGAGTGAAGGACAATTGGAGAAGGAAGGACAAATAGAGAACGAAAGACACAGAGAAAGAAGGACAATCAGAGAAGGAAGACAATCATCGAAGCAAAATCACCAACACCACGGATACAATGCAAATCGTAAACAGCAATTTAGGTATCTATATCCAAGCAAGCAACCAATTAACTACCAAACCCATCTCTCTCTCAACAAATTACCACCTTTTCCCACCCAACCACTCACCGCTTCCCCCTAACAGGACTCTGCGCAAACCTAATCCCCCTACTCCTGGCCACCGGCGGCGGCACCCTCGGCGTCCCATCATCATCATCACTATCCACCTCCCTCTCCCCACCAAGCGCCGCTTCCCTCCTCCTCCTCTCCGCGGCACTCTCCTCCACCGCGGACTCCGGCTCCTCATCCACCCTAGATCTCGACCTGCCTCTCCCCATCTGCGCCGGCGTAACCTCATCCACGCCCTTCAATGCCTGTTCTCTCCTTCTCCTCTCCGCCTCACTCTCCGGCACATCGTTCGACGGGTGCGCACCCGCATTAGAAATCGTTCTTGCTCTTGCATTACGATTAGCCATTGCGTGATGGCCTTCTTGCTTCGCTTTCTGTCTCCTGATTGCTCGTTCCTCGTCACTATCTTCGCTTTGGTCTTCTTCGGGGTCAACATCCACGCCTCGATCTCGGGCCATTTTAGCACCGACTGCTTTCGCGGTTCCTTTCCTACTTGCTCGTTCGACGTCTGAGGCACCAAATAGGCGGCTGCTACCGGGACTGTCGCGACTGGCGTCTTTCTTTGCGAGATCTTTCATAGCTGGAGAGGCGTCGCTTTCGGCTACGACTTCGCATCTAGCTTTAGGATCTAGACTTTGAATCTCCTTGAGGAAATCTTCTTTCGTGAGACGTCGGCCAGCACCGCCGATTGTGAAGCGGATGTGACGGTCATCTTCTGCGTCGTCGTGTTTGGGTACTTCATCTTTGGTGGCGCCGGTCTTGCTGAAGCCCCAGTTCATACGTGGTCGGGTGGATTGTTCTGGGTCGGTCGGCTTTTCTTTTTTGATGGCGTCATCCTTTTTGGTTAGGCCGGTCCAGGTGCTCATTCGGGTCATGCCTTGACGGACGGCGTTGGTGCTTGGTTCTCCTTGCTCTTTGTTTTGCTTGCCGGTTGGAAGTTCGTAGGTTTTCACCACTTCTCCGTCTTCATCTTCCACGATGATCTGGATTGAGTTAGCTATGCCTCTGGATCAAATGAATCGATACTTACTGTATTCCCAAATTGATACGCCAAAGCAGGACCTCTCTTTCTATGTGCTTGCTTTCCTTTCTCTCCCTGCTCGTTCGCCGGCTCGTCCTTGTGTCTCCACACACCAAGTTTCTTTCTCAAATTCTTGTAAGCCTGCATAGGATGTTCCAGATCATCCTTGATATTCGACTCCATCTTAGCCAATGACTCTCGTCTCTCCTCCATTGTACGGGAATTGATCTTCTCATCTACAACTTCACCATCTGCATTCTCGATAATGACATCGTCACCTTCTTGGTAAACATTCGTCTCCCGTGGATGACGCTCTGCATCAGATTTGTGCTGGTCGCGCTCTTCCTCGTTGGATTGTCTGTGCAGAATTTCATGCATCTCCGGATCATCTTGAATCTCGCCTAGCTCGCTCTCCTTCCTCTCATCATCATCATCTTTCTCCTTCAATGGCGAACCTTCAGGAGATCGTTCACCTGGTGTCAGAGTGTCTGAGGTTTGTTCACTGAGATGTGCACTCTGACTTCGTCGCTGAGGATAAATTGCAGACTGACTGATTGGCCCACCAGGTCCACGTCCATCATCCCACTTCTTCTTTCGTCGACGTGGAATCAATGAGGATGCTCGACTTCCGGGTGCACTATTGTCTTCCTCTTTCTGTCGTCGCAAGAATTCGCGAGGAAGGCCAGTTGGAGGTAGACCACCAGGAGGGAAGGCTTCCATCTTCATTTCCTCACCATCAGTCTCGGAAGCATAGGACTTTGCTTGTGATCTCGATGTTGATGATATACGAGGAAGTCTGTTCAGCCAACCCGGTCCATCGACATCTTGTGTGTAAGACATTGTCAGTTGCAATGTGTTGATGTGCTTGCCGAGAGTGAAGACTGCAATCGATGAGCCGTGAACAAGGATGGAAGAAATGACCAAGAATGTGGTTATCGGCCAGATCACTGTGACAAGCTCGTAATTGGGAGCGTTTACATCTGGATAATCGGCAAGTGGTGTGGCTCCTCCAGTTTCGAGTTCGGCCCTGGCAAGAATTGCGACGAAGATGGCTCCTACACCGATGGGTCCAAAATGGCCTGCAAAGAGAGCCTCTCGCCAAGTTTTGATATCTGGTATTATAGGTTTGAGTGCCACCATTATTGGAATTCGTCGGAAGAGAATGACAAAAATGGCGATCACAACCAGTCTCCATGGAGTCAGGCCAATGGTGTGGTTGTTGTACTGCTCCCAAGGAATAATTGTCCCGAGATACACAAAGTATGCCAAGTTGATGAGCAAATCAATAACGTTGGAAACATGCGATTCCTCGGTCTTTTGCGTAAACCAACCATCGTTGGAGAAACCAACACCGGCAGCAAAGCCCACAAGAAGGTCATCCACACCAAGGATACTACCAGATCCAGCACAGAAGAGAGCCAACACGAAATAGAAGACGAGAAAACTTTCTCTGTCAACAAGATCATGCTTCTCAGCATACTTGATACCATGTCTTCCGATGTACCCAATCATGAAACCATAAAAGGCACCAAACACACATTCGTAGAGGATGGTGATAAGAAACCAATTAAAAGCAACCTTGTCGGCGTCTGGTCTGTAGTCAATGAGGTATAGCGCCAGGTAGATGAACGGGAATGCCATTCCATCGTTGCACCCAGACTCAGCAGAGAGGACATCTCTCAAATGTTTCGGTACCCTTTTGGCAAACTTGCCTTTACCCACCACGGAACTGGCCAAGACAGGATCCGTGGCAGTGACACAAGCAGCACATGTAAGAGCCTGAAGCCAATTGAGAGCAGGTACCATCCACCAAATGAACAGACTCGTTATCAACCATCCGAAAGTCATGACAGGAAGCAACAAGAACACCACACTCCTCCAGTGTTTCTCCATGTAGTATTTGGGAAGTTCGACTCCGACGGCAAAACATTGGACGACAAGGACGATTCGAGAGAATTCGAGGGTGACCTGATCAGTGTTCCCCCATGTTCCAGGGTTGATCAAGTTGGCGGCATGGGGACCGAAGATAATTCCACAGATGGTAGCAACTGTCGCTTCACCAATGTATAGTCTTTCCTTGATGAAAGACGAACACAGCATAAACAATGAAGTGAACCCGCCTAGGATGATATAGACCAGATGCGGTCGATTGATTGCGAGGTGATCCCACGCCATCTTGGCTCAGTCTTGGTATTCTTGGTATTATTCGAGGAGATTTTCGAGGTCGCGTTGGAGCGCTCGTTCGATGATAGAGAGAGGTCTCAACCGTATCGGCAGACGTCTGCAAGGCCTTTTCGTCTTTCAAGGCCCAATTCCCCAGTCTGTAGATTCCCTTAACAGTATTGCGTGGTGCCGAAGCATTCAGACTCTGGTCGCGCCCAGTCGCCGCTCCCAACAATTTAAAGAGTGTTCGTTGGCCTCACAACGTCTCCGGTCGACTGGAAGGTAGTGATCGCAAGGTCCTCGGAAGGATGTAGATATGATAGGGACGGAGGGTCTTCGGATGGACGTGGGTGGTCGGAGGGGATGGGGATGGAAGGTTTAGAAGTCGTGACGAAGGTTCGAAGTTCGGGTACGGACGAGGTTAAAGTTTTTAGTCAGTGGGCTAACCGTTTTCTTATGAGCGATGGAGGAGAACAGAGCCAAGACTTCAGAAGGCGAATAATCGTCGGCCAAGAATATCCAAGCCGTGGCAGAGTGCAGAAATCGGAATCAATTGGAGTTCGCTGTTGGAGTCAAGAGTGCGAGGCCGGGCCGTGGGGAAGAATCGGACAATGACCCTGTTCGTGCTGGAGGTTGACTGTGCATGCAGTTTGCACGAGCTTCAATGGTCGCTTTTTTCTCTTCTCCTCTCAACCACGCCAACACAGTCGAGAATCTCTTCAGATTTCGGCGGAAGATTTTTTTCAGTTTCTATATCGCTACGCCCCTTTTTCGGGATGTTTTCTTTTCGTTAAAAATGCTTATTTTGCAATCGCAGCACGGTATTCTCGAGCACAGTTGGCGATAAAAAGTTGACCGGGAGTCCTTGTCAAATGACGCACTATTGGTTCAATCACGTATTTTCTGCCAAGCCAATATTTTTCGGCTTGTGAGATGCGGTTTTCATCGGGCGGTGTGTTCACCCACGCTGTCTGTCGGTGATCCAGGCTGGAGTTGCCCCCCCCCCCCCCCCATTTTCATCCTTCGCCAAACCCAAACTCGGCAGTTTCTCGCCTGAGGCTCCCTAGCTTGATTAAGTAATGCCTAATCCGTCACTAAGTCCCTATGGTCATTTACCTGGGCTAGTGTGTCAGATCTGGATTCCCAGCTGAAATCAGCGTGCGTTAAAGCATAAGCCGATCGACTGTCAGTAGTGCCTAGCTCTTTTCATACATATATCCGCCTCGACAAGCTTTTTCCCCACAATCTGGTGTTCGTCGTCCTACTTTACTTCTTGTGTCTCTCAATGTCGTGGAAAGAATGCTTTACTCGAGCTCCGGCAAGATTAAGAGAGCCTCGGCTCCAAAGTCTCGGAACGGTTGTCAAACATGCAAGTCAGTTCTCAAACCCTGGTGTTAATGTTTCACGAGCATGTCTAACCTTGTCATAGGGCAAGGCGGGTGAAATGTGATGAACAACATCCCGCTTGCAAAACCTGTCTCAAATCAAATAGAGACTGCACATGGAAGCAAAACAAACCAAAGTCTCAACGGATCCTCATACCTCAGAACGCAGATCAACTGAGTCAAACCCGACCTTCAGAAACACTTCTCTTTATCGATCCAAGAGAGGCATCCTACTTCAAGGCGTACCAAGAAGATGCTGCTCCGGAGCTATCTGGCCTCTTGAGGTCATCTGTTTGGAGTTACACAATCCTCCAAGCATGTTACCAAGAACCGTTTGTACTTCGAGCCGTGGTAGCCGTCGGTGCACTCAACAAAGCGATCAAGACCGAGTACATGGTATCCATCAGCTCACCATCCACGAAGGAGTCAACTCAGGCACTCGCACAACAACATCGAGCATTTGCATTGGCATCGTACGACAGAGCCATCCTAGGCATGAAGCAGATCATGCCAGAACCGAAGAAATGTTCTTCATTACGGAAAGCACTATTGGCATGTCTACTCGTCTACTGCATGGAAATATTCCTCCAATCCCCAAATACCGCTTTCTATCAAACGCAAGCAGGATACTCCCTCCTCCAGGAATGGATATCACAAAAGTCCCAACGGAATCTAGGTATACAATCACCTGATTCTACTGTCATCGAAGACGATATCTTCTACGAATTCGCACGAACAGACCTCCAACACGCCATCCGCTGGGGAGAAAGGGACCTCATCCGGCACTCCACCCGCCGCCAAGAAGGCACCCTCACAATAAAGAACATGCCCACCCGCTTCACCGACCTCGAGGAAGCCCGCGTCTACCAAGAACTCCTCATGCGCCGCACCTTTCACCTAATCGGCGAGACCCTCGCCAGAATAATGCTCGCCAAAACCGAAATCCGGCATCCCTTCACCACCGACACGCCCGGAGAACTCGTCGACCCGTGTAGTATCCCCAAGACCCTCCTCCCAGAGCGCGATCAATACATATCCGACATCCACCGCTGGTACAACGCCTTCACGCCCATCTTCGCCAAACTCCTCCGTTCCCCCGATCCCCTCATATCCTCCTCCGCCGCTCTCCTCCGCCTCCTGCTACTGAACGCGGAAATCCGCCTCGCAGGCACCTTCTTCGTGCTCGAAACAGACTTCGACGCCTACCTCCCGCACTTCGCCGAAATAGTCTCCCTATCCAAGCACGTAGCCGCCAAACAAACACAACTCTACCCCAAAAACCAACCCGCCTTCCTCTTCCCCGACACCATCGACCGACCCCTCTGCGACGTCGCGCTCACCTGCCGCGACCTCCCCACCCGGCACGAAGCCCTCTCCATCCTCCGCTCCACCGCGCACCGGGACCCGACCCGGAACCAAGCCCGGATGGTAACCCGGGCCTCCTTCCTCGTCTCTCTCGAGGAAGCAGATCGGTTGCCCGACGGATCGCTGCCGGAACGTAAACGGTGGCGCTTAATCTGGGTCCTGAACCATTACCGCGAGGAGAAAAAACACCTTACGCTGATAGCGGCGCGCCGGATCGGGTTTCCGGTTGGTGAGAACTATCCCGCGAAGAGGGAATATGCACGACGGACGTTTACCCAGGAGGAGGCGGAGGAGATGGAGTGCGGTGCTTGGGACGAGGGTATGCATTTCGCGGCCTGGCCTCCCAGGGCTACGTTGAGGATGCCGAGACCGCTGCAGTGGAGGGGGATTTTTGATCAGTTGACCGGGAATGAGGGGCGACGATCAAGGCTTGGTTAGGATTGAAATGTACTGTAACCTTAGAATTGCCACAATATCACACCGCATATCTATCTATCCATCTGATGACAGGAATACTTTTCGAATGCATAACCCACTTCGTCCGTTCGTACCTCTCCTCCTCTCACAACCAACATCTAAATCCTTGAACCATCAAACCAATCCCCTCCCCTGGTAAAGTAAAGTACGGACGGATCTCACCCACCTCGCTTCGCTTCGTCCCGCCGATCCACGAACGGACGAATCAAAACCGCACCCTCGTTCCCTGCTCCCACAACCTTCAGCCCTGTCCTGCCCTGTTCTGCGGCTTACGTTCTAGTGCGGCTGACAACGAGATTCCAAAGGACTCTTGCTGACAGCAGGGCAGGGGAGAAAGCTTCTATTTAGTTTAGTGGGGCTAGACTTCATGTGGTGAGTGGATCCGGGGTTGGCTGTGGTGAGATTTAGATGGAGGAGCTAGCGGCGTGCCTGTCAATGGAGGAAGGAGAATCGCATTCGCGTTCTGGATGAGGTTAATGTTTGGTCCTCCTGGATATGATGTGTGGAAGGAGGGAAGGGAGGGAGGGAGGTTTGATGGGAGAGGAGGGGAGTTAGTGGTTTGTCCAATGGGAGGAAGGTTGGTATCCGTACCCGAAGTGGCTCGTTGTGCTGACTGAGTATGGTTATCTATGGTTTTGAGGCTGATTGAAGGATCAGGTGGATATTCATCATTTGAGGATTTGAGATATATCCGCGGACTTGAGTTAAAACCGTACAGGGTTGAGGAGAGGGGGAGTCACTGAAGTGAATTTGAGGGTCTGACTGACTCACAGTCCAAATATCGAGTTGCGGTTTTGAGAATTCGTGACAGAGCGGGATGAAGTGAATTTGAGAATTTCAATCTTCGAATTGTGCTTTGAAAGGATGGTGGGGTATATATAAACCACCTCACCGAAGCAAGAGCAGCTTCATTACTTACATCACCTAGTACTCCATACATCATGCTGCTCGAGCCCCCGTTTGTGTGCTTTGTGTCACGGCCGGGACTCTTGAGACGCCCGGGACTATCTTCTCGAGTTGGGCCATTTCGGGGTTTTGTTATGATATTGAAATTCTTTCGTCGATTTTGATTATTTTGCTGTTAACAGATACATTGTTGTCATTCTTTTCAGCCATGAGTTTTCGGTTTGGAAATAAATGTAGCGCGAGTAAATCATGTTGTACTATCTGTCTTTGTATGAAGGTCAGCTGCGATGAATGAGCTGTGTAGCTTATCAAACACCGAAAGTAGAAAGCAAGACCACGATCTCTGAATGCTATGTCCTCCAAATCAGGGAGAAAAAAGATGAGAAGGTGCTTCGAGATGAGAGGAAACATAAGTTGATTTTGCCCTGCTTTCTCCTCACTTTAGTAGTTCATGTTTGGTTAGTACTTGGCTTATTTACATTGTCGAGCAAACCCTGGGAGAAAATTATCTTATATTGCAATGTGTACTTAGGATAGACTTAACTAGCTTATATTGTCCTACAATTACCACTATAATCTCAGACCACAAATAAGACTACTAATTCCTATTTCGGTTTTTAGGCCTGAGCAATCGCGGCTCTAACCTGAGCCGCAACGTCAAAATTTTAAGCTCTCACATGACGAAGTTCCCCGCCGAGAATTCGAGAATTAAACTTTTTCGTCGTCCCACGGCTTTTCTTGTTGGATACAGTCGATGTATAAGATTTCGCTACTGAGAAGGCTAGATTCTCCTGAAATGAAAGGTTTCGGCGTGCCTTTGAAGTGCTTTCAGTTACCGAACCCCTGTCGATCGTCAAGTGGGGAGATAAAGGCACGGACATGCAATTGGTGGAACTCGCGCGGGCCACTGCAGTATACTTATGGGACTGTGACCCTGCTCCACAGTCTTAACGTTACAGATAATGGGCACGAAGCTGTACTGCATCAGGAAGCTCGACAATGGAATGTTCCCCGCCCGATAAGACAACTTCATATCTCCACGCTCTAGCCTGCCTCTTGCGGTATGTAGCAGGATATACGAAGTACTACGATTCTGAAAATGGGATGCGCATGTTAAGTATCGGTTCTCCTCTCTATTCCCAGTTCTTCTCGTTCAAACTCTTCCGCTGAGGATATTTCTTTTGGTTGTCTACGTGCTAAGAGTGCCAATGAAAACCTCAATTATCTCCGCTGTTTCCTTCCTGGCGGCAGTTGCTTCCGCTATGCCGCCAAAGCCAATTCCCCCACCACTGGAAATCCCAGCTTCGTTTGCGGCATTGGCAACAAATGGTAACTCCACTTTCCAACAGCTCCTTAACCATAGCGATCCTTCCAAGGGAACCTTCTCCCAAAGATACTGGTATAGCTTTGAGTACTGGAAAGGGCCAGGATCACCTGTGAGTTCTCTGTTGGTAAACCTGCAAAAGGCCAACTGACCTAAATACGAAGGTTGTTTTGTTCACGCCTGGTGAAGAGGATGCTAGTGGTTACACTGGATATATGGATAACATAACCATCACTGGCCATTTCGGGCAAGCTATTGATGGCGCAGTCATCGTACTCGAGCGTGTGCACCTCGGCTGATTGTGGAAGGGGTCAGATCGCTAACCGAGACACAGACCGATACTGGGGCGATTCGAGCCCGTATTCTTACTTAGACACCGAGAATCTGCAGTTGTTGAACCTGGATCAGGCAATCCATGACTTGGTGTATTTTGCACAAACGGTTGATTTGCCCTTCGACACAAACCAGTACGTTAGATTTCCGCCTTGAAAATATCTTCGGCTCGTAAGACATCCACAAAAAGTCCATACTAATTTGTCTATAGTAGCAGCAATGCGCAAAATGCAGTAGGTAATTTAGGTTCCTAAATAGGACCGTGTATTAATCCTTCACAAGCCATGGGTTTTGAGTGGAGGGTCCTATTCGGGTGCGCTTACAGCTTACACCGAACACGTTTCACCAGGCACCTTCTGGGCGTACCATGCCTCCAGTGCACCCGTCGAAGCTATCAAGGACTACGTGAGTTTTGATTCAGGGAAAACATGCTTCTCCTGACATATTTCAAGTGGCAATACTTTTACCCAGTCCAGCAAGGCATGCCGCAAAATTGCAGCAGCGATGTTACCCTCGTTATCGATTACATAGACGAAATTTTGACCACCGGTACAGACGATGAGATATATGCCCTCAAGAAATCTTTCGGTCTAGAAGGGCTTGAGCACAACGATGACTTCGCTTCTGCTCTAGAAAATGGTCCTTGGCAATGGCAATCAATCGCTCTCTATTCAGGATACAGCGAATTTTTCGAGTTTTGTGATGCTGTCGAAACATTCGCGCTGCAAGGATCGAACACAACTGCCCCAGCAACTGGCGTCGGTCTTGAGAAAGCTTTGGCTGGCTATGCTAATTGGGTCAACACTAGCCTTATACCTGGATGTAAGTCTTCGATGATTTTTATTTCATTCGCAGCACCTAACATTATTTCGTCTAGTCTGTCAGTATTACGGCTATACTGACGAGCGAGATCTCTCTTGCTTCGATACCTATAATGCTTCCATGTCTTTCTATACTGACTATACGGTTGGGAATGTATGTTCAAATCTCCATACTAAGTTGCTAGTCTTTTCTAAGGGAGCTCCGGAACTAGGAGACAAGCTCGCAAGACGTGTCGCAAAAGCTAGGCAGACGCGATCCTGAAACGGCTCCCCAGCTCCAGAGCTCCCTCTCAAAAATCAGCAGCAACACATACTAATTTGATGCCAGCCATGGAACAGACAGTGGAATTGGTTTTTGTGTAATCAGCCATTGGATTTCTGGCAAGAGTACGTTTGATATCTAGGTTGCATAAGAAAAGCTGCCCAATACTGATGAACATTAGCGGTGCTCCAAGGGGCACACCTACCATCGTTTCGCGCCTTGTAACAGCTGAATATTGGCAAAGACAATGTGCCCTCCAATTCCCGGAGGTCAACGGCTACACATACGGTAGCACTAACCCGAACGTCAACGTACACTCGGTCAACAAGTACACTGAAGGCTGGCGACTAGAGGATACTACCAGATTGACATGGACGAATGGGTAAGTTTCTTGCATCATACTAAGCATTGAAGCCTGGGTTAATGTTCTAGTGAATTTGACCCTTGGAGAACCGGCAGCATGTCATCCCAATTCAGGCCAGGTGGCCCGCTCAACTCCACTGCGCAACACCCACTTCATCTCATTCCTGGAGGAATCCATTGCTATGACTTGATCATGGCGAGTGGGCTTGCAAGTCCGGCAGTGCAGGAGATAATCGACGCCGAAACGGCACAAATTGTAGAGTGGGTTGCGGAGTACTATACCCAATGATAGTTGACGCTTGCGGGCCCTCAAACGCTGACAGCTACTTGGTATTCATTATAGAAGACAGTCTATATGTGTGCCTTTGATTCTGGCCCTGCGGTGTCAAAGCCATTCCTTTTATGCTAGACAATTGCCTTTCTTCCAGATGGATGCAGAGAAAAAAAGTACGGAAGAGGGGTTGTTATTGTCATTCCTGTTCTCGTTGTCAACTTCCTTCTCGTCTTTAACTATTCAACATTAGAATCAAATCGTGAACAGGGCCGTCTCTTCCACGCATGACTACTTCGATGGAGATTGACGCCGAGGTGGCAGTCCCAAGACATAGCTCCGGGCACAACGACACAAACGTTGACTGGCTTCTTCTGTCCTGGTGGGGAAAGTTATTTATATAGACGTCTAGGAACGAGGGGGACGGAGCCTAAATCACCTTTCCAGGATCTTGAAAACTTTAAAGGTCATTTTTAGTGAATGATTTTCTTGCTTTACGATGAGTTACGCCTCAGTTTTCTCTTTTCAAAGCTAGCTTCTAAAAATTATATATACCAGCGGCCGCACCCTCTAACACTCTTTGGATATCGATATCTGATCCTCCGGCCGAGTATAAGAAGGGACCAGGTGCGGCCAGGAGCCAAGGAAGGAGACGGACTTCAAGAGTTTAGATGTCGTGTTGTTGACTTGTTTGTTGTTATTGTCAATCAAATCTTTACTTCTGTTCTTCCTTTCAACATGATAAGAGCCCAAAACTTAACAACAACTATCACAAAACAGCACAAAGAAAAGACGTAATTAAAATTTTTAGTAGATAAGTAAAAATAGGTAGACAATTGGTCTTCTCCCCTCTCTGGCCGCTCCAGGCCCCTCAGTGGCTTCCTTGCACCTTGTTGGTGTCCAAAAAGCGTTAGAGGGTGCGGCCGCTGATATATATAGTTTTTCTTTTGGGGATGTTAACATAGGGTCAGAAGACTTAAGTATGAGGTGAATTTGAAACTCGGGTCCAAATGATCTTGTCGAATTTTGGAACAGAGTGACTCAAGCACAAGCAAGGCTGAGCTGTCCATAGTATTTAAAAGCTTCTTCCCTTCTCCACAAATCCTTTTTGTTTGCAGTAGGATTTGGTCTTATGAAGAGATCGTTGGTATGTGATCGTGAAAGTGCTGTGGACTGTGTGCATACTATCGAGAATGCCAGGAACACATCAAAATTCACGATTAGTAAAGGTGATTTAACTGATATGCGTGTTTTGTAGGATTTTTGAAACTATTGTTCTCATTCCTTATTCTGTTGTTAACATGAAACGAGAAAATTTCATTGTCATGCTTTTATAGGCCGTCATCCATCCAGGCAACTGTGAACTCTAACCTTCGTGCATGTCTAGCTTTCACCAAATTCCAATCTGTATCCATAGCAAGGAACTCATAAGCTGATCATCATTGGTCCCGGCATGAGAAGTACTCTTTCTTCGCAATCCACTCGAGCATAGGGCTGAGATCCTTGACTGCTCGAAGGTTTTTCTTTGATCTTTTCCACGCTCCGCGGCCGTGAACGTCTGTACCCCGCTGTTCACGAGAATTTTCAGTTCGCCTCGTTGAGTATTTGATTCACTGAATGAAAATTCACTTAACATAGAAACAAGGATAAAAAATGATGTTTTTCTAGAGTCTGTAATACAATATGAGCTCGAAATTTAATTTTGCAGAATAGTGAAGAAATTGTGCTATTCTTATATTGTTTGTTACTTATGTGAACCTAGGAGTTAACCTACTTATATTATTTAACAAACTTTAGAACAATCTCATCTCATAATTTGTCATTCCTAGACATCTCAAACTAATTATTGTTAATCTTTCTTCTGTTGTTAACCAAAAACGAGATATTCTGAATTAGCTACCTCTTGAGATGCGCTATTGTTTATGACCCATGCTTGCTCTGAATCAAACTTTTCTGCAAGGTTGACCGGGACACCGTAATCGATTCAAGCACCAAATCTTCGTTGATAAGCTCGCGCACTTTGGAATTCCCACGTTCCGCGGCCGTGAACGTTTGTGTTTGTATACCCTAGCCCTCGGATTACAGAACACAAAATCAGAGCAAGGTCTGTCCAGTCGAATACTAGATTCACCGCACAATAATTCACTCGCAGTTCCTTAGGCATCCTGCTTCCAACTTTTGTGTATGTCTGTTCTGTATCGGACGGGAAGCAGTGAATGAGAATTGGTGAATAAGAGAAAGAGTCCTCAGAAGTTGTGTTTTGCGCGAAAAGCTAGAGTTTGAGGATCTAAATAAGTAGTGGATAGAAGCCAAAGGCAGAAATGGGCGGACGAAACGTATATATAAGCAGAACCGGGGCGGAAAAACTTCATTACAATCAATGTTGCGGAGTATGCAACATACATGGCTGGAGGGTAATGGAATATGTTGCGGCCGGAGTGACTAGAGGACAATCTTTCATGTTGCGCTTTTTGAGGCGATAAACGTTAGAAAAAGAATGCATGGGTGGTTTTATTGTGATGATATCTTTAACTCGTATCCCCTTCAGGTGTAATGATCACCTAGAAGGATCACGAGGGCAGGGAAGCAGGCAGGTTGAATCAGTGTTGATTGACTAAAGAGCTAAGAAGACTAGGAGCTTGAGGATATACTCGAGCTTGAATGGAGCTAATCCCCATTCAGTCTAGTGTCACGCGAGATCTCGTGACATCAGACTCACCTAATATGGACCGTATTTCCAACATGATATGTATTATTGTCAATCTTTATTCTGTTGCTAATAAAAGGAGAGTTAGTCATATTAAAATGTGTTGCCATCATGCAAGCTTCAACTTTCAATTGGCTTGTGCAACGTTAGACTAGACATGATATACAATCTTTAGTATATAGCAAGAGAGCCCTAAGTGCAACACACGCCAAGAGCATAATGGTTCTCAGATTTCGCGGACGTGAATGTCTATGTTTATATATCCACCTCAATACAGAAGCATGTTCTGTAAGAGGACGAAAATTAGTGAATAACAGAAGAAGTCTGCGAAAATCTAGAGTGTGGGGAGTATCTAAATAGTGAATACGGAGCAATCAGAGGGAAAACGAGCGGACGAAAGGTATTCACTGAGCAGGCGTTAAGAAGTGGGCGGACGAAAAATATATAGTATGCTAAACCAGCACTAAAAATATTTCATTACGTGCAACGATGCGGTCTATGCAACACGGGTTGGGGGAGTATTTTGAGGAGAGATTCGGATTGGCTCAGGGACGACTCCTTTTTGCCATATTTTTATATAGCAACTCAACATCCTTCCGATGTACGTGCCTTTGTTGTCAATACATGTACTGTCGTCAATCATTATTCTGTTACCGACTTACAACATAAAGTAGCTATCTTGTGATCTTAGTATATTGCCGTCGTGCATGCTTCAAATAACTCCCTGCGCAGGGTTGACTGGGACACAACATTCCACCCAAGCAAGAGAGAGAGCCACGCACGTGATCCGTGTTCGGGTTTAAATCAAAGAATTTTCTTATGTTTGCACGTTCCGCGGCCGTGAATATCTGCGTTTATATAGTTCAGACTCGTTGCAAATAAAGGTAGAAAATTCGACTCTACAAAGTGAATACCATTCAGCCGGAGCTGCAAGTTCACTTGCCACTGATTCCCGCCCACCCTGCTGAAGTTTCAAGCAGCTTTTCTTTCTCTCAAACTATATAATACCAAAGCTTTGTAACAGCAAACTAGGTTCAACATTGAACATTGAGAGAGACTTTACGCGCAGGAAGTGGTGCTGAATAAGGGACAAGTTCGTCGTCCGCAAGATACCAAATTTTCCCCCAAATTTAGTTGAGCTTGAGCTTCATTTCAGTTCTTCAAGTCCTAGGCGCAGGCGAAGATGTTGTTGTCAAGCTCTGATTTGCTGTCAAGCATTATGCCTTTCATAGCCTACACAAGCATTGAGTTTGATATGCCGTACTTACTCTTTGAAGAACAGCTAACTGTGACGAAGTGGACGAGATTTTTATCTGATACACAGAAGTCCTACGGCCACCGGTTCCTGAAATTGTTTCTCTGGTTCTTAATCATTATGACAAGTGGGAGGGTGTTTGTATACCCCTGGCAAGACCGGAAGCTTGCGTTCCGCAGAGATCAATCTTGTGAAGAAGTGAATATGATTCAATCGAAGCTTCAAGGTTGCTCGCTTGCTGCCTCTGTTCTTTTCACACTCTCCCACAAGGTAAAGAGATCTATAAATCAAACAGCGCTATTATTTTCAAGTGTTAAATTGCTGTCAAAGTCTAGTAATTACTTTCTTACACCTATCCTTGACGGAGCAGATGAGTTCTAGCACGAATACAGAAGTTATGTACAGTTCCAGAGAGATATCTTACGTCTCGGTCGGTATGGCCGCGAGAAACATGTTTATATACCCCAAGCGCAGGTCCCAGCCGGCTAGTGTGGGAGAGAGTCAAGTCTTGTGAAGAAGTGAATGATTCAATCGAACGATTTCGAACTCACTAGCTTCTTCATTTTCACGGTTTGCCACAATATAGAGGCATAAATATCTCGTCACCCTCGCCCCCGTCGTCCGTCGCACCACACTACAGAGGAATTAGCTGCTTGGCGGGCAGATACCCTGGGCTCTGGATCAGGGAAGAAATCGTCTTCCCGGTATTGATGAGATAATCATCGCTGAATTTTGCATGTGAGGATATTTCTTGGAGATTATGTTGAGCTTGAGTAGTCTAAGTCCGAAGATAGGAGCTGCTATTGTTGTCAAGCATTGATTTGCTGTCAAATTTTGTGATTTCATTTTCTAAACTCTCTCAGAGAAATCGATTTTCATTATACCACTATCCCAAGATAAAGGAACGTCGACATACGGGCAAGGCAAGAAGACAAGCACGCCATTTGACTGATTTCGTACTAGCTGTGACCATGTGAATGAGTATCTCTCCAGCAAGACAGAAGCGTCGCTCCTTGCCTTTGCCTTTGGGGTCGGTTTTTGGTTTGTAGAAGGTGTGGGAAGCAGGATTTTATATACCCCAAGTCAAGATCTTAGCTTGTTGTCCATTGAGTGGAATTTGAATCTTGCGACAAAGTGAATACGATTTATTTTCGAATCTTCAAAATCCCTTATTCACGTATTTACTGCCTCCTACCACCTTCACTAGCTCTACCGCGTGCACGAGATATAAATACTTCTCGAGAGTAAGGGTAGAGTGCAGAACAATTGAAAGCGACACCGAGGATCACTACAGCAGGATCAGAAATGCTGTGGTTCTTGGTGTTGCCGATTCTTCTTGGAGACTATGTTGAGCTTGAGTCCAACTCCAAAAATAGCATTAAGTGATAAATTAACTTTGTTGCCAATCTTTGTATTGCTGTCAAAGTTCTCCAGTGTCACTCTTGTATCCCCTCACAGCTGGACTGAATTTCGTGAGATCAGTTTGCGCGGAATTTAACCCACCGTGACCTCCAATATTAAACGACTGAGATGGCGTTAGAACATTAGGTTTTAGGCTGTCCAAGCCTGGGAATGGATATTTTCTCGTTTATATGCAATTCTGTTCGTGGCGCTTCGCAAGGGTTGGACAAGTGAATGCGAGGCAACGATTGCGGTTCTGAACTCTTGCACTGAGGGTAACAAGCAGAGCAACGCCAGATTCATATGCTATGCTACATCTATATGCCCACCACTACCATTTTGAACAGCTACCTATGCTCCAGACCATGCAATGCAGCCATAAAAAGCAAAGTCCAATGTCCTATGTATGCATAATCATCATAAAACATTTCATTGACCTCCAGCAACCATTTCACTGGTCATCCAGCAACTCATCCTTGTCGCTCTCCATCTTTGATATATCAAGACTACCCTTGCTTGATCTTCTGCTAGCGCTTGCACTCATCTCCATCAATGCTGCATCCATCCAGCTCTGCATCCCGGTCTTCATGACGAGATGGGGGTTCAGCAATGAGCCAAAATACTTCTCTCTTCTTGTGGTGCTACGAGCGCCTCCTTCGAGAGCAGACATAGCGGCTCGTGTTGTTCTCATCCTCTTTCCCTTCCTGCCACCACCCTCACTTAGCAGATTACTGAGTTTTGCCCGCTCTGCCTGCAAACGGGCATCAAAATAGACAATGGAGCGGACATACGGAGCCATGTCTTGGGCTATAATATTCATTGTTCGATCGAAGACCGATGCTTCCAGCTGCCCAGGACCGTAGAGCGTAGTCTTTTCTGGCTCGGAGATCGGATCAAATGTGGCACTGAAGTCGCGGCGATGCAAGGACGGGTCGGACGTGGAGGCTTGTCTCCGGATGAGTTGTATAATTTGTGCTTCATCTGGGCGACTAAGCTCCACTGGAACTTCAAGAGCCATCTTGACATGCTGCTCTAGATACAAGTAATTTCTGCTCCGGGACTTCATCCAGAGAGAGATATCCTTGCTCAGCGTAGTGTAGTTGATGATAGCCGGTGCATCAAGAAGTTTCGAGGCTAGAGTGTAGTCCTCACGTGCTTTGGTCGTAATCTCAGGAACTGAAGGATCGATCACAAGCTGAACCAGTTAGACGCAAGTTTCAGAACAGAACGATTTCTTACCTGATTTTCCGAAGCAAAGAGCCCTCCGGAACATAAATCTGAACTACTCAATGCTTCCAAAAATTCATCGTATGCGCGCAGTGAAGCTCGGCTTTGGACTATGTTCGAGGACTGTTCTTGCATATTCTTCGCCCAAGAGCCCATGTTGAGACTCTCTTGCCAATTCCCAACATCTAAATCCCAACCATCGCAAGCCTCGTGAAGGGCCTCCTCCTCCCTGTCTAGATGATACATCTGGCTTTCAAGGACATCTTGGGAAAGCCATCCCATGCCGACCTGGTAGGTCTTTTCGCTGACCACTCGAATCATGTTGCCGTCCTCGTCGATGTCAGTTCCTTTCGGCCAGCGAGATATGTACCAATTCAGTCCGTTCTTTTGATCGCCAATAGCGAATTGACACCAAAAGTCCAAGTCTGTCAAAGAAGCACGAAGATCCATATTTCGACTCTCATATAGAGTTTGCACCGATTCTCGTTCAAGAACATGCCCTTCGCATGCAGCTACTAGCAGCATGTAATCGACAGCAAGATCTACTGGCGGAGGATTCATGCGAATGATAGCATGAAGGGGTAAAGTTTCCATCGGAAGGGCGGATTCATCGTTGCACGTCAAGACGATTGGTCGCTTTGAAGTTGTTATCAGCTCAAGAATGGTAGGCCAGAATTGGGTGTCCTCCTTGTACAGAATATCTGCTTCCTCGATCAGGATCAAAGACTGCCTCTGTGTTTTCGCAGCTGCTTTCGGCTTTGCTCCATCTAACTTGGTTTGCACTTCCTGCGTCGAAGTCTTTGGAGCTGGAGCTGTAGAGTGTGCCTTCGTCTCCGGTTTGAGGCTGGGTTGGGTCTTGAAGAAGCAATTCATCGTTCCTTGACGTCCACTTTTCAGGTCATTAGCCAAAGCTTCATCGACTCTCCTCCGATCCTCGTCTGCTGCTCCGTCCACTTGTGCAAGGCCAGGCAAACGTTGGACTTGGTGGTTACGGGCCATGTCACCAACTTTGTCCAAGATGTCCTTTCCTGTCCGCTTGCTACCGGGGTTCAACTCGAAGACTTCGAAGCCAAGCTCTTTAGCCACAGCATACACGGCTGCAGTCTTACCACATCCCTGGGGACCGCTAATGACTATCGCATTCGTCGACCTTCCAGAGTCTCTGTTCAAGTCTCCGGTACGCACGATGGTTCTCCTCTGTGGACCTTGTCCGGACGTCAAGATGACATCTTCCTGTTCCGAAATCTCATCCATATCATCAGCCTCCTCGCCTGAAGACACAACAAATCCATCTAATTTCTTGGACTTCCGCTTTCTTTTGGTTCCTGATTCTAGCTTCAGAGCGGGCCGTCTTGATGAAGATGCACCATTTCCTAGCCCCGCTTCTACAGCTTTGACTGTTAATGATTGAAGCCAATCCTTCAAAATTGAGACGTCGCGCCCCGATTGCAATACATCACAGGCAAGTTTTGGCGAGTATTTGTTAGTCCACGGCTGAGTTTCGCAATGGCCTTTATCGAATGCAGATAATGAAGTCGACACCAATTCATAAGTCTTCAGCAGCGCAGGATGGATGCGAGGCCGAGTATCGTTATTCAGCTGAATCTCGTCCTCACTCGAGCTTTGCGCGACAGCTCTTGGAGCTGGAAATCTTGTGCGTAGCTGCTTTCGGATTCTCTTCTGAACCGCGAAGCCAGGTTCGAGGTGCTTAACAGGAAGTCTAAGACAATCCGGCACGGGAGGGAACTCGGTCGGATCGATGTCACGAAGGCTCTGGAGCACATTGCTGATAGTCAAATCCGTTGCCAGATTTGCAAGGATGTCCTCTCCCTCCAGAATGCGTATAGCTTGGTACTTCGACTTCTTGCCTGTTGAAATAAGACTTGGTGTGCTGGAAAGCAACTCTTTAGAAGCTGTTGAGTCAGGATCCAGACCTCGGACATGAACCATGCCCTTACCTGGCCACGCTGGCTCGACTGCCCCAGGAAACTTCGTTATCTTGGAGGATGACCCGAGTCCTGAGAACGGTGTTGGGGCTTTAGCAAGAGAAAGTGGCGTGCTGCATGATGAAGGCCGTGTGCGGGGTAGAGGGACGCATTCCTTTGGTTGTGTGAGATCAACAACGGTGGCATTGTGCTTGTCTGGCTTTTGCGGGCTCTCAGGCTTAGTCTGAACCTTCCCCGAGAAAAAGGGATGCGGTTTGACTGGCTTAGGAGGAGTGCGCTCTGGCAATTTTATAGGAATCTCTGTCTTGGCAGGCAAAATTGGTTTGGTGCCGTTCGATATCAAATCAATTTTCTGCCCGATCGTCGACGGAAGAAGCTGTCCTGGGCCATAGCGAATCGTGACGATCCTTGACTTTGGTTTTTTCCCTCGGCCCCCTGCAGTCTTCTTCGTCTCGGCACTTGGTGCTTGTGGCTTTTTGGCAGGTGGCGAGCCAATGGTACCGGTCTTGGGGTTGAATCGTAAAACTTTCCGTGGTTTGGAATCATCTGTCTTTGACGTCGTTGAGCTCTCCTCCAGTACATGCAAGTCTTCCTTTGGCAGTACTTGATTCGGCTCCGCCAGAGCATCTGCAGCTTGTATCGCCGTGTCCAGATAAGACCCCGCTCCGAGTGAACCAGTTGTATTCAGCCCTGATTCTACCGAAACAGCACCAAATGACTTTGTACTATTGGCCGGTTGTACAACAGCTTCCGCATTTTTCGCATTCCCTTTCTTTTGCTCGATCGGTGTGGTCTTGCGGCGCTTCCTTCTGCCATTATTCGGATCCACATCAAGCAGTTCCCCATGTTCTGAAGCTTTACGATTTCCTACCGCAGAAAAGCTGGAACTGGGCTCTGGCACTGGGTCCGTGGTCTTGGGGGTGTTTGGTTTCCTTGATCTGCGTGCCACTCCATCTTTTGCTACGGCTGTGGGCATAGATTGTGGGTCATCTTGGGACGTTTGTTCTTTGGGTGGCTGCGTAACTAGAATGACTGTTAAGCAGACTGAACGCAGAGAGCTGGGCAAAAATTGATGAACACATACCTCTGCCTTTCTGAAAGAGAGGATAGACAGAAATCCCCTCTTTGTTCAGATCTCCCATGCTTTTCTCGACGAGCACTGACATTGGGGTTTGTAGGTGCAATAGCAGAACGCGAACGTCGCGCGTTCTACGGTGTCAATATCGTCGTAATCATGCCGCGGAAAGCTGTAGAAATGTGGCAGAGATTGAATGTAATCATGAAAATTCAAGTGATTCTAGCACTTGAACATTTGCAGAACCATTGATTGAGTTTGGGAAGATTTGGCTGCACTTTTGTCGCGAAATCAATCCATGACCGCGTTTGAAAGCCGCGCAGGGCGGAGCCGGAAATATATTAGACCGTAGTTGTTACTAATAACACCCCAAAAGACTGCAGTCCGTTAACGACATACCTATTCAATGCCGCGATCCCCATCCAGGACTAGTCTATCCTTTAGCTTTCAAGACCCCTGTCATTATTTCAAGATCCAAAATAATTTTCGATGGTTTGCACAAAGTTGTTGTGGAAAGCTTGCGATAGCCGCAACACTCTAAAATCAGTCGCAAAATGTCGTCGCGCTTCTCGATCCAGAGACCGCATGTCATTGCATCCTTACCTCAGCCCATTGACAGCACGAATGGGTGTAATGTGGTCGGTGAGGTGATAAGTGGCGGGGTTGGCACAAAGAAGCGGAAACGATCTGAATTGGCTGTAGGGACTGATGGAGAAGGTTTGAGTCTTTACGATGCAAGGAATCTATCCCGTGTGAAAGGACATCATCTGACGTTTCTAGATTTCCTCAAGCAAGTTAATTACGTCCTACGCGCTTCCTCCACAGTCGTCCTTCACTTGCCCTCCAGTATCCGTCAGATCAAAGATTTCCAAGAACACTATCGAGCGCAGAACCTATGTCTCAACGAGAACATCAAATGCCGAACTTACATTATTTCGAGAAACGATTTCAGGCTTGTCTACCGAATCCTCCACGATAAATCATTCTTTGACAAGCTCCTCGAGTCAAGTTGTGTTCTTGGGAACAATCGGCGCTTCAAAGGCGCTAGAAGCTACAGCCGCCACAGTCGATGTCCTTTCTGTGCACGAAGATGGAGAGATACGTTGCTTTGATGGTGATTCCTTGCAAGAGAGATGGGTCTCGCCCTCCACAGCTCTGTTCCGAGAAGCTCCACTTCACCCGAAAGAGACGAAGGTCGAGTTTGCCCAGCTTACCAACGCACATACTGCCAGCCAAGGCATTCTCAAAGGGCGACAAGATGTCTTCGCTTTATATCCTCAAGAGATCAGTGTGAGCGGTTTCAACCCAGCAATCTTGATTGTTATAACCAAATCTACCCAAGAAGCGGCGGCAATTCGAACTTTACATGTTCTCAGCTTGCCGAGACGAGCTGCTATCCATACCAACGGCCTTCAACAGTCGGTTGACTCGTTGCTTGCTGCCGAAATACCCTCTGCACCAGGAACGGAAAATATTGGTGGACCGCCAACATTCAGTCTCCAGGCTGCTTCTGGAGTACTGCAACAACTACGAAACGAGACCTTAACCACATTTGATCTCAGCGATACCTTGCCAAAGGAGCAGAACAGACTCAAGATTGCAGGAGGGCAGTCATTTCTACGGCTATCAAGTACCTCTGTTCTGGTCTCATCTCCACACTCCATGACTGTTTACAACCCAAAGTACCAATCTACTTTGGCAACGGTCGAGCTGGATGCAGGAGGTTCTTCTGAAAGTCGGAAGCGAAAACGAGAGAGCATGGATCAGAGCAGTACAGTTCAAAGGGATCAATGCAAGCTCGTTGGCTATTTCCCTAGACTTGCCGTGGCAATTGCGATACTGGGCAACAAACTAGTTGGACTCCAAGTTGAGGGTCACCAAGACCGCCAGGGAAGGCTTCAAACTGCCGGTCTTTTGATCGACTCCATCGGTCGCTCTTTTAATGGCCATATGCGGCCTACGGACAATCCTGGCGTCACCAAGATAAATAATATAACAACGCTGGGTCATTTCCTACCAACTGGTTATGATATACCATGGGCCGACCAGACAAGCGAGCTCGAAACCTTATTTCGAAAAGGCGAGTGTGATGAAGCGTTGTTCGATAGTAAGATAGCATCTCATCTTGGTATGGACGGCACAGGAGAACCCGAATTGGGTCAGACCAATGGATCGAGCTCACCAACCGAGGAAACACATAATCCCGTACCCAACACCAACATATCCACCAAAGAACGCTTATCCCCTTCGGATATTGACAGACGATGGGTTGTATACGCTCTAAGTAAGATGTTTAAGTTTGTAGAGGACGACGCTGGTGAAAGTAGGCTTTCATTATCCTTCTATCCACCAGACACTTTCATGTGGCTTCTTACCAATGGTTTCATGACGATTGCAAACATAGAAGCTGGTTTGAGAATGAGCAATTCTGCCTTCAAGTCACTCCCTGATGGCTGTCTCGTGGACATGATTGTGGACACGGATCGAGACATGGATCTCTTGCTAGTTCTTGTCGCGAAAAACTATCTAGGAGCTGCAGAACTACTTCACGTCATCCGCCACTTGATGGAAAGTCTCGGACTACTTGGAGAAAATCCCAATACGAAACAAGGGCTCCTTGAAAACGGGGAAGACTTTGAAATCCCCAATGGAGATGTAGAAAAGCAATTCGAGCTGCTCGAAGCTGAGATGGAGAATGATCTGGAGCTTGCAGAGTATCGATTAGGAGCTGGGTCTGGTACTCGAGGCCATGCCTTGAGTCAAGCACTTTCGAAGTTATATGCGCGCCCAAGCACAGATATCGTCCGGGCCCTTCAAACGACATTTTCTAGTCAGGAAATCGTATGTCTGATTTATCTGTTACGATTCGAGCTTGCACGCGGAGCTTGGACCACAAAATACACCGAGACGACCGAGTTCGATGCCGCAGACGAGGAGACAGCGCAGCAAGACAATGCAATCATTCTCCTCTCAGGCCTACTGAACAACTGTGTGGATGCCATTGGTGCTGGTGGGTGGTTGTCTGGAGAGGCGAGATTAGTGGATGGGGACCCTTTTGAGGCCGAAGAATTGATATCGAGTTTGAAGTTAGAAATCAGTGCTGCACTCGAGGGCATCGAGGAGGCTGTCTACCTCAAAGGACTAACGTCAGAGATGATCAGATATGGTGATGCTGTCGAGGCAGCTCTTCCAAACTCCATCCAACCAACTCACGTACCTGTCATACTTCCCCCGACGAGTGAGAACACCAATTTCTTGCCAGTGGGACTCAAGGTTGAGAAGCCGATCGCTCTTAGTAAGGTGGGAGTCGGAGGAGCAGTGCACCAACGTACCAAGAGAGATATCGGTTATCTCAAGAGTCAGAAAGTGGGGAAGTATTCTCGGGAGAGAATACGGGTCTGATATTTTCTCGCTGATGAATAAAATGACGAATACTATTGTTCTTTCTCCTGAATGAGTTGATACCCAGTTCCCCTTTTTTCCGGGCAATATCTAACGAGCGGAAATTTTCCTTCTCAACAATAGCTAGTGCTATGCATGTTGCCACCAAGAATACGAGACTAAGTTTTTTTCCCTACCTAGCGAGTCATGGAAGATCAGAGCTCTCGCCTTGATCTTCTTACGTTGATTGTTGTCCTAGAAGATGAGTGTTATCATGACTCTTCATCCGCTGGGCCAATGGAAATTCATTCGACACGTGTCTGAAAGCGAATCTGTCACACATTCGCTATCCAAAATGCGAGTTGATTGACAATGATGAGAAAACTCGCAAGGGCCAGCCTGAGATAAGACTCATGTCTGCAAGGCGAGAATCCATTCTCAAATTTCCTATTGATGCTGGGAAATCAATATTACAATATACCTCAACAGCCCCATCTCACCAATGCGGCCTGACCTCTCTCACCTTAGCGAGCCTATCACAACTCCCCAACATCACAACCCTGAGGCTGAGTCGCCCACCAAAACAACACCGAGTAAAACTGCGCCACCGCGTTCGTGACACACTGATCTCAGCCCCGCGAATGAAACGCGGGCACTAACCAGCCCTGCAAGTCGCTGCATGAACCGTGGCCCCTATGGGAACAGCGTTCTCCGCGACGTCACAGCCGTACAACCTTTAACTTGCTGTTACCTGAATTCCAGCTTCAGCCTTTCCATTCCGTTGCTTTTGCCTTGTACAAGTACTGTAGTTGCGACGACACTCTTCTTCTCGCCAAACAGTATATCTGCAGACCCTGGAATAAGGCATCCGAGTACTACTGCGTGGGGTTTGCGAACGGACGAACGAACGGAGTTGGCGAAGTGGGATTAGCGATACTGGCGAATCGCGAAGGACAATGAGTCTCTGAGGCCCAAACGGATATTCTGAGAAGAGGGAAACATATCAAAGTGATCATGAGCTTTGGCACTTCACCAGCGGATGTCGATACCGTCGTCGCGTTCTGCAGAGCGCTGTATCGCAAGTGTAGAGATGCGGGAGGGGATTACGACGAGATCAGTCATGAAGTTCGAGGTATGCACTTGCTTGAATATATTTCTTTTAGATTTAGGGTGCAGAAGTCGCAAAACATGTCTTGAAGCTTGTGCAAGTCATAAAGATTATTTGAAACTTCATGACCAGCGATATGTCTGACAGTCGAGACTAACGATTGGAAGGGTTACACACTGTGCTCAAACATCTCAAGTACGAGGTCGAAGCTCCCGACTCGCCAGTAAATGACGAACGCTCAATATGGGCCCGTCAACTGGCTCCGATAGTTGGTGACTGCGATTCCACTCTACACGAGCTCGACGACCTCGTGCAAGAGTACACTCGACTTAGCACAAGTCCAAGCGCTTCACGTGGAGATATCGATCGTCGTGGGAGCAATTTGGACACACTAGGGTTGATCAGGGTCAAGCTACTAAGTCATAAATCGAATCTGACAAAATTTCTGGACAATATCCAACTGCCGCAAACGGGAGAAGAGCCTGCAGACTTGGATAATCATGATGGACATTTGGATGCTATTCTTGATAAGGTCGATGTTATTGCCGCACGAATCCAGTCTCAGAATGGGCGTACATCGACGAAGAATGATGATGGCAGAGAAGTGTGGGAACAATTTCGCAGAGAGTTGATCGCGGAAGGCTTTTCGAGTGAGGTTTTAGAACATCATAAAGTAAGCTCTGCAATTGTTTGCTCTCTTTGTCGTACTAACGTGATCTGAAGGACGTGCTGAGAGCATACATCCGAGAAATTGATCAACAGGGTTTACTTGATGAGGTACCATCAACTTCACAACCAGTTGCAGCTCCTAGCATTGGTGCTGAGAGATGGTTGGACTCAATAAAAGCAGTGCGACTAAACGACAAGCCGCCAACATTTAGTTCACTTGATTTGACCATTGAAGATGCCAGTGCTAAAGCGATGGTAATGCGGGAGGAAAACATGAAATTTCCGCAATCCATGAAGTTTGATTTGCAGCAGCCAGAAAGTCGACGAAATGGCGAATTGGAATTGAAGCAGTAAGTGTCCCATTTGTATTTGCCCCACCAGATCTTAAAGTTTACAGATTTGCTTCCTCCTCGGGACACGAAAGAACAAGAGGCAGTAGCCATCGTTTGCCAACCCAAGTTCCTAGATTGATCACATCGAACGAGAACGACGAAAAGGATGTTCAATTTTTCAACACTGATGGCTCATCAGACGAAGATTCAAGCAATGACTCTCGAAGACGCCGAAAAAACTTCCAACTCAGCGAAGTTATCAAGACAACAGAGTTGATAGCTTACAGCCAAGCATTGCAGCTCCATCCACACTCGCCATCAAGCTTCAGAAGCACGCAGGACTATTTCGACGAAGATATTAATGCTAGATCATTGCCATACCAGCCAAAGAAGCAGATCGAATACGGAACTTCTCCTGTTCAGCCAGGCGCAATTCCAATTCCTCAGCCAAATCCAAGAACGTCAAATTCCAGTTTCGGCACCTCTCCACGCCCCTTTCGCTTGGCACCAGATGAGCATGGCAACGAAATTCCTGCTAATGCCAAATGGACTAAGATAAATCGTCGTCTCGTTTCTCCTGAAGTCCTTGACCAGGACCATCGACGATATGAGGCGTAAGATCTGCGTCCAGAATTCTATGTCTTTTACTAACAAAGATATTAGACGTCCTGAATTCGTAGCCGTCCTCGGCGTCCTCAGCCGTGCTGAGATCGAATCTCTCGCTGAGCGATCCCGCATCCTTCGCGACGCCCGCCATCGTCGGAGTTTGCCCACGCAAGCACCTCCTCCACCACATCCTCCACGACCAATGCCAGTCCCTGGTACCATACCAGCACAGCATTCATCTTCTCGGCATAGAAGTGGTCGTGACACGCCTTCATCTTCTTCGGATTCAGAGTCCTCGGACTCTGATCATCTTCGAAGGAGGAAGGATAAAAGCCGCCGTGGATATGCAGGTTCGAATATAGGCGCACCAGTCTCGGGATATCCGAATCCGTATGGACAGCCTTTGCCGAGTCCGGTGAGAAGTCCAGGCGGTAGGGATTCGTGGAAAGATTCTAGAGGAGATTATTCTGGTTCCAAAGATCATGATAGAGACAGAGATAGGGACAGAGATACTTCGAGAGACAAGCATAGAGACGGGTCACGACATCGGAGACATAGAGATCATGCGAAAAGTAGCGATCGGCGAGATCGAGATAGAGCAGACAGGGAGAAATATCAGAAGAGTAGTAGGTGGAAAGAGAATCTTACTGCTGCAGGGATTGGTGGTGCTGCGGTCAGTTTGCTGAATGTTCTTACTGAAGCTGCTGGGGAGCTATGAGTTTGAAATATACCATAGAAAAGATATGATGGATCAACAGTACAATCGTTTGGGGGAAAAGAGAAGCATAGCGTGGTGTTTTCCTTGTCTCCGATTATCAAAGGAAGAAAATAAGTTTGTAAGATGGGAAGCGTTTCTTGGAAACGTTATATGTTACGATATGGTATGATATATAGAAGCAGCTTTAGTTCTCTTGATGATTCATCATATCAATCTATAAAATTATATTCAAAACAGCTCCAAAAATGTCTAGGCACGTGGGATTCACCACGTGACGGTATATGTCCATGGTCCGTGCACCAGAAGTCTGACTTCACCGACTCTTCCTCACTTCTTCTCTCATTCACAACCTCAAGCCTGAACAACATCAGTACAAGCTACCTCCCTGGGAACTGTGCATCAAGGACGAATGGATCTCAGGAGAAATCTCGGAATCTGACCCCACGATGAGCACCTAGAAGCGTTTACGTTCCTGCAAGCTTCAAGGACTCCCATGTTTCCCCTCAAACTTTGACTGGAACCCGAGCAGACCATCTTAGTTGGATCCCAGCATTCGGACAGCGAGCGTATTGGAATTGAGGGCTCTGTCACTTGGGACTTGATGTGATGCGGTTGCGACGGTCTTGGATGAATGCGGGGTCCTGTGGAGAACCTCGACTAGAGTCTCGGTCTACTGTCTATGCTCGATGGAGGCATTGCTGTTGCTACTCTAGGAACTCGATAACTTTCTTCTTACTGCTCTTTTGACATCATAAGGAAATCGGAGATCGTTCCGCTGTTGTAATAGGCCATTCTGTGCATCGAGCAGCGCCTAGGGAAACACAACGAACACTAGAGGACGGGACCTCCCAAGCCGGCTTCACTTTTAGGTTTGATCACCCAGCATAAGATCCAATCTTGGTCGAAAAGCAGTTCTAGCCCGGTTTTAGAACGCACATTTGACAGCCCAAAGCCAAGAATGCTTGGCCCGCCTGGCTGCATCAAGCCGAACTCTTCAGCTATACAGCATCCTCTTCTTTCAGAATACTGAGCTTCGGGAGTATATATAAGCTCTGGAAACTATTCAGATCTTGCCTCTTTAGAGCACAAACTAGATCTCTAACAAGCTAACCTCTAGCTCGGATGAGCGAGTTGAGGTATGGTATGCTGATCTGGCGGTTCCCTTATTTAAGTTTTTGTCATTGGCGTCTTGAAAATGTTTCGAGAATGTTGCAAGTGCAGAATTGGAGAAAGTCATCCAAGATTAATCTCGATCTCGATCTCAATAGCCTTGTTGGCCATACGAGGACGGCACAGTACAGTATCTGGCCAAATTTCAATGCTTCAGAAACTGGCAGCTACTTCTCATATCTTAGGACTGCGGCTGTCCACGGTTATGACAGGAAATATCAGCCAAGTCGATTGGAGCTGCAAGCGCTTTGTTATCCAGGACAGGCATGATGAACTGACTCGACCTCCACGTCAAGGCAGTAAGCCCCCACCAACCCAACTACAACCCAGTCCGCGTGCGGGGTTAAGTTCCTCCCTCAAAACGTTTCCTTCTCAAGATGAGGGGTATCCTAGCTGTCATGTTCAGATCTTCCACTTTCCCGTTACTCGCAGATATGATTCTGACGTCGGACAACGCAGGTCCTTTGATAGAATTTGCCACAAGCAACAGCAGGATCCTCATTTGAAAGCTGCGTTGCGCTGCACACCTAATGCAGAACAATATGTACCTCATTGGCACACCAGCCCCACGATGCGCGGCCCCACATCTCACGCTGCTGCTGTATCGCAGCGGATGCGAGTTCCAAAACACCAGTGGTGGAAACTCAAAACGAGTAGAGCGGCACTAATACCCCGCACTACACTAAACCCCAGCTGCTTTTCCAACGTCAGTCCTTTCTTAGCATATCCTGACCTCGTCTAACTCTCGCACTCCATCCAATTCTTGTCCGTTGCAGGACCGCTAGGATAAGTTTACCACTCAGCATATGAGAAGCTTCCCTGTCCCATACTGACGAATATGTCTCATTGATTGCTGATCAGCGGGGGGCGCACGGCGGCGCAAGGTGACGGCGCAGGGTGGCTGGCTTACCCGGATAGTTCGGTGGCACAAGGACAGGCTTGCTTCTGTTCTGGTCTGGCTTGTCTCGGGATATTTCTTTCCTTTCAGTACTGTGCATTTGTATTTGCATATTTAGAAACGATGTATGATTTCTGTTCTGGTCCTCGTTTGCAAATGAGGACAACTGTGCAAGTAACCAAGTGTGAATTGATAACAACATGGAACCCAGCTCCTGGGCAGCTTGGCGGAAAGTATGACAGGAAACCGTCGAATGCTCAGCCTTCGACCCACATACTTCGCGGTTGCGGGGTAAAGACCGCCTCCTGGATGTAGCTGCGTCTCGTATGAAAGCTTCCCTGCGAAACTCAAAGCTTTGATTCGATGCCCAAACCCAGACTAAATGCCGAGTTATTCCCACCATCAACCTCATCAAACTCAGTTCAGCAACTGCACGAGGTGCATCTTGCGTCAATCATGTCTTGTATCGCCCGTCTCAAGATACTCAGTCTGACCACAAGGTGATCAGAAGAGGGGTAGTATCCTTTTCATGCATGAGTAGAGCTCTAGGCATGTTCCTTCCATGTAATGCTGCAGTTGGGAATGATCTTGGAATCCAATTGAGTCTTTACGATAGAGCTGAAGCTCAAGAAACACGCGTCAAGGGTGCTTTAGCCCTCATGGTTGCGAACACAACGTGCGGGGTTGATGTGGACCTGAGGAAATTCAAATAAAGGGGGGGGTCCTGCATTCCCCACGGATGTGTTGGAGTTTAAGCTCTTCTCTTGCTAGAAGCCAGCGTACAAAATACAAAATTTCAAAACAAGTTTGCTGAGAAGTGTGTGGAAACCTTCAAAATGACCGTCCCAGATGAAGTTGATATCATCGTGTGTGGTGGTGGCAGTTGTGGATGTGTTGTTGCTGGCCGGTTCGTTCAATTGGACCCTCTTCTTTGCTTAAGCACAATCGAGCTTCTACTGACTCTCCAGATTGGCCAATCTCGACCACAATCTCCAGGTCCTCTTGATTGAGGGCGGAGAGAGCAACCTGAACAATCCATGGGTTTTCCGACCTGGAATTTGTAAGTTTGTTCTCCTCTTTGGCCTTCACCTTGATACTAATATGTCATAGACCCGAGGAATATGAAGTTGGACTCTAAGACAGCTTCATTCTACTATTCGCGTCCTTCAGAATGGCTCGGTGGCCGAAAGGCCGTCGTTCCTTGCGCTCACATTCTTGGTGGTGGATCGTCGATCAACTTCATGATGTATACTCGCGCTAGTGCCTCTGACTACGATGACTTCCAAGCCAAGGGGTGGACAACAAAAGAGCTTATCCCACTCATGAAGAAGCATGAGACATATCAACGAGCATCCAACAACAGGTGAATAACCCCATATACCCAGTTTGTATGCCTTTCTGACTATTCCTCAAGGGACATTCATGGATTCGAAGGTCCTATCAAGGTCTCTTTCGGAAACTATACCTACCCCATCATGCAAGATTTCCTCCGAGCATCCGAGTCTCAAGGTATTCCAACAACGGATGATCTTCAAGATCTTGTTACTGGGCAGTGAGTTTATTATAACTCCAGCGGCGGTCGCAAATGCTGACAAACCGACAGTGGTGCTGAGCACTGGCTCAAGTGGATTAACCGAGATGTAAGTATTCGTGAGCTCTCACTTCAACCGATACCAACATAACTGCAGACCGGCCGCCGAAGCGACTCTGCCCACGCTTACATCCACTCAACGAGATCAGTTTATCAGAACCTTCATCTCCAATGTAACACCAAAGTCGACAAAGTCATTATAGAGAATGGCGTCGCAGTAGGAGTCAGAACAGTACCAACAAAGCCTCTTCACCCGAGCGTAAGTGTTCGCATTCTCCAGAACTAACATTATTGATACGAGTTCCCCCAAGCAGCAACAATCCCGCACTTTCCGTGCTCGCAAGCAAATCATTGTTTCCGGTGGCACGCTCTCATCGCCATTGATCCTTCAACGCTCTGGTATCGGTGACCCAAAGAAGTTGCAACGCGCTGGCGTCAAGCCTATCGTCAACCTGCCTGGTGTAGGATTGAACTTCCAAGATCATTACTTGACGTTCTCTGTGTATCGCGCCAAGCCTGGTAAGTCTTTTGTCGACCCCACTACTACGACATGAAGAGAGGAGATGCTGATGATTCCTGGTAGACACTGAGAGTTTCGATGACTTCGTCCGAGGTGTCCCAGAAGTCCAGAAAGCTGTCTTTGACGAATGGAATCTCAAGGGTACCGGCCCACTTGCTACTAACGGCATTGAAGCTGGTGTCAAGGTTCGCCCCACCGAGGAAGAATTGGCTGAGATGGAGAAGTGGCCCACGCCACACTTCAAATCTGGATGGGACAGCTACTTCAAGGACAAGCCCGATAAGCCAGTCATGCATTACTCCGTCATCGCTGGGTATGTTAATAGTATTTTCCACTCCTTGCATTTACTGACGAATATACAGATGGTTCGGTGACCACATGTTAATGCCAGCTGGAAAGTTCTTCACCATGTTCCATTTCCTGGAGTACCCATTCTCTCGTGGTGAGACACATATCGTCTCTCCTGACCCATATGAAGCTCCAGACTTCGATGCTGGCTTCATGAACGACGAGCGGGACATGGCTCCCATGGTCTGGGGATACATCAAATCACGTAAGCTTCGCACAACAGCCCGCAGATGCTGAGACTAACATTGTCAAGGTGAGACTGCTCGCCGCATGGAGGCATATGCAGGCGAAGTCCAAGCCATGCACCCATTCTACGCTTTCGACTCTCCCGCTCGCGCAAAGGACATGGACTTGGCTACCACCAAGGCCTACGCTCTTCCGGGCAACTTGACAGCAGGTATCCAGCACGGCTCTTGGTCCATGCCCGTCGAAAGTGGCAAGCCTCCTAAGCCCAGCATGCTGAATAGCAATTGCCAGCATATTTATGAGGACTTGAAGTACAGCAACGAGGACATCAAGCATGTTGAGGAATGGGTCAAGAGACACGTTGAAACTACTTGGCACAGTTTGGGCGTAAGTCTCCTTGTTATCGTCGATGTTTGGCATGATTCTAACGCTATATAGACCTGCTCCATGGCACCAAAGGAAGGTAACAGCATCGTCAAGCACGGTGTCTTAGATGAGCGCCTCAACGTCCACGGCGTCAAGAACCTCAAGGTTGCTGATCTCTCCATCTGCCCCGACAACGTTGGCTGTAACACTTGTAAGTCAAGCACACCCATAATGCTCTTTCAAATATACTGATCATGTTTACAGATTCCACCGCTCTCCTGATCGGTGAGAAGTGCGCCGTCTTGACAGCTGAGGATCTCGGCTACAGCGGCAAGGCCCTTGAGATGAAGGTGCCAAACTACCATGCTCCAGGCGAGCTTTCTGGCATTGCCAGCGCTAGACTTTAAGTCGGTGGCATGTTTCGGACGGTGGAGGATCGAAGAAGGCCAAATTGTGACCTGATGAATGAGGATAGGTTTCTGTTCATAGGATCTGTTTTTGGTAAAGCAAGCTGAACATACGCTCCTTCTGTAAACCTGACTGCTTGGAATAGTGCAAGCTCTTCGTGCGTTTCTCGTAATGGAATTTCTCTGTGGCTATTACCCACCCTTCCGTACCTCACAGTGTGCTTTTACTTGAACACAGGCGGCGGCGGGCAAAGTCATTCACGTGAGCGGTGCAGCTTATGTTGATTTACTCAACAACAGCCTGTAGCTCTCATCCAAAACATCACTATTCAACGTTCTCTTCGACTATGAGCACGCGTGAAATTCAAGATCAAATTCCAATCAAATTATTGTCCACCAATCACGTGGAAGCTAAATTTAGAGTCCCTTTTGGGCTTCAACCGACCTTCCTAGCCCAACCTCTCTCGACCTGACAACTCATCATGCAACGAGCTCACATGTGAAATGTAAGGCATACAACGACGATACGTCCAGATACGCGCATGATGAAGCCTCATATATCGTGCCCTGTTATCGTTCAGCCACGCGACCTGCACGTTGCCCAACTCTCAGGTCGCAGGCAGCAAGTCCGCGAAGCCTGCCCGGGATACATTCCGAGCCAGTGCCTCAGTCTATCAATTTTATAGCTTCATCTTGTGTCGTACATGAATGTGCTGATTTCGACTCACAGCTGCATCAATCAGGTTGGAAGTGGCAAAGTTGCTCTCACCGACTTCTGGTTGTAACGATGTTCGGTGGAGCTTGTCACGTATATGATATTTCGGTTTACGCTTTTAAGATGGGGCATCCTACTATTTCGCAGTCTTCGATATGTCCGACGAGCTTGAAGCGACTGATTCTAGTTCCGAGAGCTCGTTTGAAGCGGAAGCTGAGCCTACGCCTGAGCCTGAACCTGCGCTTGAATTTGTTGAAGAGGTTGCTCCCGACATTGGCGAAGTGGTTGAGATTGAGATCCCCGAGCAGCCAGAAGAGCTCGTCCCGGAACCAGAGCCTGCTTTGGAGCTGACTGAACCAATCCAAGAAGCTGATTTAGTTGAACCCGAATCTGCTCTAGATCTTGTCGATACTATTCTGGACACCATTGACGAAATCTCGCTTGAATTAGATCCGAGCGAAGAGCCACTCGAAGAAGAAACAGTCGTCGAGTTCATCGAAGAAGATATAGTCGAAACACTTCCGATCGAAGTTGCTGACCCCGAACCTGCTCAAAACTGCACACCTCCGACTCCTCCCGACCTCGCTTCAGATATTGCAGAGCAAATAATCGACAGAGCTGCCACAGACCGAATTGCCGCCCAGCTATCCGAGACTATTGCTGGTATTCTCTCAAACTCCATCGGAGATATCACAAAGACTCTCGTCGACAAGCTTGAAACTTCGGGAACCATCATGGCCGCTCCTCAAGATCCAGAACCTCCAGCTGTGAGCGAGGCAGTCTTCAGTGTGCCCTATACTCGCAGCCCGAATTTTGTGGGCAGGTTTTCTGCACTGTCCCAACTTTTCGGAATGTGGAAACCTGGAGAGAATGGTCGAATTGGCGTTGTTGGACTTGGTGGCATAGGGTAAATATCTTCTTCAAATCTTATACAGAATCCGTTAATTAATACTTCTAGGAAAACCGAACTTGTCATTGAGTTCGTTTACCGAGTCCGAGAACTATCACCTGCAACACCTATATTCTGGCTCAGAACTGAAGAACTTCAGGATGGTGGAATACCCAAAGCGGAGTCAAACTCTCAAACCCTCATGGTCATTGATCCTGGAGACAGATTCGACATACTACTCGAAGGAGTGCCTGGTGACAGACTCGTGGATCGGTTGAAGAGCTTTACAGGCACCATAGTTCTGCTCGCTAGAAGTGCCCAACATGGTCGAGAATTGGTCGCTGCTCGCGACCTATGCGAGATTGGAGATCTCGAGCTCGAAGCGTCAGTTGACCTATTCCGAGCCAATCTTGGAATCGATGCTCATCTTGTTTCTACCGAGAGCCAGATCCAGGAAGTCGCCAAACTCATAACCTGTTCACCGCGAGCCATCATTCAAGTCGCAAAAGTCATCAACTGCACTGGTATGAATCTTTCCCAGTTCCTCGACCTTTACCAACGAGGAGACCCTTTCAAGCTGCGACTCTTCAGCAGGATTGATCCCTTCTCCTATCCGGATTTCGACAGCTCTGTGATTGGCAGAGGAGTCTTCGATGTAAAAATGTTTCGGAGTACATATCGCCATTTCAATCGTTTCTTGTATCAACTTTTCTTCCTAGGCGGCGCTTCTGTACCAAAAGCTATTTTCTCGTCGTACGATCCTTTGGACATGGTTATTATCTTATTTCTCATCAAGGGACACTTTCTCGTTGTCGAAGACGCCTCGAACCAGACATATACTATCCATCCGCTTGTCTATTTGACTATTCGAAACGCGATTGGATTCGAGAGGTCGGATTCGGAAGGAGCAGACATCTTGGAAGAGCGACAATGGTATGAGGATGTGGTTCTGGCCTTTTCAGACCATTACCCAGACGCAAAGAGCGACAGCAGAGCGTGGTGGAAGGATTGCTTCGCTCATCTTATTGGAGGCTACGATTTACACAACGACGCTTTACGCATTGCTGTCGCTACGATATACCAACGGGAGTCTGCCTTCTTCAAGAGAAAAGGAATGTATACCGAGGCTCTGAAGATGGCAGTCCTTGCTCGAAACGTGCTTCCGAACCCAATGCCGACGCAACAACTCAGCATTATCCAGGACCAAGTCACCCTTCTGTCTTTACTCGCAAGATATCGAGACATGCATCAAGTTCTTCAAGGATATTCGGCAGACCAAGGTCCACAATCATCAATATGGAAGAAGAGAATGCTGGCGAAGTTGGAGCAGATCGATTGTGCAAATCAGTACGAATCTGCTGTTGACTCATTCCAGCAGATTCTACTTGCGAGCGAAGGATCGAATGTTCCAAAAGCAGACCTCTTCCTATCCATGGATGACGTCGGTCAAGCATTGATGCACAAAGGTCGATATCGAGATGCTGCTGTTGTGTGTCGAAAGGCTCTCGCAGAAAGAAAGGACACTCTTGGAAGCTCATATCCCGACACTCTATCCAGCTGCCATAACTTGGCCAGAATCCTAAAGCGAGACGGCAAACTGGAAGAAGCTCTGCGCTATATCCAAGGTGCTTTACTTGGCAGAGAGAGTATCTATGGCCCGGATCATCCTGAGACTGTTTTCAGCAAAGTCGTCAAAGCAAGCATTCTGATTGCCAAAGCTATCTCTACCGCCGATTTTGATGAAGCAGAAACCCTGCTTCTCAACTGTGTTGATCGATTAACAGCCAGACTATCGGTCACTCATCCCCTTGTCCTTTCATGCAAGAGTGAAATTGCACTCATCATGCTCGGCCGCGGAAACTACGAGAACGCAGAATTGATGAACAGAACCACGATGACTGTCAGAGAAGAAGGACCTTGGCTCGAACCAATGACCCACCCTGACACTTTGACCAGCAAACACCAATTGGCCGAAGTTCTGCGATTGAAAGAAGGATGCAAAGCTGCCGACCTTCTAAGTGAACGTGTCCTTACTGAAAGAACGGCTGTTCTCACAAAGGGCACTATGAGCGGAGACGACTTCCACCCCGACCAACTCGCAAGCCTTCACCACCGCGCCATCGTTCTTTCAGGTCTCGGCCAACACACCGAAGCACTAGAGAAAATCGACCTTGCACTCACCGGACAAAAAACCATCCTCGGCGACGACCACCCAGACGTTTCCCTCAGCATGACCTGGAAAGGCGAGATCCTGCGTGCGCAACTCCCCAAACGGGACCCCGAACGGGGCGAGAACCTCGACGCCATCGAGAGCATGCACAAACAAGCCCTGGAACGCCTTACCTGGGTCTTCGGCCCCGAGCACCAAAGCACTTTACAATGCGCCACGAACCTTGCTCTCCTGAAGCACGAACGCGGCGGATCTGCACGCGCTGAAGCAGAGCATTTGCATCGACAGATCTATAAAGCTTACCAGAGGAGCGTGGGAGGTTTGCATCCGGAGACGCTGAAGAGTAAGGCAAGGCTGGCGGAAGCTATGAGTGCTTCTCCGTTGGCGGATCCAGAGGAGGCGAAGAAATTGTGGAGGGAGAGTTGTGCTGGGTTCGGGAAGGCGTATGGGGTTGATGCGTATGTGACTGCGAAGGCGTATAAGGAGTATGAGAAGAGTTTGAGGATGCATTTAGATCAGTGACTTTTGTTCTATACTGTTTGGATGGTTTCATGGTTTGTTAGGTTGTGGAAATATGTGTGAGGGAGAGGAGTTTGGACATTCATTTGAGCTTTTTCTTTTGTTTTGGAATATTTTGGTATACAGCACTCATTCCATCATCGAAACTACTTAGAATTTTCATTTCACGATCGTAAATTCTGCTTCCCCAAGAACCAACCACACCTTCCCGCCTTCCTCATCTCCAGAATATCGTTCATGCAACACACCTTCCCCCAAATCCCCAACCTACCATCATCCCACTCCAATCACCACCTCAATTGACCTCTCACGGTACCGAAACCCCCCCCCCTCGCTTCAGGCTAAGTAAAGTCCACCACCACGCAGCACTTCCATGCATGCCAGCGAACACACAAATGAGGCGTGCATCCGCGCCCCACTCCTCTCAAATAATCCCAAACCAATGGATCGAATGCAAGGCTACGAGTTCGTGGGGACCTTTAGTTATTTGGACCCTTCTCTCCTCTCCTCAAGTGAAACCTTCCATGAAAGAAAGAAAGTTCTGTTGTGATGATCGACGACGACGATGAATTCTACACCCCTTAATAACCTTAATTTTAGCGAGGAAGTTTGGACACCCCTTTATTTTTGTTTCCACGAGGAGACGCTTTCATGTCACCTGCGCCGGTTACTTTTTCCGCTCCTCCTCCTCCCCCTCTCGCAGCGACATCGGGGGTCTGGGTCTTGATATCCTCTTCCTCAACAATACCAACGTCAATAGCTGCAATAACACCCTCTCCAGAGAAAAAAGACGGATCACCTTACTACGTCGTAATAACCGTCACCAATGGAGACGGGACGTACATCACCACCGTTTTGTTAGGGGATTCGTATCCCACGACCTTCTCTGCTCTTTCTAGTTCCAGTTCTGGGGGTAATTGTACGTTTCCCTTTATTGAAATCCATTCTTCTCTGCCTTCTCTCTCGAATCTCAACCACCTTTTAGAATAAAAGGAAAAAGCAAAAGAATGAGAAATCCAAACAATAGCTGATTTTTCTTCGATGACAGCGAACCACGGCGGCATCCCAACGTCCTCAATAGTAGGTATAGCAGTTGGCCTCGTGCTGGGGTTCTTGGCGTTCTTTGCTGTTATGGTGCGTATTTAGTTCCCTTTTAATACACCTTTCCATACACACACAGCTACGACGTGTTCTAAACCCAATGAAATTTAATACTGGACTTTATTTTGGGATTTTTGATATGGCTGGAATTTGAGGCGCCACCAGCGCAGTCCGCGCCTTTTGCGCATTTCGCGCAAAATGCCATGCAATAAATGGGTTAAGCCCATTCAAGCGATGGCGGAGAACACTCTCCGGCTCTAACAAATCTTGAGTTGAGATTTCATGAAGGAGCTAATTTGAGCATAGTATGTTTATTATCTGCGTCTACGACAAGCGAGAGAGAGGAGGAGAAGGAGGAGGGGAGGAAGGCGGAAAGGTGGGAGTGTTGGTGGTGAGAGTCGGGGTGGTGGACCTGGTGAGTGTACTTTGATATGTTCTATAGAGAACGAAGAGAGGAAATCGAGAGCACAGATAAAGAGAAGGATATTTGCTAATCAACACGAAAACAGGACCTCCGCCCCCTCCACCACCACCAGGAGGATTGGCACCTGCTAATCCATGATTGCGAGAATAGGGAATGGGTAATGTAGGAAAAGAAATGTTTACATATGGGATTTGGAATGGACATTCATTTACTCAGCGCGGAGTCAGGATTGGGTTGTATGTATGTATGGAAGGAAGGGGAGTCTATTATCGTTTCTATCTCTATCGCTACTATATGCAAAACGCCACGCTATGCCTCTACTAAATGTACAAACGAGAAAATCATTCTCTGACAGGCTCCACGGCCGTTGTTGGCGGCGTATCGTTCAGCGTCGTAGGTGGAGTCTCTTTCCCTACCGCCGTCTCGGTATCTGTGACATGACCCTCATCCGTGTTGGGTGCTGGCGCCTTCTGATCTTCCAGCGGGATATTGTTATCGGCGGGAGGAGATTGCTGACCGCCATGCTTTAATCCCTTGACTGATTTCCACTCCATGGTAAAGCCGGCAACAATCGTAACACAAGCACAGGCCAATCCAACTTTGAATGTATCGCTCAAAGCTTTATTATATGCTACCAGCACTGTTCCCAAGTCTGCTGCTGGTACCAAGTTTCTCAGATCTGTGGCTCCGGTGTTGACGATGATGTTAGGACTGATGCCTGTGCTGTCTCCAAGGTATTTGATGAGGCCATGCGTGAAGATGGTCTGTGAAATCGAGATGAAGACGGAACCACCGAGACCTTGCATGAAGAACATGAGAGAAACACCAGTCATGACGTCCTTTTTATTGAGACAGGTCTGGGCTGCCATACCGGCTTGTTGCATACCGAGACCGAGACCGAAGCCGTAGAGGAATTGATATGCAATCCACTTTGCGTGTCCTGTGTCTACTTGGAGGGTAGTGAGAAGTCCTGCTCCGACGGACATTATGATTGAAGATGCGATCAATTGACCTACGTAGTACCCTGTCTTGGCGGTGATTGCTCCAGCGGACATCGATGCTACGACGAGCGACATGACGAGTGGGAGAGTGTCGATTCCTGAGTGGACGGCAGTGACGTTTTTGATGGCTTGGAACCATAAGGGGAGGTAGTAGATCATGACCATCATGGATCCTGGAGACATGACGGAGAAGTATGCGCCAGATGCTACGGAGCGTTGCTTGATGATGTGGATAGGGACTGTGGCGTTGTCACCCATGCGGAATTGGATGAAGACGAAAAGGGAGAGGAGGATGCCAGAGATGATGAAGAGGACAATGACTCGTGCATTGGACCATGGGTAGGTTGTTCCTCCCCACTGCAAAGCCAACAATAGACAGATGATACCTGGCAGGAAGACCAAGGAACCGAAGGGATCGAGTTTCCAGAGCTGTTGTTTGAGGGTATCGGTGTTGGTGCTCGGTTTGTCCTTCAGCATGAGAACAATTACTGCTACGACAACCCCGCCGATAGGCAGGTTGATATAGAAGCACCATCTCCATGAGACCTTGGTTGTGAAGACTCCTCCGAGGAGAGGACCAGCGACTGAAGCGAGACCAAAGACAGCACCGAACACAGCTTGGTACATAGGTCGTTTGTGGAGGGGAATGGTTATCACCATGATGTTAATGACACCGCTGAGGATACCTGCTGAGCCGAGACCAGCAATCGCACGGCCTACGATGAAGGCTTTGGAAGTGGGTGCTGCGCCACATACTGTTGACTATAGATCTTGTTAGCATGCTTATTGATCGATAGAAGGAAAATATGTACCCCAAGCTCGAAAAGACCGATGGCGCACAATAGGACCCATTTAGGTGAATAGAAGGTGTAGATTCGACCGTAAATAAGTTGGAAAGCGCATGAAGTGAGCAAATAGGCACTCGCATACCATCCAACGTCGTCGATAGAATGGAATTGATCTGTTATCTTGGGGATGGCTGTTCCTAGAATTGTGCGATCCTGTTATTGATGTTAGCATATTGCCGGTGGAATATAGGGGAGGTGAACATACTAGGGCGACGAGGAACATAGACAGAAACGCAGCCATCATAATAATGAATACCTTGATTCCACTCGGGTACTCATCCTCAGTCTGAACCCTAGATAGAGGCGGCGCATTTGCCTTCTCCACATCGACTTCCGTGGCCAGGCCGTGAGGCTCTGCATTGTTGTTTGCTTTGTCCTCCATCGTGAATTATGCGCAAGCTGTCACAGAAAATGAAAGACAAGGCGAAGATAGGGTTGGTTGAGGAATATGGATTATTCTTTCCTTTTACTAGTGTTGAAAATGCGGAAAGAGGAAAGAAGGATCGGATTTCCGTAGGTGTTGTGTTGTGGTGGATGACGAACTGGATACCACAAAGGGAAGGGAGGGGACCCAACATGTTTATATTCAATTTTCGAGATGCACAACACGCGCCGAAAAGCGCCTCAGCCGCAGATTTATGCAATGTGCTCGCATTCCCGGGAAATAGTAACGAATTGTGCATATTTTACGGCCCCGAGCCCTTTGTACCACCTTCGTCTGTGCCAGTATAATAAGTGGTGATCGACTTGAACGTCGTTTCATTCGGTTCCCGAGCATCAAAGGTCAGATTATTAAGGTTAAATTTTGGTGCACGGCTGACCCTCGTCTTGGCCCTGCTACTGTAAGCATTGCTGCTCGGGACCGAGATCTTCGCTTTGCCTCCCGAGGACCAACTTCATACCAATACATAACCTCTCAACTCTCCCGAAGGCGTCAGTCTGTCCTTTTCTCATCATAAGACGGTGCAACAATCGATATCGGGCGTCGCATTCATCTTATGTGTGTGGTGGTGCAGAAACGGCTGGGCTGCCTTGCCTGAAATCTGGTGTTCCTCCAAACGTGGCTGTCGTGAAGAAATCTCGCTGGTTTCGGTTTCCCGAAGACCCGAGAGAGTCACCACATCGAATTCCTTCTCCTCGCTCGACTGACCACTGCTATGCTGTCGACAACGTCTGGTCAGCAGACGGATGCAGGTCCTCTTCCTCCACCTCCTGCGTATAAGATCACCCGGGGACATTCGTGCATCCTTTGTCAGCAGCGTAAAGTCAGATGCGACCGACAGAAGCCTTGTGCAAATTGCATAAAAGCACGTGCAGAATGTGTTCCGAGTGCACCTACGCTGCCACGAAGACGAAGGAGGAAGTTGGCGGAGACCGATATTGCCGGGAGGTTGAAGAGAGCAGAACAGTTGCTGAGGAGTCATGGTGTCAAGATCGATGATGAAGAAGCCGATGAGGTGCATGAGGAGATGCCCTATTCTGGCAGACCCGAACAAGATCGGACTCTGGCTTTGGCGGGTCCCAGACGTCGTGATCATTCTCACGGAGCTCTGTTCAAAGACAAGGAGAACTCTCACTATGTAGAAAGGTATTCCATCAAAAGCATTGAAGAAGAACTTTTTCTAATCTCGTGCAGTACTCTATGGGAGAATTTGAGAGATGAAATTCAAGATCCCAAAGACGCACTGCAAGGTTCATCCGATTCGGATGAGACCAATGAGACAGGACTCTATCCTCACCCTGAAGCTCTGCTTGTTGGGTTTGGATCCCAGTCGGCAGATTTGAGTACACTGCACCCTCTAGCAGTCCAAATCTTCAGGTTATGGCAGACCTTTTTAGTTAATGTCAATCCATTGGTAAAGATGTTTCATGCTCCTACCATCCAGCAACTCATACTGGATGCAAGTGGAAATCTTGAAAATATCCCCAGACATACCGAAGCTTTGATGTTTGCTATATACTTCCTTGCCGTTACGTCTTTGACTACTAAGGATTGTCAAAGTATGTTCGGAGCATCGAGACCACAGCTTCTCGCAAAGTACTCTCATGGTACACAACAAGCGCTCATCAACGCCAGATTTCTGAAGTCATTGAACATCTTGACTTTACAGTCGTTGGTACTATACCTTCTCGGTGTTCGAAAAGCTTACGATCCTCACTCTTTATGGATCCTTACTGGCGTTTGTGTTCGGATCTCGCAACGTTTGGGTCTTCATCGGGATGGCTCAAATCACAAAATTTCTCCCTTCGATGCAGAAATCAGACGACGGACTTGGTGGCAGATTGTTTTTCTTGATGGACATTCGTCGAAACTTGCTGGAGCTGGATTCCCTGCTTGGCTTGCCAAATTCGATACCAAGATTCCCCTCAATATCAGCGATAGTGATATGAGTCCTACGATGAAAGAGCCACCGAAGGAGAAGGAGGGAGCAACAGAAATGCTATTCTGTTGCTTGAGATATGAGACTGCGCAAGCTTTACGGTCAGCTCGAAAGAGCAAGGGTAAAGATGGCGGTTGGCATATTGCTCCTGGACCAGAAGTGATCCCAGAGAAAGACAAAGCAATCGACGAGCTCGAGATCCGATTTGAGGAGAAGTTCATCAGATTCTGCGATCCTTCCATTCCTCTACATCTTCTTGCTATCTACATTGCAAAATCTGTCATTTGCACGATGCGCATCATGGCACATCACCCTCGCCAGTATCCCGACAAAGGAGCAAGCATGCCCCAAAAAGAGAAAGACATGCTCTTCTCCGAAAGTTTAAAAGAGCTAGAATACGACTCCCTCGGCCACACCACCAAATCCATCCAAGGCTTCCTCTGGCACATCACCTCACACTTCCAATTCGACGCCTTCATCTACATAATCAGCGAACTCCGCCACCGCACCGACGGCGACCTCGTCGACCGCGCCTGGCAACAGGTCATCTTCTCCTACGAGCACCGTCCCGAGATGATAACCGACACCAAGAACGCACTCTACGTTGCCATCGGCAACCTGACCCTGAAAGCCTGGCAGAAGCGCGAAGACACAGCAACAGGAACCTACCAAGTGCCTCCCCCGCGCTTCATCTCTCAGCTGCGGGCCCAGAGGAATATCCCCGATCCACCACTACCGCGGAATGCCACGCCCCCGGAACGACAAGATCACATCGCGCGCCAGAATCTCATTACGACGTTCTCGAATAACGTCCCGCAGAACATGACGTATAATAATACGGCGCCGGACGGCTGGAGCCATGTGGATTACGGGTTCGATGTTAATATGAACATGACGGAGATCACGCCCGTGGACTGGGAATACTGGCAGACGTTGATGGATGGGGATTTGCCGCCTTATACGGGCGGCGGAAGCGGCGGAGGTGGGGCTGATAATAATGGGCAGTGGTTTTCGTGAGTGAGTGATGGATTGATTGGGTGGATGCGAGGTGATGCAAGACCGAGTACGGAGGCGAGGCCATTGGGCGAATTTAGGAAGTTTATGTACGCCATCCGGGCGTGCGCATGCGGGAACTGGGCAATTAGATGCCAAGGCTGGCACATGGTGGTTATATTTGGGGGCTGTTATGCCTTCTTGTTTGCGGTGCACGCCGGGTAGCAAACCCAGGATCTTGATGCGGTTTCAGTTGGACACCATCTTCTTGGAGCCTCGCGCATTATCTCTGTTATATACATACAGAATGGAGCGCATCCCTTCTTCTAACAAATTTATGATCGCCGTCTTGAAGTTTTGGCTTGAAGATGCCGCCTTTCCCAATAACCCGTCTACCTGACGCCCAGCGTCTTCAGCTGGACCTCAGACAAAATCAAGATGTAGTAACCCTCACCCTGCCCCGCATCTCGACAACTATCACCACAATCGTCACGCTCGGGGGCTCGAATCCAACACCGACTCCAAATCCGAATCCCATCACCACTTCGCCGAATCCTCAAAGCACGAGCCCTGTCATTTCTGGAGGCGGAGGTGGTGGGACGTCGAATAGGTACCATATTTCCTACCCCCTCTTTTATATGTTCTATGAGGCAGGAAAAAATGCTGAGTAGTGATGTTTAGCGCAACAATAGGAGCCATCCTCGGCTCCCTAATCGGATTCCTAGTCATCATGCTCCTCCTCTTCTGCTGCTGCTCGAACAACGCTACCTTTTCGTGGCCGTGGTTTGCGTTTTGGCGACGAGGGGGCAGTGAGAGTAGTGGGGATAGTTATTATAGTTATGATGATGTTAGTGAGGGTAAGTTTGTTTCTTGTTTTCTTGTCGAGAGGATAGGGTTGGTTGAGGGGAATGGAATAGAGGCTGATGAGTTTTGTTAGTGAGGGTTAGAGGTGGAGGGGGTGAAAGAAAGATGGCTTTTGGGGTGACGAGGCCGGGGAAGGTGAGGGTTGGGAGGAGGAGGGGGGATGCGGTTAGGGTTAAGAGGACGATTGATGAGAGGGATAGGGGAAGTGAGAAGGGTGGAGGCTTGAAGGGCGGTGGGGGGAGAGAATGGGGTGAGAGGGAGCTGGGACATGAGAGGGATGGAGGTTTGAAGGGTGGTAATAGGGGAGAGAATGCGAGGAATGCAAATATAAGAGATGGTGGGGTGAGAGGGAGTGAGAGGGATGGAGGTTTGAAGGGTGGTGGTGGTGGTAGAAGAGAATGGGGAGAAAAGGAGAGTGTCCGGAAGGGAAGTATAAGGGGTGGTCCTACAAGAGGAGGTGTGAGTGAGAGAAGTTATAGGAGGAGGAGCGTTGAGAGGAGACGAGATGGATGTTGGGGACGCTTCTTACGCGGGAACGCAAGGAGAGAAAGAGTCGTTGAGAGGGATCGACATAGCTGGGCAGGGAAGAGGGAGAGGGAGTTTGATGACGAGTTGGAGTATGTGGATGATTGATGAGTTGCGATGATTCCTGATATTTTTCATCATTCCGGACATTGAAAATTACCCATTGGAGCTTGAATGTCCGACGATATTTGGGTGATTTACATATGCTGAGCTTTCCACAAGTTCTTCGAACATTTGGCCGAGTATAGTGAGGTGGAGAGTTTTTGCGATCGATTAGTTGAGCGACGGATCGTTCCTTCCATATAGGACTCAGTTCCTTCCCAAACCCGCAACTTCCCTCTCACCACCCTCGTACCTTCCCATCTCTCCTAAACCTTCATTATATACCCCACATTCCCCCTCTCGTTCCCCTTCTCTTCTCTTCTTCCTAAACGGTTTCACACAACCCCAACCAGTCCTTCAACCAAACTCACCTCAATCCGCCATACTCCTCTGACAACGAAAGTTCTCCAGCCCTCTGACCTCAATTTCCACTTCGTGTGGCATTGTCGAGCGTCATGCAGTGAAAATGACGCAGTCATGATTAAAATGGGGTAGCAGCTCTGGACCTGGTTGTTGATAGATGTTGGTGCTCACTGTTTGCTTATGCTGGTGAGCTTGGGTGTGCTGAGTGTTCGACATTTGAAGGGAGAATGAGAGAATGCGAGGTGAGTCGAGATCTGCTGGGAGATGTGCATGCTGACTGGGAGACAGAAACATCACGAGTGAGAAACAAGAGAAAAGATGTGAAAGATCGAGATATGGTGGAACATTGAGAGGACTGCTAAGTATGTGCTGGTTCTGCTGTTGGACGAGCAAAGTAGAACATACTGATGTTCAGAAGACAAGATCGAGCATCAAAAACGGCTCCATCGAAATTAACGACGCATCGAGGGAAGCCGTGAAAGCAGTGTTGCTGAGAGACAGAGGGCACAGTGAGATTTGATAATGTTCTACACTTGGACGAACATTTGGAAAGATGTAAATACAGCAGTCTTGTTCCCAAAGAAAAAGCGTTCGAGTTGCGCGAGTGCTGAAATGAAAGCCAACAGCGAGCGATACTGACCCCAGAAAAAGCAGGGCCAAAGTCCAACAAACCGAGGGACAATTATTCACACTCAAGTTGGGCCATTGAACATCGACTTGCAACAGTCGAGATTCTGTCACCAATGTCCGTCAATTTGCTGGACATTCTCCTCAGTGATGTGGTCTGCCACGTGCCTCAAATCTAGGCTACCCCACTAGCAGGGGCTTTCTACGCTAAGATAATTGATAGCAGAATTATTTTCTGGATTAATTAACCATTTCACGAAGTCTGTAAATGCGCAGAACAACCACATTCACTCTTTACTTACACAATCACGATCGCAATGGGTAAGAAACGAGTTGGCGCATTGGAAAAGGTTGATGCTGATTTGTATGTATATATTTATGACCTGCCCTCTGCTGCCTAGATTCTAATGTCCCTAGGGCCAACCTACAATACAAAATCCGACGAGATCCAAAGTAAGCTTTAGAAAAAACCTGTGTATACCCATATGCTAATGAAATCTCAGATCATATACTGAGGATTTCTTGAATCAGTACGGACAATATCAATCACAGCGTGACATCTTCCTGGCCTCTCCCAGCACCGCAACCTCTACAGGCATAGTCTCGTTCCGCGACCTCATTGACTTCGTCGCCCACGTCGCAGATTACTTTCCCGCAGATACAGCTTCCTTCCCCTCCGACCTGAAGACCATTCTCACACTCCATCATGCCGAACTCGAATCAGAATTGCGCGAAAAGATAGTTGGGTCGCTGGTCCTGCTGCGGAGGAAAGAGGTGATCGATTCTGCAGAACTTCTCAATACCCTCTTCCCAATATTGGTACAAACACCGAGTAAGACCCTACGGACGCTGTTATTCCAGAAAATCTTGAGCGATTTGCGAACAAGCAATTCGAAGAGTATCAATCACAAACTTAACAAGACCATCCAAACGGCACTATTCAACCTTCTCACCTCCGATCGAGCATCTGCGAAGGGAATCTGGGCAGTCAAAATCACAAGAGAATTATGGAAGCGTCAAATATGGACCGATTCGAAAGCGGTGGAGATTATGAAGGAAGCCGCCTTGGCAGACAACGAAAAGGTCATTGGTGGTGGAGTTCGGTTCTTCCTGGGTGGTGACAAAGAGCGAGAAGAGCTAGAAGACGAAAGCAGTGATGATGACGCTCCAGATGTTGGCAAGATGAAGCATCAGATTGGTATCAATAAGAAGTCCCGAAAATCGAAACAGAAGCTCGAGGAAGCAGTCAAGAAAGTCAAGAAGACCGAGAAAAAGAAGCAGCAACCACATCCTCTGAATTTCTCAGCGCTCCATTTATTGCATGACCCGCAAGGGTTCGCCGAAACTCTGTTCTCGAAACATCTTCAAAATTCGAAATCAAAGCTCAATCTGGAGCAGAAGTTGTTGGTCCTACAGCTGGTATCGAGATTGGTGGGATTACACAAGTTGACTGTCATTTCACTCTATTCATACTTCATCAAATACCTAACGCCAAGACAACCGTCCGTCACCTCCTTCCTCGCTTCTCTGGCTCAAGCGACGCATAATCTGGTCCCACCAGATGCATTGGAGCCTTTAGTCCAGAAGATTGCGAATGAATTCGTTTCTGAAGCTTCAGCTGCTGAAGTTGCATCTGCAGGATTGAATGCTATTCGAGAGATTTGCGTGAGACAACCACTAGCCATGAACGATACGCTACTCCAAGATTTAGTCATGTACAGGAAGAGCAAAGACAAAGGTACCATGACGGCTGCCAAAGGTCTACTTTCACTATACAGAGAAGTTGGTGCAGATCTTCTCAAGAAGCGAGACAGAGGCAAAACCGCAACTATGGGCATCAAAGCAGGTTCAATCAAGGAGCGAAGATTCGGAGAGGAAGAAGTTGGTGGCATCGAAGGTCTCGAATTGCTTGAGCAATGGAAAGCTGACGAGCGAAAACGGAAGCGCGTTGAGAAGGGTCTTCCTGAGGAGCTAGGCCCAGACGAAGTCGATGAGGATTCGGAAGATGAAGAACAGAAAGGATGGGAGAACTGGGATGCTGAGAGTGATGCTAGTGACGATTCTGGTGGCTGGATTAATGTTGATTCAGACGACGAGATCAACATCTCTGATTCCGACGACGATAAACCCGCAGCTAAGAAAGTCAAACTCGATACCCTTGCTGGCGATGAGGAGAAAGAGAATACGGACAAGGATCAAGTCTTAGAACAAAAGATCTCGAAACTCGCAACGACGAAAATCCTCACTCCTGCGGATCTCGCTAAACTCCAAGAGCTACGCCTCGAAGCATCACTTTCAAAGGCGGTCGGCAAGCCATCATCCAGAGCCGCCAAACTGAAGGCGCTGATGGACAAGCATGCTGATGATGGTCTCACCGCAGAGGATATCGAGCTCGCTGCCAAGCTAAGGAAGACTACAAAGGAAGAGAGAGTTGCCCTAGCGAGAGAAGGCAAGGGTGAGAGAGGCGAACATAAATCGACTCAAGCGCTGAGAAGAGCCAAGAAAGATAGCGAGGGGAAGAGTACTACGAACAGGGAGAAGGCGAGGAAGAAGAACTTCTTGATGACTCTTGGGAAGGCTAAAGGCAAGGGGAAGAGGAGTTTGAAGCAAGTTAGCGGGACATTGAAGGCGCATGTTGAGAGGAGTAAGAGAGGTGGGAAGAGAGGCAATGTTGGTCAGTAGTGCGCTAGAGGTATTGATTGAGCAATTAGATAATACATTGTATCCAATGTCTGGAGATACCATAGTCACTGGATCTTGCATGTCGTCCAAACTTTGAGTCCATACTTTCAGTTTTGCAAAGTCAATCCTATTTTTGTTGTCCGCAGAATCATGTTGCCATGAATGTTGTCTGCTTTCGTCTCAGCTTACTTTTGTTGTCAAGAACTGTCTTTGTCGTTGTCACTACTACCGCCGTCTCTTTTCACTGCAATTCGGAACACACTCCAGCTGCTGGATCTTGCTTTGCATAAAGCATGAAAACAATCACCGGGAACTACAACTTCTTATACTCAGCGTCCCCTTAGCGTCTGCCTTAATTTCATCAAAGTCGCCATCACTAGTTGTTTGTATCAAAACTTAGAGGAGACGTGGAGGAGACGTTATTTTATACCCCGCACGTCACAATTACACCGTCGTCCTTCTCTTATTTGCGTGAATCGAACGCCTCCGAGATCGGCGGCTGTAGTATTGAGCAGTCACACAACTGTAACCTCAACCGTAAAAGACGCTGAGGAAAACGTATATATCGTCCTCCTCCCTCCATGAGAAAACACTATCAGAGATGATGGAAATCCTTTACCCCGATACGTGTGCCAGGTGACGGGTGCCTCAATGTAGCCGGTGTGGAGTTCCTATTTAAATTTGGATATGCTCTTGGTGTAGAGGTCAAATGTGTGATGTCTGCCGTTGTCAAGTGTGCGTTTGCTGCGAACAAGCTCGGGGTAATCGGACGACACAATTCTCACTTGGAACCTTGGCAACTGGGGTGATTATGAGGAGTTTACAATCTCTGAACAAGGCATAGTCGGAACCACTCAACGCGTTTAGTGCTAGTGGCCTCGCTGTAATGCTTCAACCTTGGATGGTTTCCGATGTCATCATCAATGTTTGGCATTCTATCGAGATCTAGTATTATTGTAAATGTCTAGCAATATTGTAAATACTCAGTAGCATTGTAAATACTCAGTAGCATTGTAAATGTCCGGCTTGGTTGGAGATTCTGTACCCACCATATTGCATGGAAAGGAAGATAAGAGCATAGATCTCCGCCCCAAATACCATGCCCATACTATCAGCGCCATTATTTCTAGGAATCATAAGAGTCATAGCCGAAAGCCAATAAGACGTTGGTGTTAGTAACATCGAAATAATCCCCCTCCGCCGGATTATAGTAAGCTACACACTCCCAGTGTGCTTCACTAGGCGAATCTTGCAAGAGATGTAAGTCGATATTTCCATAACCCTCGTCGTAAGCCCAATTGGTACAATCATCTAGTATGCTACAACGTCTTGCATCAAGGCAATAGGTCATGGTGCGTATTCTTGCAAGGCTTGGTAAGGTGGTGGTTGGTTCTGTTATTCTAGAGAAACTTAATACAATGTTCTGATATTTTCTTTGATAGTCCCCTATCGTTTGCCGAAGAGAGGTGATCTTCGGCCCGAGCCGAAATGAGCGCAAGATGTTCAACCCCCACTTCAAATCTTCAACATCTTCAAAATGTCTCAAACACACTCACCTCCAGCAAGCACTCATGATAGCTATTACGACCTCGGCTCATACCATCGCCGTATAACATCCAGTAGCCAAGATGCGCAAGTCTGGTTCGATCGAGGTCTCATTTGGACATATGCCTTCAATCACGAGGAAGCCGCGAAGTGCTTCGAACACGCCATTACCATCGACTCGAGCTGCGCAATGGCATATTGGGGACTTGCTTACTCGACTGGTCCTAATTACAACAAGCCGTGGGAGGTTTTTGACGAAGATGAAATAGTCACCAGTGTGAATCGGACACATCGTGCTGTCATGCAAGCAAAAGAGCATGCTGCTAATGCCTCACCGGTTGAGCGTGCCCTGGTCGACGCATTACAATTTAGGTATCCTAAGGAATGGCCAGCTAAAGACTTTTCGATGTGGAATCAGCAGTACGCGGAAGCCATGGAGTCTGTCTACAAAGAGTTCCAAGATGATCTCGATGTGGCAACCTTGTACTCTGACGCACTGATGAACTTGACTCCATGGCAATTATGGGATCTCCGTAGCGGCAAACCTGCCGCAGGAGCACGCACCATGGAAGCAAAAGCTGTTCTCGATCGTGCTCTCGCTACTGAAGAAGGACTCAAACATCCAGGCTTACTTCATCTCTTCATTCATCTCATGGAAATGTCTGGCACACCAGAGCGAGCTCTTACTGTAGCCGATCATCTACGAGGCCTGGTCCCAGATTCTGGACATCTAAATCATATGCCAACACATCTAGATATCCTATGTGGCGACTACAGACGAGCTATAGCGTCGAACTCGGATGCTATTCGTGTTGATGAGAAATTCCTTGCTCAAGAAGGTCCTTTGAACTTTTATACATTATATCGATCACATGATTACCACTTCCGGATCTATGCAGCTATGTTCTCTGGACAGTTCAAGATTGCGCTTGAGACCGTTGAACAACTGGAACGGTCTATTCCGGAAGGCCTACTTCGTGTCAAGTCACCACCGATGGCAGACTGGTTGGAAGGCTTCCTAAGTACCCGGATACACGTCCTCGTACGCTTCGGCCGTTGGCAAGACCTCGTAGATCTCGAACTCCCAAACGATCAGGATCTGTATTGTGTCACAACAGCAATGGTCCACTACGGTAAAGGTGTCGCCTTCTCAGCAATGAACAAGATGACAGAAGCTGAAGAACAACGCAATCTCTTCGAAAAATCATTAAAGCGAGTCCCCTCCTCTCGTACGTTATTCAACAACACGTGTACCGATATCCTCAACATTGCCGCTGCAATGCTATCCGGAGAGATGGCTTATCGCGTAGGAAAGGACTTCGATCTCGCGTTCAATCAACTTGAACGAGCTATCTACCTCGATGACAACCTCCCATACGACGAGCCATGGGGTTGGATGCAACCCACTCGTCACGCACATGGTGCTTTGTTACTCGAACAAGGAAGGGTTGAGGAAGCTGTGAAGGTTTATGCTGCAGACCTAGGATTCGTCGATACCTTGCCACGAGCGTTGAGGCATCCGAATAATGTCTGGGCGCTGCATGGTTATTATGAGTGTTTGGTGAGATTGGGGAGGATGGCTGAGGCAAGGATTGTGGAGCCGCAGTTGAGGATTGCTGAGGCGGTTGCGGATGTTCCTATTAAGGCGTCCTGCTTTTGTCGACTGAAGACAGCCACATGAGAAATCATTCAAATGAAAATTACATTATTTCACCATCTCTTTTCGCTGATTCCATCAATGACTTGCCTTGATGCTGATATCAGCTTTCCGTTTCAAAAGGTTTTGAGTGCGTTCAACGGAGTTGTGCTAGTACCACACTATTGTAATCGCGACCAACATTCATATAATTTTGAAGAACCGCTAGCACTTGGATACTCAGCTAGTCAGATTTCAAGCTGTCATCTTTGGACTCTGAATTCGAGCTAGTCCAAGACTTCTAGGATTTATAGAGGAGCGTCCACCGCAAAGCTGCAAACTCGTGAAGCATTCTATCAAAATCTCTTCCAAGCCTCTCCAAAACAAATACGAACCAATTTCAAGACATTTTATCAAACGACATTTCAAATCAATTCGGACACAGCAAAGCTTCTTCACCATGACCAGAACTTTCGGATCTTTTGCAATCGACACCTTGAAGCTCTTCTTGATCCACTGGGAGGCATTCGAGCCACATTACAGGCTCAAGAACAAGCCTACAGATTGGCTAGCCTACGCCATGTTCCCACTGTTCTGGACAACCTTCCGGTCGATTACATACCTCTTCTTTCACGCAGCTACGTGTCCAGTCCGTAAAGAATATGGATGGATGATAGCGAAAAGAGATATTCTGCAATAATTGGCGAATACGCCTATCGAGGAACAAATTGCCGAGTTTAGGCGACTTTGTAAGAAGATTAATGTAACGTGGAAGCATGCAGAGGATTTCGAGGAGAATTATTATATGGATGATGTGCAGCTGAAGATCAGCGATGAGAAACGGCCGCTGATTGAAGTATGAAGTCAATCCACACAAGCAAAGCTAGGGAGGGACGTAGCAAGATACTGAATGGAGGCCGTTGCCAAAAGACGATTTCCGTTGAGATATTTTGTAAGATCTGTTGCAGCGACACTTGTTCATGCAGAATCACTCAAATCTCGGGAGATATTAAGAGAGCAGGTATCCCTTAAGCTGCGGTTCAGAACACCACCAGTGCGGCCGCTAGTTTTTGCTTAGCGAGCCAGTCAAATATTCAGGATTCGCCAGCACAGCACAGCAAATCACAAAAGGCAGAGTGGGGCCGTGCCGGGGGGTGGTGTTTACAGCAGCTTAAGGGATAGTTCCTCCACATATACTGTACAACACAGATAATGCCATCAGAATTTCATCCTCTCTCTGTCAAGTTTCAACAATCAATGCATGAATAGGCTGAAGCATGCAGACCTCAATGAGCAGAATACAATGTTGGTTCAGGAAGAACATTAGACGACATCAAATTTGTCGTCTCAAAACTTGACCTCGGCTCGGCTCCCCGCAGAATCTCCAAGCTCCCACTTTTACCCCAACCTTCAACACCACCTCCACAATGTGATCCCCAGCATCTCACGCTCTTCAGCGTCCATCAGATATCTTCAAAATGGCCTTAGAACCTCCCTGGAAAGCCATCGCAGCACGCAAACAAGCCGAGCGCCTCTCCCGAATCCCCAAATCATGGCTCCTTTCCTCTCTCCCTCCATCCTCCACACTCGACGTCCGCTCCATCCCCCGCTCCAGCGGAATCCTTACTCCCCTCGAACTCGGAATCACCGAAAACAACGATGCGACATCCCTCTCTGCTGCGATCCGAGCGCGAAAATATACTGCTGTCCAGGTCACAACCGCGTTCTGCAAACGAGCTGTAATTGCTCAGCAGGTCTGCAACTGCTTGACTGAGATTCTATTCTCTGGCGCATTGGAACGAGCACGATATCTTGATTCATATTATGAGAAGACCGGGAAGACGGTGGGGCCACTGCATGGTGTGCCAATAAGTCTGAAAGATACTTTCAAGATAAAAGGTTATGATTCTAGTATTGGAATCGCTAGTTTGGCATTCAAGCCTGCAACAGAAAATAGTTTGTTGGTCGATATATTGCTAGAAGCAGGGGCGGTACTGTATTGTAAGACCAATGTGCCACAAACGTTGATGGCGCTGGATTCCGACAATAATGTTTTCGGGAGAGTTCTGAATCCGAGGAATAGGAAGGTCACGGCGGGCGGGAGTTCAGGTGGCGAGGGTGCACTGGTGGCTATGAGGGGCAGTGTGCTGGGAGTTGGGACTGATGTTGGAGGGAGTATACGGATTCCTGCAATGTGTAATGGGCTGTATGGGATTAAGCCGGGGAGCATGAGAGTTCCGTATGTTGGGCAGGAAAATGGTACCAGGGAGGGTGCGAGCAAGATTGGGTTGATGGCTAGTGCTGGCCCGATTGCAGGGAGTATGAGGGACTGCGAACTGTTGCTCAGGACTGTTTCAAATGCTAGGCCTTGGGAGAGAGATCCGAGTCTTGCCTATGGTTTGTGGGAGGATCAGGGCGGAATAGAGAGGAAACCCTTACTGGGAGTCATAAGAACGGATGGCTTGATCACGCCTCTTCCGCCTGTGGCGAAAGTACTTGATGAGACTGTCCAAAAGTTACGGAAGTCTGGAGTGGAGGTCATCGAGATTGATGCTCCGGAGTTCAAGAAGTGCCAGTCGCTAGCAAACAGTTTCTTCGGGATTGACGGTGCAAACCACGTGTTCGACCTCCTTGAGGCTACGAAAGAACCATTGACGGGATGGCTGAGCACGAGACTACGTCGTAAGACTCCAATGGGTCTGGATAAGCTCGTCGAGATTCATGCCAAGAAGGTCCAACTGGAGACAGAGATGTTGAAGCTATGGAAAGATCACAAGACAGGACGGACAATAGATGCATTCATTTGTCCCGTTGCTCCACACCCTGTTCCACCCATCGATCGATGGAATGGCGTCAGTTACACAAGTAGCTTTGTGCTTTTGGATTATCCTGCTGGCACACTACCTATCAGAGACTTCAAAGAGGAGGATTTGAGAGGGGAATTGGATAACAGCAAGCCCTTGGGCAGCTGGGACAAGATCAATCGAGAATTATGTGAGTTCAGCGTTCGACGGAGAAGTGTGAAAGTACTAATGGAGACAGGGGACGCGAAAACGATTGACAGGAATGTTTACCTGGGCACAAAGTTGTCGGTTCAAGTTGTTGCACCAAAGATGCAAGAAAGGAGACTCGTGCAAGCGATGTCTCTGATCGACGAAGTTCTACAGAATGACCGCTCTCGGCAAGCAAAGCTTTGAATAAAATAATTCAAGTATCTAGTATTTCTTGAAGTAGAGATGTTGTCAGGTGTTCGAACATTACTTGCTTATTTGCCGACTGCCTCAATCAGTTGTTGAAGGTGGGCCTTGAACTCCTCACGGCTTTCGCCCCAACCAGGCTCTAGTTTATCGCTAAAGTCCGCTCCGAATTGGTTATCCTCATCGAAGAGCTGAAGAGTAGACAGCATCATGAAAGCTTGCGAGTGTCGCCAGTCTACGCCACTCTTCCTGCCCTTGCTGTCCTCGTTCCAAAGAGCCAACCCCTGTTCCTTAAAATTCACCAAGTCAGGGACATCGGTTACCTTCCAGAGTCTGTCTGATTCACCAGAGATCTCCTTTGCAAGCGCAATGAGCTCATTCGTTGTGACCGAGTAGCTAGCCACGTACACTGGTCTGTTCCGGAAGCGCTCTGGTTGGTGCAATACCGCAACCACCGCCTCTCCGCTCAACGCAGCTCGACTAATGCTCACCCTCTGATTGCCAGACCCAAAGCGTGTTATTGTCCTCTCAGTGGGGTTGAGCCAGAAAAAGCCCGCCCTGATTGCAAAGTCATACCAAGTGTTGGTGATGATCGCCGTCCAAGCTAGTGGCGCGGGCTTGCCATCAGCAGCGGCCTTGAGCAGTTCCTCTTCCAGCGCTCGTTGCGCTTCAATCTTAGAAGCAGAAATAGGTAGCCCACCGGCGTTGGGGTGGAAGGTATCGAAGCCAAACTCGTTCGTTATGAGCTGCTTTACTCCAGCTGCAAGTGCAGCTCTCATGATAATATGATCGTTGGTTGTGGCCGCCGGGTTGAAGACTTCGATGAGGGCATCATGTTGACGTAGCGCAGTAGTGAGAGACTGGAGATCATCGTATGCAGCTTCGCCTACCTTGATCGCTTTGGCGTCGGTGCTGTCGTTGTTGGCTTGAGTGTAGCCGCGTCCACCGGGGCGGGAGATGACGGTCACATCAAAGCCGGCTTTGAGTAGAGCTGGGACGATGATCTGGCCTAAATTACCTGATGCCTGAAGAAGAAGATTAGTAAGCTTGTGTGCAAAGGGGAGAGTCGAGAAGATTGAGCTCGAGACAAGTTAACCTACCCCAAGAACAGCAACTTTTTGAATGGAAGACATATCGGATTGGTTTTGCAGAGCATGATGGTTCGACTTCGTGCCCGGACATCACCATTCTTATATCTCTGGACATGAGCTGGCTACTTTGCTATTGTTCCAGTATCTCAACAGAAGTTGCACATCCTGGTCACGTGTAGCTGTGGAGCTCATGCATCGGGCGAACCCTGTCACCTAAGCGAGCTGACAAATGGCCCCCCCTTTCCTCCACGATCTCTGGCTTCTATAAAACTAGAACGTGCATGTATGCATCGGCCGATGCATGTTTGTTCTTGTCGGTCTCAATGGTGAACGCCCCCATCCATGTCGCTGTCACAGCACAGAGTGTCTGTCAATCCTGTCGCATCGGGAAGCAACGGTGTGACAAGTCTCTTCCCAGTTGTTCGCGATGTGCCTCGTAAGCTGGAGTCAATCATATGTATGCCGTCATGTACTCGCTGACTTTGGTAGAAAGAGGCTTCATTGCACTTATGTCGGAACAGTAACACCGCCGTTACTGTTGCGCCGACCGTGTTGTCTGGATCTTTCTGATCACATTGCTCGCGACCTACTTGAAGCGGCTAGAGCAGATCACAGCTCCTCCAATCTGTCTAAATTGATCAGCAGCGTATTCCAGAGTGCTCAAGTCACAGTTGAGAGCCTGATAGACGACTACTTCTTCACGATCCATACATGGTTACCCATCATCGATGAGGAACACTTCCGCTCGCGGCTCCGCTTCTGGCCACAGACAAACGATAGGCCGTTGGCTACTTTGGTGTGGTCCCTCTTGCTCGTCACACGATGGCCTTGTGTGGATGGGAAACACTCGATGAACAACTCATTGTACCAGACCACTAGGCAACTTTTCGTGGTCCAAATCTCAGGAGCAGTCACGCTGGAGCTGCTCCAAGCTGGCCTGCTTATTACCTACTATGCGTGTGGACATGGGTTACCACGAGAGGCATATGTAACTCTGACGACTTGCGTGACCATCGCACAATTGATTGGCTTTGACTTTGCGGAGATGAGTGATAATTCTTTGGATCAGAGTGAGCATTCGACATGCCGATGGGCAGTTGTACTTCTTGATAGGTTCGTCAACATCGATCTGACTCTGCACGAGATCTTAACATGAGTCGCAGAATGATAGCGCTGTCGAGTCTCACGGATCCACTTCCATCAGTGTTGCCACCACATTTTGGCCCTCATACCGATTGTCTGTTCTCGTTCCTAGATTCAAATGAGCAGAAACGGAGCTTTGACGTCTCTTCGAGGGCAGCATTACACCTTGGTATAGCTTTGAGCTATGCTAATGATCCACGACCAGTCAGGTTGGCTGGATCTACTTATAGCGATACATATTGCCGCACAGAAAGACTGGTTCGCGATCTTCTATGTGCTCCCCGGACCGCGCCGGATTCTTACACATACTGTGAGGGTACGTCATTTGCTGTCTCGTGAGTTACATCCACTTCCCCTCGTATTTTCTTGCTAACCGAGAAATGTTTGTAAGTGCTCTGCTCGCTCTCCAAACAGCAAGTCCAAGCGGGGAGGAATCTCAAAAGAACTCAAAAGAAGTATTGCTTCTCCAATCAACACTTCGCATGATCCGGGAGAACCTACGGATGTCGACCTATATATTGCAAGAGAAAAGCACCAATGGCCTCTCTGTCCTTGCTCTCTGCGCTTTATCACGCGTGGCTGTCATCTTTGTGCGTCTATACATAAGCGAGCTAACCAGTCAAGATTTTGAAATGATGCGCTCTAATCTAGAGCGTTTTGCTACCCGCTGGGCCGTTTGCCGTGAGTGTCCCGGAAACTATTTCCTGCTATTGGAGAGCTGATGTCTACTAGGCAGATATCTTGAATACATTGATGAGATTGTTGCTTGTTAATGTAGGTATCAATGATATACCATCTCAGAGCTAGGAAGTATCAAAGTCCGTTGTGCGTGCACGGCAAGCAAACCATTTTACCAAATTCATAAATTTGACATTGCTCTCCTACTACTGCCAGTATCGCAAATTGCCTCTCCAAGACTACCTCTTTTCTTACGCTGTTGGAAACTGCTCAATCACAACCTCACTCCCCGTAATCTCAAATTCCACCACCGCCAACTCCGGCTCCGTATCAACAACGAGCCTGTACACCCCTGGATACAGCACCCTCCTCCCACTTGCATCCCACCGCGTCAAAGCCCCCAACTTAAGTGGCAAGCCTGTCGTCTTCGTACACCTAGGTTCAATACCAACCAGCCTCGAATACGCAACCAACTCCCTTTTCGGTCTCGGCAACGGCCCGTATTCTCCGCTCACGAAAGCCAGCGCTGCATAATCGGAAGTCACATCTCCCACATTCTGCACGTTAATGACCAAGTCTCCGAGGTTGAATTGATCGATATATGGTGTGTTGTTTGCGCGTCTGATGATATCCCCTGTATCTTGGCTTGAAGGGAAAGTAAGAGATGCGGTTGCTGAGAAATTCGTATAGTGCAGTCCATAGCCAAAGGGTAGTACAGCGCCATCGAACCATTTATACGTTCTTCCTGGATTCAGGGGCTCGTTTGGACGCAAGCTCATGTCTGTGGGAGGTACGGATTCGTAGCTTGCTGGGTACATGGTGACGGGAAGTCTGCCCGCAGGAGCAACGTTGCCGAATAAGACGTCTGCCAATGCGACACCGCCATCTTCCCCGGGATATCCAATCCATAGAATTGATGATATGTTGGGGTTAGCCAAGAAATCTGTGTCGTCGAGCTGGCCACCGCCTGATTGCGCGATGATAAGTGGTTTTCCAAGTTTGGCGAGCAACGTAATGAGGGATGTTTGGGTTGCGTTCCATGTGATATTCACCCGATCCAAGCCTTCTGCCTCAATGGTGTTGTCTATACCGCCCACGTAAAGGATTATGTCGCTGGACTCGGCTGCGGCAAGGACTGGCGCCGAATCGAGGACTCCGACGACGACATTCACCGATATTCCTGAAACTTGCTGGAGTCCATAAAGGGGACTGTGGATGAAGGGAGGTGCGCCCGCATAGCCGCCTAGCATTTCTGTTGTGGCATTGGACCACTCACCTACCAACGCTATCGAAAGCGTTGAGTTTCCTGCGCTAGGAGTGAATAGTGGTAAGGTCTTGTTCAAGTTTTTCAACAATGTCATACCAGATGTGGCTGCTTGACGAGCAAGATTCTGTGTAGCAGGTGTGTTCACATCCTGGTATGAGATATTGCGATACGGTTGAGTCTCCGGTGGGTCGTAGTATCCAAGCTTTATCAAAGCAGCATAGACCCGTGTAAGTGCGCGATCGAGATCCTTTTCTGCGACTAAGCCATCGGATAGTGCCTTAGGCAAGTAACTGGAAAAGAAAATTCCGCAATCTGTGTCAGTTCCAGCTTTCAAGGCATCGGCAGCGGTTTGTTCGGGGGTTGATGTGTAGTTGTGAGAATCAAAAGCAACGTCTAGTGCAAAGCAATCGGTAGTGACATAATGATCGGCAGCGTCCCAATCCCAGTGCTCTCGCAGAACCGTCTGAAGGAGATAGGGATCGAGACACGTGGGAATGCCATTAACAGAGTTATAGCTGCACATGATTGAGCCAGCCTTTGCGTCTCGGGCACAGGCTTGAAAGGGTGGCGTGTAGTAGTCCGCAAGGTCTTGGATGCTTACTTGTGCATCGAAAGTGAATCTTGTAACATTACGGTAGTTTTCGAGATCGTATGCCGCCAGGTGTTTGCAAGTCGCTATTCCACGTTTGAATTTGGAACTAGAAGGTCCTTCGAGTCCCGTGACGAAAGCTTTTGTGTATCCGGAGACGCGAAAAGCATCTTCTCCTGGAGTTTCTAGACAATGACGCATATGTCAGTTCTCTCAATAGGTACTGATGTTGCCGAGCGGGCATGAAGTCGAAGTAGGAGAGCGTACCTTGTCCTCTTCCCCAACGGGGATCTCGAAATGGATTCACATTCGGTGCCCAATAATCCAAACCAGCTCGACCAACATTTCCAAAAGCACGCGCTTCAATACTAATGGCTGTGGCAACTTGTTCTATCAAATTGTCGTCGAATGCTGCAGCCATAAGGAGTGGTCCCGGGAAATTGGATGCCACGGAATAGCTTCCATTACTTGCAAAGTCTACACCTGTGCTCGTACCAAGTCCATGGAGTGCTTCGTTCCAGAGCTGAGAGTTCATCAGTATATCGACGAGAAGCGGGATATAATAAGAGTGCAAAATCTCGATCGTACTGTATATGGAGGTATTCCTAGCCTTTGAACTGCAGGAACGTAAAAGATTGAAGCATCAATCTTTTCATCCAGGGTAAGCAGCTTAACGAGAGAAGTTGCACGTTCGGAGGGCGCTATTGTCTGCAATTAGCTTTCAATATCAGATTTAGAATTGGACATGATGAAATCGGCTTACATAAAGAGGTGTTGCAGATTGTCAGGTTTTTGAGAGGATCCTGGTCACAATCTGGTAATGGCCGGATCAAGGTCGCTTCTGTGAGTACCTCGAACAAAACCGTAGTGTTTGTTGCAAAGGGAGGAATGAGTGCGACTGCCAATGGGTTGACAAATGAGGAGAGACTCATGGCTTACAGATTCGAAGAGATTATATTGAAAACAGGACTGGATCTTGGCCAATAGATCAAGAGCATTTCGAAGATGTCCTGTGGTATTATACTTGTTTGGAACTGTCAAATCTCTTCATTTCGGCTTTTTCGGTGCTAAGAATTGAATCTGCAATATGGAGGCGCTTCCATAGAAGACCCCTAAATTCTTGAAATGCCAAGTCTCGCGTGTTGTACGACGCATAGTGAGAACTCTAAGTGGCGGACATTTAAATGTGGGGCACAGAGCCTGAGCAGACCCCAGCAACAGATGAAATCGCTTGCACGTCATTGTCATATCATTTCTCGAATCAGCCGGGGAACATTTGGAGGCCAAGTGTCTATCGTGAAATAGTCCAATCATCGAGAATAACTCCTTGAAAATTGACGGTGTTGAGTAAGCGCTTGTATCAAGTCGGTGAAGAGGGTCAAGGTAGACAAACCTGAGCCGGCTTGGCTTGAGCCGCAGGTAGGTAAGCAAAGGAAGCATTGATCACGTGAGGTATCGGATGAGGAGATGCCCCGGTTTAACATGTTATGCTCTTGTGGTAAGCATCACATAGCAATGCACCAAAACTCGGATAACAAACACGAACTTTTCATTACTATTATACAATTATCCATAATTGTCACATAACACTCATGATAAAAGTGTAAACATTCCTATCATATAATACATCTTCTTATAAGGGGGTGACATCTTCTATTGAAATATCCATTCCAGTTCTTCCGTCCTCGTAGTGAAATGATTCTAACAGCTCCATACATTAACGACTTGGCGTCCGCGTCTTTGTCTCTTTTGACAGGATGACTTGCTGCAATCGATAGTAAGACCACAAGTTACGAGAACTGGACTTCCAAAACCCGAATTTTTTGTACTCTCGAAATTTTTCTAATCGTTGTTCGTCACATTAAGTTGTACTCGAGGAACTTCGATTGTCAGTATCACTGAGAGCAAGTACGACTTAGTGATGCAGGAGCCATAGATAGAGTTGCCTGCGCCGCGGACTTCATTTACGTTGTCGCACAACGTTTTGGTGAGCTCAGTCTGATAATAATTGCAGAAAAATTTCTGTATCTGTCTAGAAATCCTACGACTAAGTGCATCAACCTCGTCTAAGAAATAGGTCCTGCTATAGGCTTCTCTGCAAGTTGAATCTATATTGCAAGCCTAAAATGAAACAGAATAAAAAGATGATTGCCAACACGAAATACAAGCATCACGCAGTTCTGATTACGAGCTTGAACTTTATCAAGGATGCAAGATGTCATACGCTTGTTGGATGCCAACCTCCCTTGCTTTTTGGGCAGTTATTTGAAGAAAAGTCAGACCATCCCAGAGAAAAGACTTCGAGAGGCTGGTGGTCACATGAACTCATGCGGCTCGGCTCGGTTAGCTTGATATTCAAGACTCAAATCCCAGGTGACAGCCCATTCTGCGGTCATATAGATAGAATGAATACACAAACATTCTAAGTTCTGCATGCACGATGGTTTTTTGAACGCCTTGTACACAAGAATGGTGCGTACCCCTTTGGCTGCATTTCCTCTATTTACGTCAAGGTCTGCGCCTTTCGTATTCCAACTATCACCACCCTTTGAATTTCATAATACGCTTCAATGATCGTCCGCTGTTGACAGCAAAGCAAACTTAGTTGGCCTTCCACACGTCATTCCTCCTTGGTTCGTATTCACTCGAGTTTAGCATTGCACCATCATAATCCTAGATTCTGTAATGCTTTAAATAAGCAACCAGCTTTCTATGCCCGAAACTAAAATAGTAGGAGAGGACACGACGAAGAAACCGTTATTGCAATACAGTTCTTCAATTTTCCCCCTTTTTATTAAACCCTTCCTCCACATCAAATTAAAAAAGCACGTAACACATACAAAATAATT